GGATTGTTTATTCATATGTTCTTTATAACAAGAAGAATCAGTATATTAAAACTGGTGTAAAAAATACTAGTGTGGCATTGTCTCCTGAATTTACTACAGCTAGCTSCAGTGAATGCTTTAGAAATTGAAATACCACCTCCTGTCCCTGTAACCCATAAATAAGGTTGACAGAAAGACAATACTTTTTTAATATTCACTGGGCTGGCAACACAGTGATTGCAAAAGCTTGGAAAACAACATGCAGACCTGCTAATTTTTCAAAGAACATAGCTAGCAGGGCTGTAACTTTGTGTATGTGTTCTTTTTTTTCTTATTTTTTCCAATGATTTCACTCGCTAGGTTTACCGTGGTTTTTGTCTTTTTTCTTTTTCTTTTCCTTTTGTTTTTGTTGGTGGTTTATTTGTTCGTTTGTTTCTTCTTCCGTCTTGAGCAAGGCAGAATTGGTACTGGCAGACTTAAAGCTGCTTATCTCCATTCACATCTAGTCAGAGGTGCTGGCTGCGGTGCTTGTTTGTTTAAAGTAAGCAGCTGAGAAATCACTTCCAAGTACAAACTTAATAGTTGCTGACTGTTTATAAATAGGCATCATGAAACGAGGAACTTGCCTTTCAAATCCAGTTGAAACAAAAAACGTGTTGCCTCCCCCTGACAGATAAATCTTTCCTCTCTGCATTGTCTTACTTGAACAGAAAGATTTCAGATGATCTATTACTGTTCATCTTTATTTTTTTATCCTAGATCAAATGAAAGCTTCTGAAACAGTTAAAAAGGAAAAAATGGGTGTCTTCAAGGTCCTGGAAGAATCGTCGGATTCCAATGCAGAATGTGTATTTTAATGTGCAAATAGCCTGTAGCCTTACAGGACAAGGGTATGTCTGACATCAGTTCTTACAAAGATATCATTTATACATACCCATCCTTTATACTGACTTTCAAGTACTTGTTCAAGTCCTTCATGTTCTTTGAGTGAATTTTAATATGTTCTACAATGTAACTTGCATGATAATTTCATGTTTGTAGCTTTAGCTTCTGATAAAGAATTAAGGAAATAAGCATTTCACATTTTCAGCTAGTTTTGTTTGTGATCAGTGGTAGAAACTGCCAAAATTGTTTAAAATCTTCCTGTGGAAGTCCTAAAATACTCTTTTTTTTTTTTTTTCTATTAAGATATCAATTATGGTTTCATTSGGAAGGGAAAGAACACGTGCTTTTGTTATAGCCACTTGTGTAGCTTCGGTTTTAACTTCTGCAAAGTATTTTGATAAATAAATGTCTTGTTTATCCTAAGGTTGCGGGTTGGTCATTATTTTAGCTTAGCTTCCTATATGACATTAATRCGTTAACCTGTCACAAACACTTTGGACAAAATAGGCAGCTGCAGGGAGGAGATGAAGTAGTATCTGCCCTAGGAAAGGTTACAGCTTTGTTCCATGCTGGCTGGCCTGGTGACTCCCACACCACGGTGCCAGTTTGCAGGTACCTAGTGGTCTCAGAAAGCCCGTGGAGGGGGCGAAGGGAGAAGTCTGAGGATGCAGAATCATTTCTGAGGGGCAGATTTGAGGCCCCAGTGGGGAAGAGAGATGTCTAAAGATGCAAAGGCCAAATCAGCAGGAGGCCTGGGTTAATCTTGGAGATGGAGGAGAAGTCTTTGCTGTTCCTCCAAGGAACTGGGTAATAAGGCAGGTAAGGGATGTGACTTAATTGCAGCCTGCGAGGCCAGCTGAGGCACTGTTTAGCTTCAGTGYTCTGGCTTCCAGTTGGTGAAGTGTCATGGAGGTCAAATTCGGGGCTTAATCAGAGACCCCAGTTTGCAATTCCAGCTGGAGCTGTCCCACATGGGGCTGTGCTAGTCATGCCAATGTGTGGGAAATGTGGAATAAAAGCCTGCCTAATTCAGCACACCTTCACAAACGGGTTCCTAAATAGGTGAAACAGGGGAGCATACTTTYCAGCTTTTTTTTCTCACAAATATAAAATTCTTGACCTGAGTTAAAAAAGATTGTGTTAGTAACAGGTATTTGTTTATCCTCGTTGTGAGGTAATGAACAGGCTGGCTTTGCCCTTTGCCCATTGAAAGCCCTATCTTGTTTCCAAAGAGAGAAGTCTCCAACCTTTCCATTCTTCAGTTGCACATTAACCTGACTAATGCAAAGTGCAACGTGCTGGTTCCGCTTCCTACTCACCTGCTCAGCCATTGTTCTTGTCTCATTTATCAGCTCTATTGTGTCTGACCAATACCTTCTTACGAGATTTAAGAACAAATGAGAGTTTTACAATGAACAGTATCGTAAGAGGAATCATTGTAGTATATAACTGTATCAGTGCAATAGCTGACAGGGCTTCTTCCAAGCAGCCTWACCTGAGTGTTTTTTTCCCCTAAGACTTTACTTCTCGACCTGTATAAYTGTAAATGCCACCTCAGGGCAGTGTGGTGAAAAATAAAGTGGAGCAAACGTTGCTACAGCAAGTGCATGCTCTGCTCTTGAGAGGAAGGATGTCCCTGTGCCRGTTTGGAGCCATCCAGTTCTGGTGCAGTTAGTGCCTGCCACCAAAGCCTGGCAGAGCTGTAGGAGGCAGCTGGTGTTTTGGAAACTGTCCTGCCTTTTTGTAGGTGGGGAAGATGCCCATTTAAATGGGGTAAGGGTAATAGCAGAGGGCTTTAGGTGGAAGCACGGGCTGGACCTAAGTGTTTATAGTTGTTTTGGGTGAAATTTTTTCCCCCTGCTTGCTCATCAGGGGGAAAAAATATTTCTGTCTGCTCTTTGAAGCCAAGTTCCTGAAATATGATTGTTCTGGTAACTTGGAAACAGTGCTGGGCTCTCACATGTTGTACCCAATACATGCCCAAGTATGTGCAACTATTCTCATCAGGGAAAAAAGAAATGTTTGAGTTGCTGACAACAAATGCAGATTCAGAAAGATGAGGCATCAGTTTGCTCCTATGTCTCTATTTGCACATCTAGTTGCAGCTTTTTTAAGCTTATTTGTTTTATTATTATTTTAGCTGGGGAGTAACTCATGATTTTCCAGGGAGAGGTTTCCAGGGGCAGGAATTTGTGTTTTTTTCCAGGTGATGGCACAATAAAATATTTATGGAGGATAAATGTAATCTCACAGGGCATGTCACTGGCACTTGCATGTCATGCACGTGTTTCATCTGTGTCTTTTTACTTGCCCGCCTAGCAAAGATGATGTATGAGCCATCAAGATTGCGCCTCGACAGCCCTGACTGGGGTCGTAGAGAAGCCATTAGCAAATTAAAAGTGTACAGGCACAGGTCAAGCAGATGACTTCTCTTTTTTGCTGTGCTGCCCCTTTGCAGTCGGGGCCATAAGGTCAGGAAAATGAGAGCTTTTTCGTGATTACACCATTTGCTTCTTTTTAATCCTTTCCTAGCTGCTTCATCTCCTTCGTGCAGGGGATCCTTGGAGGGCAGCACTGCAGAGTCAGAGGCAGCAATTGGGCTTTTTTTTAACTGTGTAACCAGCTTAGCAGAGGGAAGCCACAACCAAATGTATTTGTTCTAACAGTGTAGGAGGCCTCTGTTGGCCAGTCGCTTCTCGGGAGGGACTAGCTCAGTTACAAATAGCCAGACACTGCTCCTCGCTAACCTTTTGCTTGTTTCTTATATTATTTTTAAMTTCTTGAGTAGGTGGCTCTCTGGCCTCAGAGGCCTGACCCCACTTTCCCTGTGCTGCTCTTGCTGTGGACAAGCTCCAGAGGCCAACAGCTGAACATGGGAAGAATTTGGGAAGTCAGACTGCAGTGAACACGACTGCCAACTATTTTTATCTTGCATCATAAAACCCTATTCCTTCCTTTTTTTCCAACAAGCTGCAGCAGAGAGTGAGTACTGGCTGTGGATGGCGGTGGCCAGCCCGCTCCCACAGCGCTGCCCTCGGCCCTGCCCCAGCCCTGGGTATCCCAACGCGCACATCGGGCCCGGCACCATCCCTGTTTTCCTGGAAGAGCTGCCAGGGAGCTGGGATGCTGTGGCTCATGGGGCTGCTGTGGGAGGCCGTGCACAGACCCCGGCCAGGCTCCCGCCTCAGAGCTGCTGCCTGCAGCCGTGGCCTCAACATGCAGAAGGACTCRGCCTTTTCCAAGGTCCACATGAACCATCTGTAGTCCAGACTTTCCCAGACTGGGACCGTCTTCCTGGCAAAGCAGGAAAGTCACCTGGTCTTTCCCGGTGCCTGCCTCCAGGAAGGGAAGCTGAGCTGGGCACGTGCAGCACTGCTCTGCTGCACTCCTGTCCAGCCACACCTGCACTGCTGAGGGGAGACTATTAACCTCCCCAATCACCCAAGCAAATATATAAAGAAGAAAAGAAAAAGAAACTCCAAAGCCTCCCCGTAAAGCTGACGCTGTGAGCATCCTGGCTGTGCTGCACTGCAGGGCCTTCCCACCGTGGCCCCTGTCCCCTCGGCCGGCAGCTCCCCAGGGACGAGGCAGGAGCGGGTGCTGGTGGAGCTCATCCGGCTGCCTGCCGCTCACTGCTGCCATAGAAGGACGCGGAGGAGATGAGCTAAATTTAGTCAGGTTTGCGAATTATACCCCTTTCCCAGCCCTCCSAAAAGCTGCACGGTCGGAGGCTTGTGCTGTTGGTGATGTTGCAGCTTTACTTCAGATGGGAATATCTTCAGCAAGGCAGCTGTGCAGGGGCACAGTGCACACTAAAGGACTGGAAACTGCGGCACTGCTGATGATAGATGGGGATTTTGGTGGGAGGGTGAGGAAAAGACCTTTCCCGTAGCTATTGCCAGCAGAGACCCATAGAAAGCAGGGGGATCCCCTTCTTCCCTCAAGTCCTAACATTCATTATGCTGCTGGTTGGCTATGCCWGGCCGCCCCTGCCCTCATCCCGCACACAGGAGCGGACACGGCTCGCTTCGGATTCACCCYGTTTATTGAACACGATCCGAGGGCAAACAACAGACCCGCAGCAGCTGTAACAGGGCTCTGGCCTCTGATTTCCTGCACAAGTGACTGCGCAAAGGAGGAAAACAAAAAAAATCTGTGTATCAAAAAAAGAAAAAAGTGAACGGATGAAAGAACATGGTAGAATTAGTGACACCACGTGTGAAGAGACGGAGCATTAATTGGGCAAGGAAAGGCAAAGCCGTGCCTAGCGTTCCTCGCTGTGAACAGGGTTTGGCAAGGGAGCAGGGACGACGCTTTCCGTGGGAGAGGCGGCGTKCGGCGGCCGCTACTTGGGGAAGACGGTGACCACGTCGTAGCCCTCYGGCGGCACGACCCGCTCGCGCGCGTGCTTCTCGCAGTAGATTTGGTCTTCCACGAAGAAGTGTCCTTTGTGCTTGAGGCTGGTGCCGCAGTCGCTGCACACGTAGCACTCGGGATGGCGCTGCTTGTCGCGCAGCTTCACGAAGGGGCCCCTGCGGAGGCACCGGCACCACTCAGCTCCCGCCACTTCCAGCCCTGCCACCCTGGCCTCCCCATGCCCAGCTCAGCGGAGCACCCTGAGCTCCCACCGGGCAGATGCTACTGCCCCRTTGTAGCCACCCACCCAGACGAATGGGAACCTTCTCTGGGAAGGGCTCTCTAGCAATGGTCACCTTCATTGCTACAGGGACTAGCTCCTGTGCTGGCAAATGTCTTGAGGCAGCTGGAGTCWGCGCTGCAGTGTTACAGAATCATAGAATGGCTGCGGTTGGAGGGGACCTCTAGAGATTGTCTAGTCCAACCCCCCTGCTCCAACAGGGACACGCAGAGCATGTGGCACAGGGTGGCATCCAGATGGGTTTGAAGACCTCCAGAGGAGACTCCACAACCTCCCTGGGCAGCCTGTGTCAAGTGGCAGCAATCAGCCTGACCAYGTGGGAGGGCACATCCAAAGCATCTGGACTCCCAAACGGATYGAGAAATGAACACTACTACCAAAGGAGGAGTAACGGCTGCAGAACCAGCAGCTGCCTTTGCCAGGGACGTAAACACCAGGTATTTGCAGGTGAGAGACACCACATCCTGCTGTACTTTCAAGTGCTGCTACTGGAAAACCCTAACAGCTTTAACCAAAAGGTGAGGAGCAAAACWGTGTAAGTTGTTAACTCCCACCACCACAGCCACCAGATTGCCAGCAACGTAACTGTGTTCCAGCAGCCATCTATGTTTTCTCTAATTCATTAGTCTTTCGTGCTGCTCATACGCTTTCTCTCCAGCTCTATCCAGCTGGCAGAGTAACTGTAGCACTTGTGTTTGACTCATATTTTGTAGGCTAAGTATTGCCTCTGTCCATGAGGACACCACCTTGCCCAGCAATCGAGGCAGTCCAAGGCCATGCCCTTGCAGCACAGAGGCTCTCAGCAAAGAGGAGCGACAGTCAAAGAGCTGCCAGAGAGAAGCCAGCACGGCGGAAACCTGGATTCTCCCGTGAAGATGCAGGTGGGCTCCCAGCTCTTGACCACCATGGTTAAGCTATGGGGCTAGCAGGGAAAGAGGCGCAAAGGAGAAAAAGCAGGGTAGAAAAATTTGTGGTTGGGAAACTAAATTGCGATTCAAAACCATGCTTGGGTCCCTTGTGCTTATGCTACACACAAGCTCCTGCTGTGACAGATGCTGGACTTAACCATGTGAGGATCCTAAAAATTCGCTCTGCACAGATCCAGTGGAGACGTGTGGTGCTGCAGCAGAGCTGGGAGAGAGCGCAGCTCTCGCAGCCCACGCTGTCTGCCTGGGGCACTGCCACTGCCCCACCGTGACCCCCACRGCGCCGGGCGCAGCCCCAGCCCCACACCACGGGTACTCACACGATGCCCGAGCCGCACTTCTCGCACATGGGCAGCTTCTGCGCGTTCCCGATGGACGCCGCCACCTTCGTCGTGGGCGCTTTGACGCTCCTGAAGCCGGACGGTTTGGTCGGATCGCCTAGGCGGGAGGAGAGCATTTCAGAGCGTGTGGGATGCATTGGCACAAGCTCTTCCTGCAAAGCTCATCTGGGGAGGGAGGGCTCCCTTTAACCCTGGCTCATAGGCAGGGATTCATGCATGAAAAGGAGCCTGGGAGTTAGGGGAGGAATGAATGGATTGATCCAGCTGAACCCTGGAGTGGGAATGTCCCTGGAAATGCAGGTGGTCTCAGTCAGCACAACCAACACAGCATCCACCCTGGAGCAACACAGCGCAGGAGCAGGCCGGGAAAGCGATGTTTGTCACCACAGCCCTTATCTGGCTTCGAGCAGGGTGGCCAGGGCCGCTGTGCCATGCTGGGCTGCACTGTGCCAGGCTGCACCGTGCTGTGCCAGGCTAGGCTGCACCATGCCATGCTGGTCTGCACCCTGCCAGGCTGCACCATGCCAGGCTGCACGGTGCTGTGTCAGCTGGACCATGCCAGGCTGGACCATGCCAGGCTGCACGGTGCTGTGTCAGCTGGACCATGCCAGGCTGGTCTGCACCGTGCCAGGCTGCACCATGCCAGGCTGCACGGTGCTGTGTCAGCTGGACCATGCCAGGCTGGTCTGCACCGTGCCAGGCTGGACCATGCCAGGCTGCACGGTGCTGTGTCAGCTGCACCAGGCCATGCTGGGCTGCAGGGGAAGCGCCCACTCGCCGACAGACATTCCTGGGGGGGCTGCATAACCCGCCGGCCCTGCTCCGCATCGATKGTTATCAGCTCGTGGGGAACCAAGCCAGAGCCTAGTCTGGCCTGTGATCAGGCAGGCAAAGCCCGTGCCAGAGAATCCCAGTAATGCTGCAAATCTTCAAAAGAAAGATAAAATATAGAGGCCTTTGCCGCTTATCTTCTTCAGAGCTGTTAAGCAGCGGGGAGGACTTCCTGAGGGTGCTTCAGTGCAGGAGCAGAACCCCCAGGGGCAAGCAGCAAGCACAGCAGTTAAAAGGTGCTTTCAGGCAGGTATTTTAACAGAGGATTAAGACTGCAAGACCCCAGGTTCTTTCTTTTGTTTTGTTTCCTTATTTCACTCATTTTCCTGCTTCCTTGGGACCACAGCCCTTGGCTGATCTGTTCTCCTTCCTGGTGAATATCCTAGCACCAAGCTTTTGTTGGATGAAATTAAATGTCCCACTGCCAAGCTAGCAACACAAAGGACAAAGTCTCAACTGGTCTGGTGAAAAAAAAAAGTCAGCATTCCTAAAATTCCTTTCCTATTTCTTTGCTTATTTCATTTTACTTAAGGAGAGAATGGAATATGACTTGGTCCTCACCTAAGTTAAGGGAGTTTGAATTTGAATCTATGGTCATGAACTGCAGAAGTCCAGATATGAGATCAAAAATGCCAAGCAGCATGAAATTTCAGAAGTTAATGGCCTTTAACTGCTTGCCACAACCCAGATGCATATTTTTACATGCAGCTGTAGAAGTGAATCCTTTTTCCTTGTATAGCAGGATGAAAAACCAAAARCTTTAGGACTCACCAAAAGAGCCCTTGCTATCTTGCATTACCTCCCAAAAACTTGATTCTAAAATGGTCTTTCTCAGCAAATATTAATTGAAAAGAGCAAAAGATAGAAAGTTTTGTGCGATGCTTTTTAACTCCTTCTTAACAATGAAACATTGTAGAAGTTTATTTCTTAAACAGCCACTCAATTAATGAGAAATGCACTTGAAATGCACTCATGCACTGTGAAACGAAACAAGGAGGGGAAAATTAGGGTGAAGTTTGTGAAAAGTTTGTAGGTTTTGTAGAAACCCCCTAYGCCTGCCACTTCAGACAAGCAAGAGCTAAGAAAGCAAAGTCAGGTTTTAGATGCTGGTCTGGAACAGGGCGTGTGTTACAGAGCAGGCACAGGCAAAAGTGCAGGGACACACACAGCAACCGCTGACCTTTCTCTTCCGACTCTAAAATCTCCTGCAGCACCAGGAAGGAGGCCGATTGCCGCGGTGGCTCGTTTGACTCTTGGTTCTCCTGGAGCATCTTGTAAACCTCAGACTCTCTGTCTATGGCGATACCACTCACGGGCGGGATGTGCTGATCCAGGCTGAGGAAGGAGAAGAGCGTGTGCTTGGTAAGTAATGAACAAATCAATCCAGCCCCGCTACCAAAATGACCCCCGTGCATCATATGAACGTGCAAAACGGGCACAACAGGACGCCACGGAACACGGAGGTGCTGGATGTGCTCGCGCGGGGCAGCTGCCGCCCTGGCAGGACGCGCACGCCAGGCGTCACCGGTCCCACCATCTGCCCCCAGCTCCCTGCTTTGCAGTTACCACACACTACAGAAATTAAAACCTTTTGTCCAGGAAATAATGGCTCTCCTAATAGAAAAGTTAAGAACTAAGTGCAGGGCTGGGAACCCCCTGCAGTACTACATGTTCCTTGCAACCTGCCCTTCCTTGGCCTGCTACCTTACACTTCCATGGCTCTTAAACTATGTAAATGTTATTTCTTGAGGACATTTGAATACCTCCCAGGAAAAGCTTTCCTGCAGATGGACACTGAAGTGCAACAGGAATTTGCCAGGAATAGGTGAGGAGCCTCTGTAATGAAGGATTTAAGAACAGGCTGGACAAGTAGGTGCTGGAAGTGGCTTAGAGCCAGTCAGCTGATGGTCAGGAGATGGACTAGAGGACACTGGAGGCCTCTCCCAGCCTTGTATTCTGCAGTTGGAATAAAATACGCCTRGAAAAAATGAGACAACTGGCAACTCTCCTCTGACTGCTCAGTTACACGAAGGCAGCCTTCTCAGTGCAAATGGTCTCTTAGATTTCAGCATTCCTGCACCCTGCAATAGCCTGAAACGTATATAAACATCCTGAAGCTCAGACTAAAGCACAGAAGGAAATCACTTTCTTGAAGAGGCAACTGCATACTTTCCATGCCAATGTGCTATGGAGTCATCTGGGAGTTACTCCACAAAATAAACTTTGAGGAATCAGAGGTAAAGTGATTGCATATGTTATAAAATGCTATTCCCATTAAAAAAAATTCATAAGATGTTTCCATTTTTAGTAATTTTCACTGGAGTGCAAAGTATATTAGATTTGCACGCAGCTGAACCTCAGAAGCATGAATTTTATTTACTAAAGCCTCCCACCCAATATAAAACCAAGTCTTTTCTATTACACAGAAAATATCCCAGATTGGCTCAAATGAATCCATGCTGCACATCACACGCTGTTTATGCAAACTGAATTCTCCACCACTCTATCCTCCCATAAAAATACAGAGCTGAGGAGCCCGTCGTTACAGTTTGTATTCTAAGACTTATTCACTAACATGCATTCAAAAAGCAAAGGCTAAACCATCCTAAAGAGAATGTGTCAAACAAACACAGCCATCACATTTCAACCATGCATTGTGCCCGTGTGCAGACATACGGATCAGCTCTTCCCGATATGCAGCATATCCACATACTTGCACAGTATACACAGTTCAGGCAGACTTCGTTCAGAACCAACATCCTAGAATTTGTACACAGAAGAGTGACACATCTAAAGCTGGCAGGGCAGAGGGATACCCAAAAAGAAAAATGTGAAGCAAAGTAAAGTAAAATAAACTAAACTAAAATAAAGGAAACCCACATACATGTCTCCAGGTGGAATGACACAGGCATATGAATTACACCTGCAGGTGATGTGTGTCCCCATGACGGCTGATGCTGGAGGCTGCTGCTCCACAGGGATGGACCCTGCTGCAACTTGAGCCCCTGGAGCCGGCCCTTTTCCAAGCGCAGGTTTCCCAAGAAGCTCTGCAGGCAGCTCTTCCAACAACCTCAGAGTACTTCACTGTTCCCACATTGGGCACTGCAAAATGCTCCCCAAATACCACCACCTTACTGAGCTTATTTGCTCACACGCTGCAAACACAGCTCACTTCTTTCTTACTAACGTGACTTTACTACGTCACGTTAGCACGTTTTGCAAAGTTGATGAGGATCTTTCAGCACAGCTACAGCAGGACCTAGCACTTCCAGCTCAAGCTTCTGCTACAAAACCGCAGCTGACGCCCGGCTTTCTTTGGGGACCCTTAACACACCAGCACCAGCCAGGCTGCTTGGGGTTCGCAGCACTGCAGCCAGTGGAGAGGAGACCCCGAGTCCCTGTGTGGCTCAGGAGTGAAATGTGTTCCTCACACCACACAGTCTGGCACGTGCCCACAGATGGCAAAATCAGAGCTGGTCGCAGATTATGATGTTTTTCTGGTCCCAAACTGGTCAGTTTGGGGGATAAAATGCCCTTCCTCCTCCACTCCAGCATATCTGGTCACTGGCAGCAGCTCCCCCAGCGCAGCGGATGTCTCTGCTGCGCGGGCACGTGGGACACAACGGACAACATGACTGAGACGATGTTTCGGTGAGTCACTGGACACAGCGAGACACGAGGTGGAGGTGGCCGTGACGTGTCATGCACTAACACGGGAAGATGCAACGTGCCGTCGCCGCGCGCCAGGCCACCCGCTGTGCACGCAGGCGGCCGAGCGCGACAGGGCAGCGGCCGGTTACCTGGGCACATCGGGGCTCACGGAGGAGATCTGCCCCTGCAGCGAGTCCAGGATGTTTCTCTGCGAATAGAGCTGCACGGGCGAATTGAACTGCACGTGCAGCACCCTGAGGCCCGGCACGGCCAGCTCCACGGCGCCGCTGGGGCGGGCCTGCGCGGCGCGCTTGAGCTCCGCGGGCCCCACGCGCACCGCGCTGGGCACCACGGAGGCGCTGGGGCGCCACGGCCCGCCGGGCAGCGGGGCATAGACCGAGGCGACGGGCGCCTGCTGCGGCGACGGGCTGCCACGGGCGTTCACGGGGGCCCAGGGAGTTGCGTTGGGTCGGGGTTTTGCATTGAGAGAGAAATGCAGCGCAGGGAGAAAGGAGAGGAGAGATTAATGGAGAGCGGTGATCCGAGCGCGTCCCGATCGGCGTCGGCAGCCCTTGCTAGGGGCAGGTGGCAGAGCGTTCACGCTGCAGGCCGCTGGCTAGTGCTGTGCCTCCTGCCTCCCTTCGGGGTGGCGACCGCAGCGCCAGCCCAAAGCCCATCGCTCCACAGCTCAGCCAACACTCGAAAGCAACAAAATGGTGGATTTGCCGTGAACCAGCGCGCTGAGCACATGGCAGCKTCTCAGGGCCTCGCCCTGCAGAAAGGCCCGGCCGGGGTGGCCCTCGGGGTCTCAGCCCGGCCCTGTGACGCCAGGCCCAAGGGCAGTGGCTGCCGGTGTTTGTTTCTCTCTCCAGCCCAGCACGGACTGCACCCTGCTGCGGATGGGCCGGGGGCTGCCCTGCTCGTGCTGCCGCCACACACAAGGCAGGGCTCTAAGGAAAAAGGGGAGACTGCCGGGGACATGGGCCTGCACGTTCCTACGGAGACCAGGACAGGCTGCAACGGCAAAGGGCAGCCCCAGGCTCTCACTGAAATCCCTCGGGCCAGCACAAAGCCAGATTTCACTCCTGTCTGCTCAGCCCCTGAGTGATATCTCATCAAGGTCCATCGGAGGTGACCTGGGGTGCGAATCTGTCACCCAGCTGCAGCATCACAGCTCTGCCTAGGAGGGTCCATGCTGCAGACTGGCCTTTGAGTGTGAGCAGCAAGTTTTCAGGCTTGCGCTAAACCACAACCTCAGCTTTCTGAGGTACTGCAAAAGCAGAGGCTCAAGTTACTTCTGCTGCCTCACTCACAAGCCAGGAGCTTAGCCGAGCACCATGCAGAGCATGAATTTTGCAGCACTTACTGCAAAAGTGGGCAAACTCTTCTAAGCATTTTGGTGCTGTTGCTCAGAGACTTAGGGCAGTTTTTAAGCAACTTTTTGCCAACACGGCCAGAAAGACTTCTGCAAGGTCCTGTCTCCTCACTTACTGCTTCAACTAAAAAGAGGAGCCCTGGACATTTGGCAAACAGTAATGTCTCTGGCAAAGCTCAGAGGCTGTTGCAAAAATCAATAGTCCCTTTGCAGGTTGGGACCATTTCGATTCCACATATAATACTGCTCACATAGGAATTAGTGTTTCAGTTGCTTCCTAAACTTCATCTGAAAGAAAAAAAGGCTCAATAATAAAAATAAAGACCTCCAAAGCTAGACAGAGCCTGTGTAAGCATCACGGGCCACAGGGAACAAGGACACGCATGCTCCCTGCACGACGCAGCACCCTTCCTGCCGGCATCACCCGCAAAGCCGAAACAAGCTGCTAACTTTACAAAGTGCTCATGACAAGCTAGCAGGCACCTGTGCACACCAGAGGGCTGGTTTGTCAAGCTGAACGCACGCCGAAACTGCGTCGGTCTCTGCTAAACAAAGAAACACAACAGCATTAATTTCAGTTCTGCATCTTGGAAAATGTCCCCCGYGCTTCTGAACCCTGCCCTGGGAACCACATTCACGCTCACGCCTTTGCTCCTTCTCCTGTTCTGAAAGAGAGTGTCTCCAGGTTAGAGATTTTGGACCCTTGCAGCGAGCTCTGCCTCCGGGAGCCTTCCCTTGGGAAGCAGGGAGGCAGAGGCAAGGGAGATACTTACGGCTTGGCAGGCTCCGGAGCCCCAGATGATGACTTGGACTCCACAGCATTGTTGAAGGTCTGGATGTTCTCTGAGGAGTAGAGGCCTGCTGGGTTGTTGTACTGAGCAGTGATGACTTTGGGGGCAGAGCTGGAAGCCGTGGCAGCAGTGAAGGGCACCGCGCTCCGGTTGTGTGCACTTCCTATGTGCCTTATTTCCTGCATGCAGAGGAGCAAAGGCAGAAATCAGAGGTGCTCGGGCATGCGGGTGGGACGTGAYGGGCAGCGCCAGCATGTGCAGCCCTTGCAATGGTTGCGTTGGTGTGGGGTATCAGCTGGGGAGCACAGGACCCAGAGCAACACCGCAGCAGCACAAGGGCATCCTCCACACCACAACTGAGGTGTCCCCATCCCCATCCTGCATCACTAAGCAGCCCACACAAGGCTGACATGGAAGAAGCTTCGGAGTTGACGCACTGGGCACGGGAGTGCTCAGAAATGCTGCCAGAGCTGTTAGCTCAAGCCACCACATGCCTGCGAGCRCCTGCAAGGCCACTGCAAGCCCTGCCTTTCCATATGCACCACGGATTTTAAGCATTCCTTGCAATTCCTGAGAMCAGGGCAGACTTCTATGGGACAGTGAGGATATGGGGCAGAAAGAGGAGCTCTGCTCAACATTTGCAACTTTGCCCTTGCTGAGATGAGCATCCCGAAAAGAAGGGATTTATCATTACCGATAATGCTCTGGAGCCCGAGTGAACTACCCTACATGACAGGGGTTCGCAGTCCTCTCCGACAAGCAAGGCAAGATTTTCTGGACAAGAAATTCCTCCAGCAAAGAGGAGCCCTTGTTTGTAGTTAGTAGTGAGTTGAATACCTCGATAACAGCAGAGACCTCTTCAGGGCCAGAACAATGTGTTGTAGGTCTGCTATAAACCTGAGGTTTCCAGAGGTGATGGGGGACACTTAGAACCAGTGGTTATAATTTAATAAGAAAGGGACTAAATCCAAGTTAAACCAGACAGGAGGTAAATTTCTTCTGCCTAAAGAAAATGGTGAATGTATCAGCCTTGTCATCAGTTCAGCCCACCGTGAGCTCCAGTCGTGGGGCTGTGATTAAAATGCTCAGGGTTTACTTCTATATTTCTATTTCAAGGCAGGGAGAAATCACATCAGGGCCTCGTTCAGGGCGATGGGAGAGAGCACCAACATCCATAGAGCTGTCTGAAATATCTGGGGATAWACGATGGCACAAAAACGTGCCCTCTGGGGTGTTGCAGCCAGCTGGGGAGATGGGGAAGGCTCTGGTACYGGCTGATTCCCAGTGGTGCAGGATGAAACAGGGCCCGCACTGGCACAGTGGGCTCAYGCTTCCCACCTCGTATCAGCACAACCGCTGCCTTCTCCCACTCCTGGAGCGACAGCAGGAGCCCTCGCTGCCCTTTGAACGTTTCGTGGCATTTGTTTGATATAGCTATAGTTACAGAATAAACACTCACTGGAACTGCATATGACTAATTTCCCCTACAGATTTTTTCTTTATATTGCTTTTATATCCCTAGATGTCCTCAAGCAGCCGCTTAGTGCTCCCAAACATCCCCACGTGAGTCACGTTGCCTCGTGAAGCTCAGAAGTGCTCTCGGTGGCATCAAGGGCCCCTCAGAGAAAGGCAGAACAGACTCAAGCAAGCACCCCCGTGAGTTAAAGGCCACTGGGGACCAGTGGGGCACCCGGGCTGCCCAGGTGTGGGGCAGCAGCATCGCCCTCGCCCGGCTGGCTGGCTGCTGCGTGCGGAAAGGAGCCGTGCAGCTTTCCCACACGCCGGCGGAAGGCAGACCCTGGCCTAATTAGCTAATCTCCCTTTGTTACAATCACCTCATTCAAGGCACACAGCGGCACTCATAAAACCGGCCTTTCCCATGGTAGATATAGTGTATGTTAGCAAAAAAAAMCCCATTACTTCAGCCTGTAAATCACACCATGGGGAAAAGTATGAGTGAGCTTATATCAGCATTAAATACATATGTTACAACACCATTCAGAGGCTGCATGTAGGAAATGTTTTCAGATAGGCATATGAATAGTTGTTCTAATCAAAGACAGAGGCAGAAATTTTAGCCTAAGAAACTTTCATACTCTTTGCTCAGAAAGGCTCAGAGTTTAAATCATGTCACAGTCCGTAATGCAGAAACATTTAAGTATTAACCAAGTATTAGAGAAAGGGAAGTAATTTTTTTTTCCTGGCTTCCTAAGGAAGTGAAGTAGCCCAAATATATACACACACACACCACGGGCATGTTGTCATCCAGGCCAAGACCTCTTGATCCCATCATTCAACCCCAACTGTGTGCCAGAGGGACACAGTCCTTGAGGATGGTTCCATTCATGAAAATAGAGTCAGATGGTGCAAAGAGACTTGCAGTCACATTAATAATGCTGCTTTACCCCGAGAAGTGCAATGTGAGCTCCAGTACAGCATCACAGGGTGATAATGCAGCCCCACTTTCAGCCAGAGGGGATGTTTTCTACTGTGCAAGACTGTAAGTGAAGTATTCAAAGTGTTAGGACATTTATAGTAGCTCTCACAAGAAGCCCACTGATTAAAATGGAGCTTATAATAGCTTAAATTGGTGTTGAAGATGGTGTCTGAAGAATAGGTTGGAAAAAATCCTGCCTGAACATGACAGAAGTTATAAAAGCTAAGTGTCCTATAGATAACTATCACAGGAGCAATAACATTATAAAGCACATTTGGACAACCCAAATTCGACAGCAATTTCCTTCATTCTGTGCTGCTCTTTCTGCTTGAGCTGCAAGGTGAATTGGTGAAGAAACAACACCTTCATGCAGCAAACACAAAGATCGAGAGATAACTTGTTCTTGCTGCCAAATGCCTCGGTCAGGTTGTGCCCTGGCCTTTAGAAAACCCAGCTCCTGGTACCGCGTGTTTACGTGTCTCAGATGAAGGACACGCTCGGGAGCTGCCAGCCGCGGTGCCGGGCTGCAGGGCCCAAGTAGGAATGGGATCAGCGTTTCCTCCTCTGCCRGAGGAGGCAGTGGCAGCACGGGAAAGCAACGTCTGCTTCCTCACATCACTCCCCTCCTGGGGAAACCCAAGCCCAGTGGTGGAATCCCCCAGCYGTGCCAAACATGGCCCTCATGCCATGGGCCATCCGCACGGCACAGAGACGGGCCAGCTGCTTCCCAAGGAGGCTCCCATCCTGTCCCGGCACCCACCGGCGACAGAGGCATCCGCCGCCACCTGCCCCATCGTCCTTGTGCTCAGCCTGGCCGCCCCGGGCACCCTGGGCCCAATGCCCTGCAGGGTGGTGGCCCTCGTGGCTCTTGGCCTTGTCACCGGGCACACTGGTGTATCCAGCAGCTTGCAGCAGCACTGGCCTCAGTGGCATGAGCAGCAGCAAAAATCCGGTGGGTTTTATATTCACTGAATAAAAGAAAACCAGACTTGCGGGCTTGGAGCCTCCCTTCCTTGAGGGAGCRTTTTCCTCTCCCGCCAGCCATGCTTGGAGGGAGCCAACACAATTTGGAGGCTGGAAGCTACTGTCACAAACCCATTGCTTCCTTTCTTTGTCCCAGCCCTTGCCTGAGGGAGGCCCGTCCTGCAGCTCCTGCTCAGCTCATCTGCCACCCCTTCCAGGAGACATCTGGTTGGTAGGACCTGTGGGATGTGTCTGTGAGTTGATGGTGGCTGCAGAGAATTGCTTCTTCGTCAGCTCTACAAAACTACCCTGGACATAATAGTGCCATGAGGCGCACCTCAAAACCACCGAAAACTTGCTTTGGATGATCCCTTGTGGATTTAGACATTTGCATCTTAGTTATTTCTTAAAGCTCCAGCTCTTAGAGATGGAGGAGCACGAGAGACAGCCACCTTTCCTTAGAAAAAAAGGAAAAAGTGCAGGGAGCCTTTGCAGCTGCAAGGAGAAGCTAAAAAGCCCCAGAGCTTTGCAAGGCGCGGGTCAGAGTCCGGGCGATGCTGGAGCGCACGCCTCGCAGCCCCGCCAAGAGGAAACGAGATTAAACACGGCTCCCTGCAAGTGTTTACTCAGCTCTAAGAACACGGGCGGGCGACCAAGGCTGGCGGGCTGCTCCTGCGGCGGGAAGGCCGGGCCTAGGTGGGCAGCTCGCCCGGCAGTCACTCCAACGGCAACGTTTTTGTGGCCGACTTTCTGCTCCCTGGGCCCGTGCTCYAGCAGCTGCCATCACAAACATTGCAAGGGCCTTTAGTTTCACCTCGCTCGCTGGTGTTGCTCGAGGGGTTGAGCTCTGGGAACAATCCCAGGCAATGCTTTGAGATCTGATTAGAAATGAGGTGGGTTTGGGGTTTTGTTCTTGGGCAGGGGTGACTGGAGGCTGCCCTTCCTCATCTGCTCCTCACGAGCATCCCAGGTCTGGGCCCTCACGGCCCTGAAGCCAAAAATGGGGGCACAACAACTCACACACCTGAAACTTGATGGTGCTGCCTCATATACCTCTCGGTTCTACCTCATATACCTCTGGCTTCATACATTGCCCATGCATGCCTGGCCTTATCAGAGGCTAGGCCAGGCTCACACCCAGTTTCTATAGCCCCAGCTCCTCGGTATCCAGGGAGATAAAATACACAAGACGGAAACAATGACATCAGGCCTCAAGGATGGGGCCGGCAACCTCACAAGAAGTCTTGGGAAGAAAAAAGTAGCTGTCTGCTTCCGTCATCCCACAAACGCTGTGATTCACCTCCAAGCCTCCCCCGGCTGCGTGCCTCGAGTTATTTCTCATTAAAATAATTCATTCTGGAGTCTGAAAGCCAGTATATTTYGTGGTTAGAAAAAAAAAGCTGACTTGTTCATCTCAGGCAGTGACTTTTCACTGAGGCTGCTGTGGAGGCTGTGCTAGTGCCTTGTGCCACACTCTGGTGTTACCTAAGGGCCTTGCAGACCCTTGGAGGGTCTGGATCTTAATCCCTGGCCCAGGGCTTGTGGAGGGCCTGTGGCAGAGTGCAAAAGTTATGCCACGATCTGGCCCCTGTCATAARCACTAAAATTATCTTAATCACTGGAATAATTTGCTCTTTCCTGCTGTGACCACTTTTCTTGAGGAAAGCTAAGCAAAAGGGGTAGGTAGAGATGCTGCTTTTCATAGRAGTTCTCCATGGGAAAATGACACAGAGTGATCACCCCTGTGGGCTGGGTGCGAAGTGCAAGTGAAGTCATTGAGCAAATATCCAGCAAAGGCTCCGTCATTTCCTTCCTCCAGCGTTGCCATGTTCACACCAAAACAAAGCCTGCTGAGCCATCACTGCTGCCCTCATCCTCAGCCTCATCCTCAGCCTCTTACTTCACTTCAGACCAATTTAGAGGGGTAGTGCTAATTATAATGAAATAATATTAAAGCTAGAAGAGCTCTTTCCTTTCCAAAGGTCAGTGGGACAATGAAGGCAGTCTTGGGACTCGGGTGGGATGCCTGGCAGGCTGCGGACTGCCCTTTCCTCAGAGGCACTTAAAATACCCTGACCTCGCATTCCAAACCCGGGAAAATGCTTGTACAGAAGGACGCAGCATTGCACCGAGGATCAGCCGCCAAAAGGATTAGAGAAGTAAACAGAAATGCTAAACAGTAATGGGGCTAAAAAGAGGTTAGGCAGCGATCTTAAATTATTTGTATTTTTAGCCATACAGCTCGAAATTCATTGAAAATTAATTTCTTTTTTCCAGATCTTTTGCAAAGACTTCAGTTATCTAACTGTAAAAATAAAGTGGAGACAAGAAGAGCAAACGGACATAATGCTGAAAGAAATTTCATTTAAGACAGTGAAGGTGAGGGAAAAACATTAAATTGTGTCTAATTTCAAGAAAGGGGAAAAAATATTTGGATAATTGTGATCTGATCTCTACAACCAAAGCTTTAGAGCATTTTTGCTTTGCACCTCTGGTATGATTACTCACATGTATAAATACATGTTTCTGCATTCATAACAGTATGCTCAAGCACAGTGAGAATCATCTTTGGCAGATCCTGGATGAGGCCCAAAATGAACTACAAGACTCAGTGTGTCCTGCTTGCTTGGTAAGTGAATTAATAAGTGTTTGGCATAAGAACGTGGCCAAGAAAAGCAAATACGTTGCTTTCACTGGCACGCGAGATAGAAAAACCTGAACAGTTCAGAGGGCACTGCCTTCGCCTTCGAAGACTCCGCTCTGCTCTCAACTTTCGCCAGTCCTGCTGGAAAATGAGATCAGCATCCATCACAGTGCTGAACTTCACAGCAGTCTGCCACGCTGCGTACTCGGCGTGTTTTGCTGTGATGCTGCCCTGGTGATTTGGAGCAAGCCTGGCTGAAGCCCCTGCTAGCAGTCCAGAGGCACAGCCCCAAAGGCAGGAATCAGCTCACTCGGCTGATGTCACGTTTAGAGCAGACCGACTCCACCACAAACTGGTACTTACTGCAGCCAGCTACTGGAAAAGGAAACGAGTGTGTATTTAAAAAGCTTTTAAAACCTGGTGTTGGTCATGACACTTTTCCTTGGCACGCTGGACTAGGATGTTCAGGCACTGGTAAGCAGGAAGGGTAAAAGGGAGCTGAGGTTTGGAGACACCAAGCAGACATCTTCCCTCGGCCTGCCAAATCCACGTGGGAGCACATGGCAGGACACAGGCATCTGGAAGAAAGTCTCATGCCCTGAACAGCAGCAAGCACCATTCACMCGGTTCCTTCGGTCACGTAGGCCATGCAAAGGATGTAGCTGGCTGCTTTTTCAATTCAGAGAGAAAAGGAAAGGCAAAACTTCAACAAAGACCACAGCAAATGAACCTAACTCTTCATTTTATACCAGGAAAAACAAACCCTCCAGTATTAGCAACGTTAAGGGTTCTGTGCTTAATTTTCAGGCAACAGTTAGAGCCCAGAGTGAGACTAAAGCCAAGGTGGTCACTGTTTGCCGAGGCACAGGGTTTGTAACAGGAACCTCTCTGCAGTCAGCCCCTCACCAAATCCTGCTGCTGAAGGCACCTGAGCTGCTTGCACCAACAAGCCTACTTGTACCCACTGGGGTCTGTGAACACACCACTAGGGCCCCTCTATTATGGCCAAAACTAAAGCTAGGATTAGGACTAAGGCTAGGCTTTAGGAGAGGATGCGCTCCACAGCCAGAATTACTGCCAAATCCGGCAAGGTCTGCCCTTCYGATGCTCTTTTTGCGGGCCTATGCTTGGGGTTTAGAAAGGGCAGGACCTATGACCAAAACTAGTATTATTTCCTCAGCACCCATATTTCTTACTGCATTGAAGGGCTGGCCTCATCAGATCAGTCACCTGGGTTTAGTTTTTGGACCAGAGCAAATACTTGTCTCTAGATTTGCCCAAAGGCAGACACTAGGAGATCTCTATAGGCAGTTCCTCCTGGTTCTCCCAGTGTTGTTCCAAGGTCCACCCGGGAGGATTGGGGCTTGATGACATGACACAAGCTTTCAAAATCAGTGCGGGGTTTCAGAGTGACAAGCAATAGGTTCTATGGTTGGACCCTATCTACTCTGCCCTGCAGTGCTCCCAGCTTGCCCTTCAGAAACAAACATGTCCCCTCCTCCATATGCAGAGAATTCAGCGCATTTCCACACAGACTTCAGAAGAAACCCACTCGTGGATCTATTCAGAATACATTTCTAAAATACTTTAGCCATTTGCTGAGCAGTGAAGCCACATGCTGAAGCTGCTGCACAGGCAGATTTACCCGCCAACACTAGCTTCTACAAAGGCCCTGTTTCGCTCAAAGTGCTAGCAGGGGACAAGGTTATCTTTGCCTTTAGGACAGCACTAGATGAGGTTGTATTCAGAGGTCCAACACTTCCCACTCCTTCAGCAAGGGATGGCTGCCAAGTCTCAAGTTCTGCTATGCTTGGGCCGCAAAAGACAAACCAGATCCCAGCTCCAGCTGGGCCACAGGCTGGCATCACTGCACATCCCCAGCCCCGATGGCTCTCTCTTGTGCTGTGCCTTAGCTACGCTGCAGGACACCTGCAGAAGGCAGCACCATGTGCTAGTGCTCAGCGGCACACAGCAGTCCAGCAAGAAGGGCAGGAGAGCAGATCCCAGGCCTGGGTCTTGGCGAGGCTTTGTTGCACACCTGCTGCCTTAGATGCAGGGCCTTTCCAGCCCAGACAGACCTGTTAGCCCTTAATTGGTTGCAAAGTCAACCTATTTTTATCTCTACTACTATTTTTATCTCTACTCATTTTGCATGTACTAGTACATGTACTAGTACCACATGTCCACACAGGGGACGTGGTAGGGCTAGAATCCAAGTCACCACTCCAGTAAAAATCCAGAGTAATACCATTGATTTTAGTATATTTATTATAGATTTCTGCAGCATAATCCTCTAAACCTAGCCCAGGCAATCCCCTCGCACCGGTCACGGTTGTTACTACATTTACTCGACAGAGGCAGCAGACCGGTGAAGCAAGGCCACTAACAGGTTACAAAACTAATCTCCTAGACAGAGGCTATAAGATCTTCCACACAGATAAAGGATATAAAATGCTGTAATGTTTCTCTTGCCCTTTCTCCAGGGCTAGACTGCTAGGAAGAACCTTGATATTTTTAAGAAAAAAATCCCCAAGACAAACCAAGAAAAAAATCAAACAGAAAACACTGTAGGAGTGAATCATTTTCCTCCCCTTTCAAGACCATGAAAACCAATAGGCTTAGCAGGGGCAGTGGCACTTTATTGTTTGCATCAAGCCATCCCTACAGAGGGGCCTTCTGCACCCCTCGAGATAGGGTTGTGGGGTGACAGGGCACGCACACATCAGGAGACATTCACCTCACATCCAAAACAGCTTACCCTTGGCAAGGTGTCCAGCTTAGCTCTCCAAGGCAGCAGGCCTCCTCCCAACCACGAGAGCCTCTCTGAAGGCTTCCGAGGGCCTCCAGATTTTGGGTGGGTTTTGAGCACGCGCTATTCCCAGTGCAACCAGTGGAGTGATACACATTCAGCTCCTTGGAGGATCCGACCAGGAATAGCTCCGGCACAGGATCAAGAGGGGACCCAGAGCATGCAGATACACCGTTACCTACCTGGGGCTGAGAGGCCAGGTTCATCTTGTAAGGATGCGTCTTCCCCTCCTCAGTTACAAGTGGTGACCAGACTTTTGACTCCGTCCTGCAATACATGATTTTTTAACAATTTAATAGTCTACTTCATCACAGGACACTGTTATTATCATTAAATTATCATTGTTATAATAATATCATTGTTATTATCATATTATCATCTGTTAAAAGCATTTCAAAAGCCTTTGTTATCCATATTCGGAGGGAATCTGGCCTCATTTTTAGGTATGTAACTTCGATGTCTCAGTCATGCTGAAGAGGTCCTTGGAGAAAGGCAGTGCTCCTCCTGGACTGCCCTTTGGGACTAGCAGCACCACAACCATGGGCTGCAGTTCAGGGCATTCAACAACAGGAGCTGGAAATACCCCCCTGGATACACACTTGCTAACTTAAGCAGGACAGCTCATATGACAACGTGTTTCAGCTTCTCCGCACTGAGCCTATAAAGAACGTGTCCTCCTTTAAGTGGGGCTGCCTTGTACAAGCTGGAAATATTCTTTATTTTTAGCATCTAGAATCTTATTATTATTATTTATGCAGTGGTGTCTGTGCTGAACAAACAGGAGCTTTAGGGCGTTATGAACGGACAGGTCCAAGCCTGTAATGAGACCACGAGCAGAGACAATATAATATGTCCAAGGAGACATATGCCTGCATAACCACTGCCAGTCTGTGGTCTGACCCTGTTACTCACAACAGCCTGAAACACAAGTCAAGATCTGTGAGCAGAAACTAYTGCTTTTGCATCATCACTCTGGAGTTTTGCTATGACTTCAAAGAACAGACAAACAAGTGGTGTGAAAGCAGCAGAGCACTTAGATTAGCTCGACGTACTTTGTGGGAAACACTAAGTTGCTCATGAGTAGAGCAGGTAGCCTTTAGAAGTGACTCTTTTGGGACTACAAGCGCTGCTGGGCACAAAGGTCCTCAAAGGAGAGGAGTGACAGCTGTGCTGCTGAATRAAAACCATTGTGCATTGTTAGACATTGCATAACGTAGCAATCAGACAGCTGATAAACCCTTCGCATGAGTTTTGAAAACTATATCCTGTTTGGACAGGAATCCTTTGTAGAATTTGCAACTGCAGATAGATGGACTTCTTAGATAGCTGTGGGTCCAGGGTGAGCTGTGCACGGAGGACCTGGTTAGCAGAGCACGCAAGCTCCCACTTGGAATTAACTGSAGAATGCGCAAGAGACTTAAAACAAAAAAGGCATATAAAAATGGAAAGCTTGGGGAAATGAGGACTGTAGCCAAATCCCAGCTGGCCTATATAATTTCTCCAAAAACTCTACAACAGCCTTTTTAAAAAAAAAAAAAAACAAAACCCAACAACCCAGACTTGACTGAGATGTACGCATATATTTTAGATGTTTTAGTATTTTAAAATAGTATTTTGAATTAGTATTTTAAAATTTACATTTCGATGGTAACTCACTGGAAGGAGCCAGGAGGCAGAATTTTTATRGGGCATTTATTTATGTGCGGTTGTATCTATTACACTCGGGACTTTACACAATAAAACCTCTGACAGAATCCCGGTGTGCTCTAYCTCCTGCCATGGAGAAGCACAAAGACACGGGTCACACCAGCTATGATCTTCAGCAAGCAGCTACACAAGCCTTGGGCTCCAGACTATCCCTTCCTGCGAGCCCAGCTGCAGCACCAACACCCACCCCAACAACCTGCCTTACCTGCACCCTGCTGCCTGCCAAGGCTGGGGCACTCGGAGACCAGCACATAGGAACAAAACGGCTGCACGGCCAGCTTATTTCTTGCATGTGGCCTCCTAATGACGTTTCTAGCTGCTTTTGAGGTATCGTTTCTTTTGCATTTTCTCATATATTTCCACCTTATTCAACATGCAAATTTAAGCTCAGCTCAAGGCAATGGATATGGAGCAAAATCCTTCTTGCTAGGGCTTGGGGCGCCCACGCTCGTGCCCCTGGCCCTCGGCATGCAGGGAGCACGGCCTGTTGGTGTCCAGAGGAGCTCGGGCCAACTACTGCAGCCAAAGGGGTTTTGAGCAGATTTTTCTCCCCTTTTAACAGGAATGCAAAAAACACAAGTTTGTTTCCAAGTCCACTGCCATTCTGATTTGTCACTGGATATAAATGGAGCAGCAAGGTCACCGCAGGCTTTATTTTCTATCCAAGTTACAAGCTATCCAAACAGAAAGGTTAAATATCGCACCCGGTTATCCCTGTAAGGCCGGGAGGATAAAGTCCACTTTGTGTCCACAACAGCTGTGGCAGAGCCCAGTGGTTGCCTCGACCACGGGCCATTTAAGGCCCCAGACATGGTGCAAAGAGAGCAGGGAGCACTGAGAGGGAGGCACCTTCTTGGGTGCACCCCATGCCAGCAGGAAATGGGCTGCGCTCCCCACTGCTGGAAAACCATTTACCGCTTCCTCCAGGCAGAAACCTAGGCCTGAGATAAGAAGGAATTTTCTCTGATGCTGGAATACACACGTAGAAGCAGCTAGCTTGGTCTGCGAGGAACTGGTACGAAGGAGAGGAGGGAAATTGCATGCAAGTCAACACAGGAATCTGGAGAAGTATTTATAAAACAACATTTTTCAAGAAGCCTGGCTTGAACATGGTGTAACATAAACAGCACATGTGCCCTGCCTTTGCTGCTGATGTTCTGCATGCAGTGCTGGGCCACAGCTTGAAGGGAGAATTCCGGGCTGGAAAAGGAGATCCCTAATTCTGTGCATAAATAAGTGCAGAGAGAAGAGGGGCATCTACATTCCTACAAACATTGGACTGAACGTGACTATGAGAAACCAAAGAAGCAATTAAAACTGTAAATGTGGAAGAGCTCCTTGCACAACACAACCTTTGATAGTCATCAAGCATTTTTTTGCACTGATAGATGAGGAATAAGGGAAGGCCTAAGGAATGCCTCTTACCACAGAGTTTCAGACGTGCATTTCTAACAATGGTTGGTGACTACCAAAAGAGCTTTCCAGCTACCGAGGAAGAGAGGCACCTGTTTAACTGGCTTTTCAACTACAGCAGCTGCGAAGTACCTACCCTTGCGTTCAAACACAGCAGCCACTTCTGGCAAGGCTTGTGCTACCCCCGGCAAGCAGAGCCTAATTAATACCTGTGCTCGGGCTGCATGCAGCCCCTCACAGGGTCTAACAGCAGCAYTTCAGGGCTTACTGGGCACAAGAGCACTCAAAGTCATTTCTCTACATAGAGGCCCCTGCTCCTTGCATTTCAGGTCTCCCTTCACGCAGCCACTATAGATGAAAGGCCTGGATGCAACCCTGGCTATGCAAAGTGAGCCACAGAAGAGCAGCACGGGCAGTTTCATTGCAGAGCTGTGAGGTTTTAACACACGTGATAGCTCAGACTTGCACTGCTCTTCYATCAGCCAGCTCCAGAGTAAACTGCTTTTGCCACACAGAAAARAAGCTGTAGAAGTATGCCAAGCCACAGCCTTTATTTGCAAAATAAGTCTGAAYACACCAATGCATCAGCAAAAGCATTTAGTGAGTGCATTGGTGCGAGCTCCCGGCATGCACCCAGGAGGGCTGGTGGCACCAAGCCATCCCGGAGAGCTCGTGGGCAGCCGCAAAGGGTCTTGCCCATATATAGATGCACACAGAGCATCAAGCTTTTCCCAAGGCCAGAAGAATTATTAGTAAGATGACAGAGCTGGAAAATTTTCGCTGGCAGGGAAGCCAAAAACAAACCTAAGTGAGTCAACAGACTCCACGGATTTCCTAGAACACCAGTTCAAGCCTTTCACTTTGCACAGCTTGTCTGCACGGCTGATGATCGGCAGCACACGGACGGGGAGCCCCTGTGCAGCTGAACCTGACGAAGGAAACACAGGACATTTCCCTCTCTGTCTCCTTTTCATCTCCCTGAGCCTGACAATGCATTTAACGTGTGCTTTTAGCCAGTCTGCCTTCCCTGATCCTGGCAGTTTTTAAAGAACTTCACTCACCTTCACCATTTTTGGCAGAGTGACAGAGCGTTTTGCAAACAGAAAAGCTGTAGTTTAGTTTATGCTGGCAGCCAAGACTGGGGAAGAGCAGCTTGCAAGCTGAAGAGGAGGACAGTGGGCGCGGAACAAGAGAGGACATGTTTGCAATCCCCATGCATAAACATTCCTCTCATCGTCCCACCCGCAGCCTGCCTCCGGTCCCGGCAGGAAGGGCAGGATCGGGATCACTGCAGGAACGCTGGGTTTTCGGTAGCAGCAAGCCCACTGTTTACCTCTGAGGTGCCCCCAGCTACATGCGAGCCCAACGCTACTGCCACTGAGGGCAGCCCTAAGGGCAAAGCCCTTCATTTTTGAACTGATATTCACCCAGGCTGCTGATAGAGCGAGTGTCTGTGCGTGTGTCCATCTGTTCTGCCCTGCAGCTCTGGCTGCCCCAAGCTGTGTGCCCCAGATCCATCAGGAATCGCTCCTGGCAAGGCCTGGACGCCTGTTGGGCTGCTGAATTTGGTGGCAGGAGAGTTTGTTTGCCCTGAGCCTTTCCGTTTCTGAGCGTTCCCTTGTCAAAGAGGCTTTCCTTCCCAAAGCACACTGTGTTTCCAAAGCAAGCTGATGGCTTTCTCCAGGCTGCCGGGCACGTCTTGATGGTTTCCCCCTTACAGGGAAATCAAAGGTCCCCTTGGACCGGATGCAGCCTGGGGGAAGGTTTTACTTGACCCCAGCATTTCAGCGCTAAGACGTACACACCCTAGTTAGAAAGGGAAAAGGGCTTTTCTCAAAGACTCAACAGCCAAAGCTTCCTTTTTCCAATGAATGGGAGAGGCTGAAAATGCAGCCCGTGACATTTCTCAGTTTGGCAATATAAGTTCTATTACCTTATCATCATGTGCTTTGGAGTCTGCTTGTGCAGGCAGCCAGCTTTTTTTTTTTTTTTTTTTTTWWKTGCACTGAGCAAAATCAAGGTACAGAGCTTGCTCATACASCAGTCGAGACAATATTGGGACCTTGATGTTGGTTTCCTGGGAGCAGCATTTCTAAAGCACACCCCAGGCTGAAACAAAGAGCAAAGGGAGTGAGCAAACAGGCTGGGAAAGGAGTGGTGCTTTCCTAGACAGGCTGAGGCCAGCAGGAATTTGGTGAATGCGCCAACTTTGCAGAACAACCCTTCTTGACACAGAAGACGGGCCCTTAGCTCCACTCACTTGGCCAACAGCAAAGCACCTGGCAATGCCAGTTAGAAAAGCATATTCAGAGCAAACAGCTCAGGGCTGGGTTTAACTCCTAGGAAATTAATAGATTTCTACCAGCAATAAATTCGCCCCTTTGGGTGAAAATGCAGACCGGGCGTGTTCTCTTCTGCTAGTAATTCGATCCATTTTTAACAGCGACATGCGTTAGACTAAATTTCCTGCCTACAATCTGATCTGAAATATTTTTGGACTGTTACCATCATTAAGGAAAATACCGAAACAGGAAACATGGGAATGCCGTTGATAATTCACAATCAAGCACGCGGTACAAACAGCATTTCCTTTACCAGAAATGTTAAAGTCCTTCCCATTCTCTACATTTATACTTCTCTTAAATAGTCATAAGCACAGCCAAAGATAAGGAAAACTTCACCACCCAGCTAAGGTTAAAAGAAAGGAGCATTGTATGATGCTTAACACACACGGTTTTTGTAGGTCTAGGAAAAGGCACAAGGGCACAAGAGTCTTGCTGCTCTCCTCAGCCGTGTTGCCAGTGGCCCTCACTGATCAGCACAAAAGCAGAAGGGTMCATCACAAATGTCCTGCCACCTCATTCAAGCATTGCCTGGGAGGAGATGGACTGTTCTAACTCAAAGCCACTGCACACTTTTACCTGACTGCACATCCAGACAGAACTGTCCTGGGCAGCTTTCGACTCACAGATAATTAAATGCACACGGGGTAGCTAGAAAGTTAACAACTTTGTAATTAACATTAGCAAACACATTTTACAGACTCAACGATGTGTAAGACTGAGCTTGTTCAGCAACTGAAACAGCCCTTCCCTCCTCTCTCCCAACCAGGATCACGTGCCGGGAGGCTGCTAAGTCAGGAAGTCTGGCATTTCAGAGGGAGGAACGAGATGCCTTGGCAGGAGCTGCCAAATTCACAGTTACTTGGAGAAAGCTGGGGCTATTGTGCTGCTGCAGTGCTTGCCACCCACCCATGCAGCCTTCCCCATGATATTGTGCTGATCACCCCTCCATACAGTTTTCCATATGCCATTTTCTTTGCTTTACAAACTATCTGACTGAAATCTATTTTTTTTGGCCAAGACCATTAACTTCTCTCTTAACTGGGAAGTGCCTGCTGACCTTAACCATTCTGTGATTCTGTGACCTCCTGGCATCATCCAAGCCACAAAAAGGGATTTCCACTTACCACAGAACAGCCTGAACACAGAACTATGTCTCATTTAAGGCATGTTGTTGTTCCCCTTTCCAAATCACTACACCTGCCATCACATASAGTCACTCTGTGGAGGAAGGCAGCCAACTGAACAGCTCATGGTAGAAAGAGACATGCCAAGGTGCCTTCTAGTTGACTTTCAGAAGTGAAGGGTACCCATGGCTGCAATTCAGACCAACAAGAAGCACTCCAGAAAAATCAGGCTCCAGAAATGGGTCAATGAAAAAAGGAGACCCTCACCTTTCCAGAYGCTGTTGCTTTCTGTGCAGATACAACCCAAGATTGAGACATGGGTGGAAAAGGGAATGAAGCTGCCCATTGACCCTCACTCCAAGATGGTAGAGAGGCTGAGGTCACCCCCTTGCCCCAAACTGGTGATCAAGATGGTGGCCAAGACAACCCTTTTGAGTCCATGCATGGCAAGAAGCAGTCAATTAGTGTCTGGACAACACACAATCACACTGTTTAATTGATAAATTACTGCAACAGGAAGAAGTACTGTCTTTAGTCACACCTTCTCTGCTATTAGTGAGGTTTTCATGAGACCTGCCTTGAATTTTCTGTTGTCAGAAGCTGCAGAACARGCTAACAGACTGTATCACAAATTATCAGTCGATTTCTCACTGAGAAATTTGTTTTCATAAGGTCAAAGTGCAGTAAACACAAGCAGTATTAAAGGCTGAACTGAGGTTCCCTGTTGCAACCCAGTGCCTGGCCAAACACAGCAACGAGATGTCAGATTAAACAAGGCAGTGGGGAAGGTCTGCTATCAAACTAAAACACATCCACCAGGCGCTGGGTGTCCCCCCTCGCTGGGGGCCGTACCTGCTGACCGTCAGAGTCAGCTCCTCTGTGCAGCCCTTGATTTTGTTCTGCGCCTCCAGGTGCGTCATGTTGTCCGTGTTCACGCCATCGATGGCTATGATCTGGTCTCCGATGCACAAGTTGGCTGTTGCAGCTTTGCTGCCCGGAGTYACCTAGGAGAGAACAAAAAGAGTGACTGGGCTTTCCAAGGAGCAGCTTTGCTACCAACACCGYAGGGACAGCGGGAGCCCTCAGGGCTTCTCTTGCTGCTACCTGGAAATGAGGAGGTGAAAATTGATGAAAACAGATTCTTAACAGAAATCTGTCTGGCCTATGGGAGTTTGGATCTGCATCTTAGAACTTCCTACCCCAAACTAAGTTCTGTCTAGGGATGCCAAAATATAATCCTGCCCCTAACTTTAATAGTCAGGAAGTTCTAAATGTTAATAAATGTTGATGAGCAAGTTAAAGGTACAAAAAAAAAAAAAAAAAAAAAAAAAAAAGACTTTTCTTTCAAGGAGATTGACATTGTACTAACAAAGAACAAGCCAGCACACAATAAAGAGAGCATACAGAGAACAACTCTGCTTTTCACTGGAAACAAACTTCCAAAACAGGAAGCGCTCAGGACAGCCAGAAAGTCTGATGCTTGGAGAATAGAGATGCCAGAAAAAGAGAGGGAATCAGAGTCACTCCAGTACGGTCAACAGCAATCACTGCTTCTTTTGCATCACAGTCTCAATTGCTTTGCTGTCAGAATGAAAGTTTGGGCTCATGACTTTGGTTTGCTTCTTYAGTTTTAATAATTGGATTTTGGCTTTCATTGTTTTCAATGGGATCAAATCTGATCTATCAGTACTTGGTCTATCAAGAATAAAGCAAAAAGGCATCAGAAATCTCATCTTTAAACTGCGATCTGACAGTACTTTCTGAGAAAGTGACAGCATCATCCCCAGCACCTCAGCCTGAGCACAGCTCRCCTTGACACACATTTTGCCACCTTCCATCTCTGTGTACCGTACTGGGCTTTCCATACTTACTGCTGCACTGCTGAGGAGCTGCTGTGCTCTATCCAGGAAATACCTGATGGGAAAGGTCCTGGGATAATCTCACTTGGATCCCAGACAGACACTGTGTAGGAAGGCCATTCATATAACACCCCCAGAGAAACAGGAAGGTCACAGCTAACGTTTTCAAGCTACCTAACAAACACCTTAATTGCTTTTCACTACTACATCCACTAAAGACATGTCCTTTCGACAGCCAAGATCTCCCTAACCCAGAATTAATACCCGGGCTGTGGGTGAAGCGTGTGGYAATTGCTGGCTGCTTTGCGACCTCTCTGTAAGGTTTTGGGCAGCTATAACGACTTTGAGGGAGAAGCATCCTGCTTGCAGAGTGCTTTAATCACTTATTTAATAGGCAGAGGAAATCAGAAGGGTGGCCTGCTCCCATACACAAGTACGGACTAGGACATGCCTTGGAGCTGGGACACACCTCGGCTACGAGGCCCTCCCGACTGGCATTCACCCTGCACGTTCATGCTGGGCTTCCGTGCGCTGCAGGGGCTAGAAAGCAGCCGGGCAAACCCAGCAGAGCTGTCAGACATCAATAAACATTCTTCACAGGATTTAGACAGTGCTCCCATTATGGGATTACACAGCAAATCATTTCCCCATGGGGTATACCCACCTGCTAGGGGTGTGACACGTTTGCYGCAATTGCAAAATTGAAAGAATTGAGAATTACAAAAAGGAGACTGCTCAGCACTCCTTCACAGCTGCAGTGGGACATCATCCCCAGTGAGAGCAAAGACTACCAGATGCTTTTCCCCTCTTTCCATACCCATGTCAGAAAGAAGGCTGGAGTACATCACAGACGTCCAGCTTGCCCAAGGTGCTTGGCATTAACCCWAAGACTTTCAAAAGGATCAGGAGAACAGTGTCCTCACCTACCTGCTTGCAGTTTTATTGCTGCAAGCAGACTGCAAGTTCACAGAGGATGTGCTAATGGAAAGGCCAGGCAAGGTACTGCATGGATACAAACAAAAATGTGCTTTCCAAGTAGAAGATCACAGCCTCTGGGAAAGGCGCGGTGCTCACCTCCGTGCGGAGCCCTGAGCTCAGCACGCTGTGACCATCACTCATTTTCAGCCAAGTCAAGAAAAACAGTGGAGTGACACCAGCACTGGAGCGCTGCCGGAGGCCTGGCCTTGTGGGTTGTGTTTAAAGACTGATAATGTGCAACATTTGGCCGGCTATTAGAAATGATCCTGTAGCTTGAGGAGCAGCTGAGTGTGAGCAGCCAGTGCCACTGAAGTACCAAAGCCTCCTTAAGAAATCCTAGTACGCACAGAGATGGGGACAGATGTCTGCAGGAGCCACCCCTGCACTCTGTGGTGTCACATTCCCTTTCTGCGTCCACTTCAGAGGCCCCTGGAACCTGAGTGTGGCCCTTGCTCGGAGGAGAGCACCCACAGCACGAGGGTGGCTGTGGCCACGCAGGTAACCTGCAGACCTCTCCCCGAAGGGCAAACCGCAGGGCTGCACAGGCTTGAAGGAGACGAGCAGCCTTGCCAAAAGGAAATACGCCCCAAAACCCAGCTCTTGTAGTTCCTGAAATAACTTGCCCTGAAACGTAACCTTCCGTAAACTTGTTTCCCTGCAAAATCCAGCGTGTACCCTCCGCCAGGGCTGCTCTAGGAAACGTGTCCGCACACGAGCGCGCTGCTGCGGGGAACCCACCCCATCCTTCCAGGGGGTTGGGAGCAGCTCATCACACCTTCCTCCGCGTTCTTGTGGGCTCCTCTGCCTCGCTCCGCGCCGCTCTCAGACACGCTCGCCTGCCACCAAACCAGCGAGGCGAAAGCATCCCTGATACGTGAGAAGGCAGGGAGCTGCCGCAGGCAGGATCCATTTCTGCAGCGCCACATCCCTCGCTCGCCCGCGGCGCAGCCCGGCCGGCTGCTGCTCCAGGAGCAGTTTCCTCGGGAAGGAGGGGAGAGCACAAGCACCCGGCGTGCCAGGGAGTCTTCCTCAATGCTCGGAGGTTTCGGCATCCTGCACATCCCTACCAGTCACCAGGACCGTGTGAGAAGCCCCCCCCACCTGCACTCAAGCTTCAAATACCCCCAGAAGCTTCTGCCCCCGGCACATGGGGCCTGGGCTGCCACAGAAATAACCTAGTGCCTGTAACCTGCCGCTTCAGACTGAGCCTGGATGCCAGCTCAGGACTAAGCGCCAGCTCAGACACACTTGCCAGCATATGGAAGAAGCAAATAATCCCCGTAATCTACGGGCTTGACTATGTACTCCTTACTCAGGAAATCCCAATGAAATAGATAACATGTTGACTAAGTACTAATTATAGGCTGGGATGTGCTTTGTAAAGACGCCAAGGGCATCTTTGTATAGATTCAGGGATGACATGGATAGTAGAAACGCCTGCATGACTTTCTTACGCACCAAAGCCAAGTTTTGTCTACACATTCTTGCATGCACATATATATAAATCCTGCAATCGAGAGACATGGGGTAGGCCAAATTGAGCGTCACCGCTGGTCTAGTCCCTGCTGTCTCCAAGGCCGAGAGAGACACCGAGCTGCCCCTTCCTCCAACAACAAGACATCTCCGACACGCCACTTAATCCTGCCCTGGCCCAYGGTGAGTGATGCTCTTGGTGCTGGAGCACACGCCAAGCAGCTACGGCTTCTCCCGGCCAAAGCCGGGTCAGCAGGGAGCAGGGGCTGTGGGAAAAGACCCGCGGGCACCTTGCCCACCCTGAGGGACCACCGCCACCTCCAGCGGCCCCTCAGGGTTTACTGAAACAGGGAAGGTTTACTGGGCAGAGCACGGAGAAGACTGGCTCCATCTCAGTTTATTCCATGGGAATCGCATGCTCTGGATGCTGTGGGTTGCAGCTCAGTCCTCATATAACCCACCGTGGAAAAGGCACYGGTGACATGTTTGCCTAGGTGGGTGCACAGTCAGTGGTTGAAGAGTTAGCCTCAAAGCTCATGAACAACATTAAAAAAAAAAAAAAAAGAAGATTTCTTACAAGACCTGAAAACCTTTACAGAAAGCAAGCTGCTCATAGCCGAGCCTTTCCCCATAGTTTATTTCATCCTCTAAATAAAACATGTCCAGTAATCAGCAACTATGTAAGATACTGTGTCACTGTCCAGAACAACATCAACTGTTTATGCAGTTAAGGCATCCTTAATTTCCGTGTTTATTCTGCAGAAAAATGCATTTGCTGTAGTTTTTCTGATGCAGGCTCCTTCCAGCCTGACATGGCCCAGAAGGACAGTTCTGTCCAGCAAACAGCCCTGGCCACAACAGAACATCTGCTTCCTTCCTCAGCCCACTAAGCAGCTCCGTCCCCCTTGCTGTGTAGTAGGCTACTTTAGGCTACTTTCTCAGTGGGGAAATGCCCAGTTTCATACCAAAAATGTAGATACTGTTTCTGACTCATTTCACAGGTTTTGACACATGTCCCTTCCAAACGAGCCTGGGGTTTTGTTGGAGAAATGTAAAATCAGATTCTCCCCACCTACGTTCTCCTCGTTCTTGCTCTAGATGAACACACTCGGAGTTYAAAACACCCCAAGCAGACGGAGAACAGGGTTCTTTGCTCGGTTCTGCACATAGGTTCAGCCAGAGCCCCAAATCTGGGCTGGAGTAACATGGAAGCACCCAGGAAACAGCTGCTACCTGAGGGATGGAAAGGGATGGGGTCTGTTAGCGGCACAGCTTTGCAGACAGCTCTGCTTTGCCAGCAAGTCTCCTCATGYACTAGGTTGCTTGCTCCTCCACCAGATCCACTAATCTCGCAGGAATTTAGCTGGAAACTGCCCTGACCACAGGCAAGCCACAGAGCTACTATTACCCTCTGGCATGTCAGCCCACCACTTGGAAAGCACTGGGAAAAGCTGGAGCCCATGAGTTCATTGCACTCTATCATCTGAGGAGTGATAGAATCCATGGTCTTTCTTTATTCCCATAAGGAAATGAAGCAGGTTTTGATCTAGGCTTCATCTCACAGAGCAACACAACGTTCCCTCCGAACAAAGRCTTTGATAAAGAGTTCACCACTACCCTACAGTTACAAAAAGAAACACGAAGGCAGAAACATCTGCAAAGCATCCCTTTGAAAAAGAACGGGAAATTCCACAAGGACGTCTCCCACGAAGCACTTGTGAAATCCCCGCGCTCGGCAGACCGATCCAGCGAGCTCCAGCAGCCAGCAGCGTTTGCACGGACAAGACGCTCATGACATAGCTCAGCCTGCAGCAGTTTCAACATCCAGCAGGAGCGAAAAGGGAGCAGGGAGGAAATAAGAGATAAGAAGAACTGTGGAGACGCCGTAATCATTCATCCGCCTCTGGTTAGGACATGACAGCCCGTGAGGGGCTTTTGGTGGCTGCTAGTACCGGTCCCCGTGTGCTGGACACCCCGTCAGCRCCCAGCCCCATGGCCAGGCCTGGCTCCCTCCCCTACCTGCTGCCTCGGCTGGGCCACAACTGTGCAGGTCACAAGCACAGTAAGYGACAGCAAAGCTACAGCCCCATAAAAGCACCATATAAGAACCACACTCTATAAAATTGGGAAAAAAGAAGCAGACTGGCTCTTTTTTACATGGTAAACGGGGGAGATCAGCAGGAGCTCGCTGCTGACCCAGGGGGAGATGAGGAGGAAGGTGAGGAGCAAACCACAGCAGAGATCAATGGCTTGAAGCCTAGGAGGGGGGATTAAAAATGTCAGAGGCCACAGGAGAGAGCTGTAACACGAGCTGCCCATTGTCGGCATTTACGTCACCCAGATACGAGCGGCGATTTTACCGCCGTTGGTCTCCAGTGTCACAATCAATTTCTCCCCTAAGTGGGGAATTTCGCCTCTTTGCAGAGCTGCATCCCCCCAACACGTCCCCAAACACCAACACAGACAATGAGGTGCCCACAGAGGCAGCTGAGCAGATGCACTTCTGCCCACCAGCCTTTTACTGGAAGGAAATGGCAGCAATTATGGTWACAAGGAGGTAAATATCGCTTCCCCCAGGCCACAGCCCCTGTCCTGCCCCAAAATGCTTCCTAAGCATGAGGATGGTTGCTGTCACTGAAAGAGGCTAAGGAGAACATTAACCTCGTGCCTTCCTTGGCCAGTCTGAGCGCACTCGTCGGCCTGTCTCCCCCAGGAGTGGGGCAGCCTCCCGGCCTCAGTGGGTCCTGGGGCAGCAGAAGCGGAGTGGGAGCAGGCGGCATCCACAAACCACAAGTTTCCACACAAGTTTCAGCACCGTGTTCCTCAAACAGCAGCTCCTGAAAGCTGGAGGTCGGGTGTACCGGCCACCCCAGACCACAGAGATTCCCCACGCACTGACTGGGCACTCGTGCCCCAGCTTTTTATAGTCCTAGGACGAACTGGGGGCGTAGGGACCGRCTCTTCACCATGACCTGCTGGATGCAGCAGCAGGGCCGCGGTGCCGGCACTCGGTGCCGTGAATTCCCATGCAGGAACGCGGGGCAGAGCGGGCAGCAGGGCCGGCAGAGCCCTGCTCCGAAGCCGGCAGACAAAGCACTTAAGCGAGGYTGTGCAAATTAAGTTACACCATTAAGAGGCTTTAGATGTCAAACTTTGTCACTTCCTAACTTAATTTCCTTAAGTTGGGGGCGAGATGGACATATAACAGAAACAGAGAGATGCACTTAAGGGAGGTTAAGATGGTTTCTGTAAACAAAGGATTTTCTTTCAACTATACATGGCAAGTAAAAACACCGCAACACCACCCCAGCACTCAGCACCACCTCAGTGCAACTGCAGCTCACTGAACCACCACTGCCGAAACGCCGCTGAGGCAGCACAACCCCAGTTACCAACCGGCCGGAGCAGGGACGGTCCCCGAGCCTGACCCCAGAGCTTTGTTACCGACAGCTGAAAAGGGACGGTACCTGAGAAGCAAAAGCACCCATAGAAAACACAATCTGTGGAGGCAACCAACAAGTCTGAGGAGGAAAGGTATAAAAAAAAGGCATATAAGGCATATAAGGTATAAAAAAAGGAAAAGGGGATGAGGGGAAGGAAGAAAAAAGGAAAAATATAAAAGGGGAAAAAAAGGAAAAGGGAAATGGGAGAAAGGGAAAAAAAGAAAAGGGAAAAAAAGAAAAAAAAAAGAAAAAAGGAAAAAAAAAGTGAAAAAAAGAAATGGATAAAAAGAAAAATAGAAAGGAAAAACGGAAAAAGACAAAAAGTGAGGAAGAGCGAGAAAGGGGAAAGACATAAGAAAACGAGAGAACAGAAAAAGGTGGTGAAAGCAGGAGTGGGGAGGCAGGACAGGGGCTGGGGCGCTGCCCGGCGCGCCGAGCCACCTGCCCGCCGCCGCCCTACCCGGGAGATCGTGAGGGGCTGCTCGAAGTCGCGGCCGCCCACGAGGCGGAAGCCCCAGGGCCCGGGGCCCTGCAGGGCGATGCGGAGGGTCCCCATGCGCCGCTGCTCCTCGCGGCTCCCGCAGCGGCCCGGCCGGCGCAGCGCGACCCGGCCCGGCCCGGCCCGGTCCCCCCGCCCCCGGCCCGCCCCCCGCTCTTAACGCTGCCGCCGTTCAACCTGAAGCCTAATGACGGCCGTGTAACTGAGGCGGCAGTGCTTGCCGTGGACAGCAGCACTGGTGGGAGTTACGGGCTCCAGGAGGGTGGTCCCGTTGCCCCAAGTCAGCTCTGACTAGTCCTGCTTTAGGCCGACCTTTGCCCATCTCCAGCCCCGTGCTCCCGGTGCGGGGACAGCGGTGTCACCSCGAGGCTGCCGCGGGGCTGGGGCTGCCCCTCCAGCCGCCCTGGGTGCCGCAGGGCACCACGAATGCAGCAGCAGAGCCTGGGGCTGCCCCGTGGCACGTACAATAACAGCTCCGCTTTGGAAAGGGCTGCGGCCGCTGCCCCTGGGTGCTGCTGCCCCCTCGCCCGCCCAGCCCCACGGCACAGAGTCTGCATCTGCTGCCCCACCTGGGCTTGCAGCGAGGTGGGTGTCCCGCGTGAGGGGAACCCCTTGTGAACCAGCCTTTGGGTGAGCAGAAACCCTCCAGGCACCGCGTGAGGAGCCACCCGGGCCGGCACGGAGCACTCGGGAGGACTTCTCCACTCCCCGCACCTGCACCCCGCTGTCAGCAGCACCTTGGCCCCGCGCTGCGCAGGATCTGGGTGCAACGCGGTCTCTCCCTCCACTTGGGCACGTCGGTTCCTTCAGGATGCAGTCACGGCCCTCCTGGGGCTCCAAAGGGCACCGCTACGGGAACAGCGGCRACAGACTTTAATAATCTGAACAAGGAACACGAGGGGAATTCAATACTTCCATTTATTAATAGCCAAATTTTAATCCACTGCAATAAGAAACAAAAAACACAAAAATAAATTGCAATTTGTGTATTTGTGTGTGTGTGTGTGTGTGGGTGTGTGTAACAGAGTCTGTGTGTATGTATGTGTAACTAAAAATGGCAAGAGCAAGAACAAAAAAATAAACCTTTAAATGAGTAGGTTATATACAGTCAGTATCATCATGTTACTTTGCTGGATATATTAAATTTGGTGTTACCCAATCTTAGCAAGAGGCCTAAATATTGAGGCAGGTAGCTGGAGGGCAAACCCCAAGCAGAAAAACAAACCCATAAGTAAGAAGCAGGATTCAAGTCATCTCCTGCAGAAAGAAACAATGGTGCTTTGTGTCATATTTGTAACCTTTCATAGTGGATATTTTGTGCTAAAACACTTCATGTGAACATACAAGGAATYCCATCATTTAAATAAAAGGGGAAAAATCCCAACCTTTCATAACTGCCTTTTTTTTTCCTTCTCCCTTCATTTAATGTGTTTAAATTATTTTTCTATACAAGGTAAGTACATTGTCTGTACAAAGTTAAATATACATATTTACAGTCAAACTTCTGAGACACCGAGTCTTCTCTTCTGCTTACCTAGGCAGAAGACAAGCCTGTTTGATTTTAAACCCAGGGGAATGGCTAAATTTATCAAAACGTATTGCAGGTCGTGCTAACAGTTAGTTGCAGTTACACTTACTAAATCTGTATAAAAGCATCAGCATAAAAATAGGCATTTTATATTATTAAATACGACTTATGACAAAATAGCAATCTAACCCTTTGCTATTTTTATGGTAACTATAGGAAGCAGAGTCTGATGCAACTGGTTTTGTTTATGCTTTTTTTCTTAATAATAAAACATCTATCAAAAGAGTATTTGTCCTGGATTTACAGGCAAGCATACAGGCAAGCCTTTCTTTTTTTTCCTCAAGGAAATACAAATATATGTAGCTGGTAATACCTGTGGAAACACAGCTTTCCAAATTGATTAGGCTTTCTTGTTTGACTAAGAGGCAGCCAAAATGCATATATTTATTTGAGACTTACCATCAACACTGTAACCCAAAGAAATAAAAGGCACCCTCAGTGACATGTGGCTTGGGTCTATCAGAGCCTCTAGGACGCAACGCCGGGAAGGAGGCGACATCTTCATCCCATACGCAGGATCCCAGAATCCCAGAATGCTTCCAAACGYGTGCAATCATGTAGGGCCAGCAACAGGGCAGGAGGAGCAGGGAAAGTGAGCGGCCGTAGGACTTATAAACAGGATTTGCTCTCATGGATGTTCTGTTTATTGGCTCTATTCTTTGTGCAGATAAACGTCAAAGCTGGGCTGATCTCTCCTTAAAACACATGACTGTTTTGATGCACACAATACACTCACACACACACACACCCTGCACAAAAGAAGATAAGAAAACCCTGCAGAAATGAGGAGAACGAAGGGTCTAGGCAATTTTCATAGTTGCATTATGTTCTGGCTGATCTCTATGGATTAAGCTATGGATCTCCAACTCCTTTCTCACACAGACTCTGCAGTTTAAGCACACGAGCTGTCCTCTGCCTGTGCTGGGTCTTAGGGTGCACGACACGAAGGGAGGGTTTTCTGTGTCAGCGGAAGGCAGAATGAAGTGMTTCTTCGGCGGGCAGCAAGCGCGGCCTCCCGAAGCTCTTCAGTGAACGGCGGCCGCCGCGCGCCCACGCTGCCCCCACGCACTATTGCAACYCAACACACAAACAAAACCTGCACCAGGTGCTTCCCCGAAGCCTTCTCAGAGGTAAACACTCCATACAAATTAAGATTATCACCAGGACTCTTGCCGGGGAGGGGAGAGGAATACACAAAGGCAGCACTGTAAACTAGAAACTTTGCCTCTTCTTAATCAAACAAATCACACCCTGAATCAGTGGAAGTAGGGCTACACATTCAACTCAGTACTGTACCACATAACCACATCCTCCTAACACTCTCGTCTCTTGTCTAGTACATTCATAAATTGTCTCTTTCTTTGCTATTTAAAAACACCATCTGGAAACGACTCCATCCTCGTCACTGTGGGATCACTGCTTTGTTACAGATACAGAAGCTTCACGTAGTTGCCTGGGAAGGTGCCGAACTGTCTTGTTCTCCTGGATGTACCTGTGGGGGAAAGGAAACACAAGGAAGCCAGAGTCAGATGGAGTCATAGAGGGAAAGCTTAGAGGTTTAGAAGGAAGGTGAGGCAGTTTGCTTTTAGGCATTACTTCCTAAAATWAAACAGGAGTCCTGGTCAAAGAGCCTCTGGGGAGCAGAACAAGTTCTGCTACTAATCATCTTTGCCCTTTGTTTTCCATGTATCAATAACAATTAACAAGGTGCTGGTAAAACTCCTGGGCCTACACGCTAAGTGCCAAATTCCTCTCAGTTTAAATGGGCTRACAGGGTGTAAAGCCTCGATTTCCACTGCTGGAATGGCAAGTACTGTCCAGAAGGCTACATTTCTAAACCTATAGCTATAGGTGAGGCTGGACTTCCAGGGGCTGCAGCTCCCATTTCTCCTTACTTGCACTGCCACCACTCTGCACCTCATTTTAATGCACCTCATCTTGGTGGGAAAATGAGAGAAAAGAGGTGATTTTCTTCCCCTCTGTTTTACCCCTGCAGATGAGGGCAGCTTCCAGCTGCTCCGCGAAACCGCTTGCCTGCATCTCCAAGAGCGCAGCCAGCAGGCAGGGGACACTCACCCACAAACCAGCCATCATCACACTTCTCCATGACATCCACAATGTCACCGTCCCGCAGCTCCAGCTCATCGTCGTTCTGAGGAGTGTAGCTGTACAGGGCTTGGTAGCTAACTCTGAAAACAGAGGGATATTGCACATTAGTCAGTGGATTTTTCTGACATGTCAGTAGAAGACATCCCCATTCCCTTTTCTAATTCCCACAATGTTTCGTTTGGTGCAATCTAGACCTCATGCGATTTCCATTTGAGAGGTCAAAGCCAAKTGCATTAATCTGGCTATGGTCACAGAGCTGTAAGAGCACTGAGCATGATGCACTGAGCACTGAGCATGATGCCTACGCTGCGTGAGAGCTTCTGCTTCCATTTTGCCACAGTCTCCACAGACCATGGCCACCAGAGCTTTGCTAAAGGCAGCRCCAGGAGAGGGTCAGATACCACATTGAATTCAATATCAGACCCTGGATACACTCATGCCTGGGCAAAACAAGACTTTCCTTTCCTCCCCACCCCAACACAGGCAGAGCCACAATTTAGCAAATGGCTGACAGGGTGAAGGACTTCAGGAAAGCTGCTGTCTACTCTGCTGCACTGACGTTGCTCCACGACTCCAGGCCAAGGAGGAACAGCGTAAACAGAAACCAAAAACTGAATCCTGTTGTGAACTACCTCCTACACCTGYGACTACCAGAAGGGAATATTATGGAGTGGAAGCAATCCCTGGATATACTGGGGAGGTTTGGGTTCTCTGGCTACAGACAGTGGAAATAGGGATGGTGTGGGATTTTCCATTCTGCATGAGAACAGGTGGTGGGAAGCAAAATCTCCTGTTGGGAGCCAAACAACAACGAACTTCAGTCCCCAGTGGATACCACAGTTTGATATTCCCAAAACCATCAGTCAAGGACCCAACTGAGCTTAAATGGCAGCTCCAGACTAGGGGACAGCTTTGAAAATCTCAACCTTAGTTTCTCAGATCATTCAGCTACTGGTTTTTCAGTGCACTTGCCTGACAACGCAGCAGTTGGCACTGTGAAAAGCTAAGAACAAGTGTGCCCAATGTCAGYGCCCCAGGTAAGCCAGAGAGTGGATGATGATTTGACTCCAGCTTCAAATTCAAGGACATTGAGATAGTCTCCCATAACCAACATGAAACAAGTGCCCAAGGGAGAGCTACTTGTGCATCATGAGATCTTTGTTCCACACAGTACACAAACACAAAGGTACCAGTTTTAGGCTTCTCACTAAGATGATGAAACTTTAAAACTTCTCACATTCTGGCTCTTTAAAAAACGACTGCCACCTTTACCCTTAACTGACTTAACTCCTGAGATGCTGAAGCGCATAGAAGACATGGGAGCCAAAAGGACTTACATGTCTCGCGGGGTATGACTTCTGTCAGGGCTGGCTCCTTGCTGCTGTGCTTGAGGTTGCTGAGAAATGATGAGAGATGGTTTATGGTCATTAGAGGTCACCTTGTGGCGAGAGTCAAGAGGCTGAGAAATAGTACTGCAGTAATGAACAGACTTTTCTGCAATGTTTATGATCTCATTGCAAACAGCTTCCTGCGTGGTAGGCAGCATTGACATCCAAGAACACCCAAAGAACAGTCAACAAGGGGAGAGGGAGGGGAGAATATAGACAGGAAGAGATGGGACATTCCAGATGCAGCACATAAGTCCAGCAAAAATAAAGAGAGTTGTAGATCCAAGTAAATATCCAGGTAGTGGAGTGCAGAAGGGATCCAGGTGTAAGCATGGAAAGACAGGCAAGATACAAAAGAATTTCGCATTTAGTTTGAAGATATGTAACAAATGCATACACATATRTTTTAAAAAGCAGCAGCATAAGAGGTTGCAATTAGTTAGGCAGTGGCACCAATACAAATGCTATGGAATCAGGTGTAATATGTAAGGTGGCTGCTTCACTCATGCATTTTGTCTTATTTAACTTATACCCAAGGACTGGCAACACATTTAGCCCAACTCTTCATTGACAATGGCAGCTTTTAAGTGCTAAATCCCCTTTTTCTATTGCAAACATAACAACAATATGTAAAAAGATAAATACCTATTGTGCAGCTAAAAATACTGCTGGTAATTTATACTCTACTGTCTGGGTGAAGAGAGGCTAGGACTACACATCTGATTTAAATGGTGGCCTTACCACATAGCTCTTTTCAGACTCTGTGAGATCTGGTCCAGCTCTCAATGAATGGTGGGAAGGCTGCGTGATCACCAAGCAAATGATAAGGAAGACATTTTAGCAGATGTTATATTGCTCAGAATTAAAAATCTGTAAATGGTGTGCAGACAACAAAAGAAAACGAACAACTCTTCCCCCACCCCTCACCCCAACACTGCTCCTCTTGGCCAGCAGGGTCTTTCATTGACGTGCAGGGACATGGAGGCTACAGTGATGCGACTGCATCATGTCACACAGAACGCTGCAAAGAGAAGCAAAACTGAACATGAGAGCGGGGAGCCAGARGACGAGATGGAAGAGCAGGGGCACAGCTACAACGAGAAATGACGCGCAGTGCAACACTGCGTTCCTGGGAAACAAGGGCAGAAGCACATATGGGGGCTCCAGACTCCAAAGGCCAAAACCAAGCTGAGAGGAAACTGCTGCTGTTCTCCCTTTCTGACTTTGACACAGRAAAGACCGGGAATTTGCTTGCTTCCTAAAGGCAACCAGCTCAGCTCTTCAGAAGTCAATCTTCTCAGTGCAGCCCTATCAAAATCCCGCTCCTTGTAGCAAGTGAGGATCTGAGCTGCTGTGTTAATGCTCYGCACAAGGACGAGCTTCAGGTCAGAGAACATCCTGCCTGAAAAGTCCAGCTTCAAACACCACTAGCTGTGACACCTTCCGGACCCRAAGCTGTTTTTCTCCCCACTCGCACTTCTTTTTGCAGGGCATCACGTGTCCAGTTCAGGGAGCTGCAGGRAGACTCAGTGAGCTGCAGCTTTGCAGGGGGAAGTGTCACTGCAAAAGCTGCACGGAAATACCCAGAGCCTTGGCTGGGCACGCTTTTGGCATGTTCAGACTCCTACATGGTGTGTGCATGCACGAGAAAACAGAGCATGTGAAGCCATGTAGGGTTATTCCTACTGTCTGCAGTGCGGACTGCACTGCATAAAATACAGAGCACTGCCTTTCTGTGATCATCCAATAGACTGCTCAACCCAAATTCCAAAAGCCTCAGTTTCACACTTTCCCTCCCCTTATTTCTGCACTTCAACCATACCCTGCATCGTTTCTGGGCTCTCAAGGTGTGGATGTCTCGTCTCTTTCTCAAGAGAGCAGAGAAGTGGAGGATAAAGAGCTGTGTGAGAGCTCAGAGCTGTGAGTGCAGCAGGCAGAGCCTGCCCAGAGCATCAGCAACTTGGCCATGTTCCCTCTGCTCACACCAGGATGTAAGCAGGTGCTCAGTGCCCTGCCAGAGCAGTGTCCATGCCTCCCTGTCTAGGACTACACCCTTATGTGACAGTGAGTCCTGACATGGAACTGGCCACTGTTTCCACCTCATAAGCACCTTGATGATGGATCTAAAAAACATTACAAATTTGTAAAAATACCACAGAACAGGRCATCCTAGGAAAGTCCTGAGATAAGTTTTTACTGTTAGGAGGAAAGACCCTGAGGCTCCTCTATACACCCCGCTTCCTAGTGAAGGCAGGTGCCACCTGCCAGTGTGTTCATCCATTACAGCTCCTGTCTTCATCCCTGTCCCACCCTTTCTGCTCGGAGCGCAGGGAAAGCGGGGCAGAACACTCCAACACACAGGACAGACAGAGGCAGACGAATTACTCTCCAGAGAAAGGCAGAGACGTTCCTGTGCRTGAAGGGAGAGCCACGAGCAGCTCCTCAGTTGGGCATGGGAGGAAGGGAAAGCCTCGGCGCGCACCCAGCCCTCGYGCTGCAGAAGTGAGGGGCTAGCTGGCCCAAGAGCCCTCACGAAGGAGCCTGAGAAGGTTGCAGGGCAGGGAAGCTCAGCTAAGGGCTGCCAAGCCCGGGACCCTCCGGCAGCCCTCGTTGTCCTTCAGCTCTTCGGGGCCTCAGCTCCCGCATGTCTAGAGCCCTCCCTAGCACCACTGCTCGCGGGCACACGGGGCAACAGGAGCTCGAAGCAGGCATCAAAACAGGAAATTCCCAGGGGACCCTTGAGGTAAGTCAATCGATTGATTACATTGGAGTTCAACAGTCATGTTTTAGGAAAACGAGTACCATTGGCACCTGCTTCCCACATGAGCAACCTGCTYGATTCACTGCTCAAGGCAAGACTGCTTCCCCCAAACCTGCCACAAACTCACTGCAGTTCACAGCTGTGAACTTTTCCCTTCAAATATTGCCATCTTGTGGATGCTGCCTGGAAGGACCAGGAGGCAAGAGCACCTGCAAGCTCTGCTCGTCCCCAGTCACACGATCACAGAGTGGTTGAGGTTGGAAGGGACCTCTAGAGATCACCTAGTCCAACCCCCTGCTCCAGCAGGGACACCCAGAGCACATGGCACAGGGTGGCATCCAGGCGGGTTTGGAAGATCTCCAAATCACTCTTTACCCTCAACCTGCTCCCGCTCAGTAGATATTCAGGGGAATACATGGCAAGGTCACTTACAGTTTGAATTATGTGCCTTCTACGTATCAAAATACAGCTTAAGACAAATGTTACGAATAGATAAAACAATTCAAACATAATTAAAACAGGAAAAATTAAACAGCAGTACTTTGGAATGGGCCTACACGCTTTGCTTTCCTTTCTGAGATAAACCGAGCRAACTCCATAAACTGACAGAATGAGAGAGTTGAATTGAGGGGAAAAAAACACTGAAAAGTAGTTTGAGGAGAACAAGAGGGAATGAACAGGGAGGTGAAGGCACCAGAGTGAGTCCCTGTTCTCAGGAAAAACCACGTTTAGACAGACATCTGGATGGTATTGAGAGAAATGAACTTGCTATGAAGTAGGGGCAGCAACAGATCTCAAATACTGCAGGAGATGTCCTAAACAAGGACGACGTCTTTCTTCTGACTACATAACCCATAAGAATCCCACCTTTTTCAACAATATCTCACAAAAATCTTGAAAAAAGTTTTGGAAAAATGTAAAGCAAATTCTGGGCATTTCTCTGTAACCTCTTCCTTTCAATAATCTATGAGATTCTGATAATATTATCACTCGTAAGCTGCCTTTTAAACCTCCAATTACCTTCAGGCTTACTCTCCCTGTTTACCCTAGTGGTACTCGCCCTGTTTACCCTCAGGCATCCTGTGCCGTGCTGAGGCGAGCTCGGGATGCTGCACAGGCACTGCTGTGTCCCTGGTCCCTCTTCAGTGCTGGTGTAGCTCTCAGCAGCAGAGCTCAGAGCCTCCAACAAACCAGGATYGTTCCTCAGAGGGCTGGGACAGATCTCCTGCATTGTGGAGGTGTGTCCTACACTCAGCTTGCAGTCACTCAAACCTGTATTTAACCATCTCAGGTGGCTAAACAAAGCTTGTGCCAAAGCATATCACATTATATCGCTCTGGCTAACAAGGCCACTGATCCCGCCTGGCAGGTCCCTRTGAAACYGAGCTGAAGGCACTCAAGGTCAGAACCCTTTAGCAATTCGAAGTGCTAAATAAGCCCTGGGTTAATCCTTYGGAGGAACAGAAAGTCAAAGCCTCAGYTGGTGCACATGGGCATAAATCCACTGACTTGCAGAGCTATGAAGATTTGAACCAGCCTAGGGCTTTGCCCACACCTGCCCTTCTGCACAGTCTGGAAGTAATTTTAATTTTTTTTTTTTTTTGAAGACAATGCTGAATTAAAAGCAAGAGTAGTATCTCATTTATGGAATCAGTAAATGGAGAAACAGGCATATGACAAAACTGTGGCATGGCATGGAAACAACTCTAAGAGTAATCAGCAAAGATGATTACCTTATTGACTCTGCGTGTAAGTCTGGGAGGTGGTTGTGTTGTGACAGTAGAGGAAGAGAGGGCAGAGGAAGAGAGAGGAGCAGATGAAGAGAATGCTTTTGAGTCTGCAGTCTTTTGAAGAAAAGAAAAGTTGGTCAGCTTGGCACATGCTCTCTTATCACAATCACTGCTGGTGATAAGAGCATTTACTATCCAGTTAAATTTGGTGCATACACAGCAAACTTAACTCCATGCAAGGGTAGATGCAGCTTTCTGTCTCAGTTTACCATCCCCCTGTGTTCTAAACATGCAAGTTACATCTGTAAAAACTGTCGTTAGAAATGCATCCAGATTGGAAGCAGCACAGTTTTATACAGCTTTCAATACACTCCTGCTTATGACTGCTGATTATAAAATAGAAATCAAACCATTTGTCTTAAGATCTCCCAGTGTGAAATGTATCACCCTATGCAGCACAGTCCCTCTTTTCTTAATATTAGCTAGACTGGATATGTCATGGAGGCTATTACAGAACATTTAAGTTTTTTATAATGCCGTCATTTAATGCTCTCCAAATCCCCCCTCTCRTGAAAGATAATGTAGCTCTGCTCCAATGTATTTTGGCTGGCTGTGGCCTATAAAGGACCCCAAGCCAACTGAGAATTGCACCTGCAAAGTAAGATASATCTCTTTTACCAAAATTAGGAGCGGAATATATATTGCAGAAGCTACTTAATGGTTCTCCTAAATTTCTTCTTATTGTAAACTGTAGTTACCTATAAACAAATACTCTTAGAGGAAAATAACACTGGGTCCAGCTCTCATTTGGGCCTGGACCCTTTCATATCGTTTTGGAAATGCAAAATCAATGAAAGCTACTCAAAGCACAGAGGGCAATCCAGCCTCCCTGACCTAGTAACACCGATCTCCAGCTCCAGGATCTTCTCTCCTGTGTGGCCACAACAAAGGATGGCATTTGAGAATCCAGAAGCCAGGCTGACATTTACAAGGACTTTCAGTCTTTGGCTTTAGGGGAAATAAAATAGAGCCCAGCACCAAAGATGGCCCATTGCACACTGGAAAATCTTTTAACAGCAAGGAGTGTGTTGTATTCTACACATCTGGAAATGAGATGTAGAGGTATAGGGCCTGTGCAAACATGTCTGGTTACAGCCATTTTCTGGCACAGTTACCACACATTTGATATGATCAGCTAAGCTAGTCCTGTTCTAAAATAATCTGTTCTAAAATAATTCTCACTATGCTACTCCTGAGCCCTCTTCTAAGGTTTTCTGGCCTGTTTTCCAGAGATTGCTACTGCTGATCTCTGGAAGAAGGGCTCTGGAGTCTCAGAAGGGCATGTGGTAGCCACTGGCATTGCCTGGCCAGCTGAGCAGCACAAACCTCAACACACCAGCAAAATCAGCGATCGAGAGCAGCACACACACATGCAGGAAAAGTACCTTCTTTGCCTCGCTTTGAAACTTTCTTAGATCCCCTTTCCTCAAGGCCTCATTGCCTCTTTTCTCTGCTTTACCTCCCTGCACAATAGCCATTAGCTCCTGACACAACTGGTTGTCCTCAGAGGAGCCCCCGGGTCTCCTTTCTGGGCTYGCACGCATGTCTAGCTGGGACGGTTTCAGGCAGCCCTCCACAGAGATGCGGGGAGCAGCACGAGGGTCTTGTTGGAGGTTGCTGCTGCCCTCTCTGGTCTTTTGGAGCCCCCCGTGGCTGCCCGCAGCGCTGCTCGGCTCCGTGAGGACACCTTTGGGGCTCCCAACGGCCCAGCGAGGCGGCTCAGAGTAGCCCACGCTGGCAGACGGGGAGCCAACAAACTTGTCTTCGCTCTGTGGGGCGGCCTGATAGAAACTGCGCGTGGCGGCCTGAGGCCTGGAGGAATAAAAGGGCAATGGGGATTTGATGGACCTGGGTGTCGAGGAGCCCGAGAGGTGAGAAGGGTGGAGGCTGACCGAGGGGGAAGGGCTGGCGGCAGCAGGAGGCGAGAGATAGTCAGAGCGAGAGAGGGAGGCTTCGGACGGAGGAGGCAATGGAGGAGCTATGGCAGGAGTGGTGCTGGGAGACACTCCCACGGTCAGCGCGATCCACTCGGAGGTGACCGCCTGCACCTCCGGAGACAACGCGCGGCGCGCGAAAGGCAAAGGCGGAGGAGTTGGTGTATGGAGCAGYTCGGGGCTGGCAGACTTGAAGGAGACAAAAGCAGAAGAGAAAAAGAAAGACGTGAACAAAAGAGTAACAAAGGAAAATACAAAATGACTATGTGAAAGTGAAAGGGGAAGCAAGTGAGAGTGGAGAGGAGCAGATCTGTGACCAAGCATGGTCCATAAGTCTTTCACAGGCAGGCCCATCCTTGTGGACCTGTGGTGCTGTCCACAGCTACTACAACCTGAGTCCAGTCCAAACCTGTGTGGCCTATATCTTTCTCCAGCCTTTGCCAGGATATCAGACACATAGTGTCTTGTGGAAGATCCTTCAGCTCTTACCACATCCCAGGGAGCAACTGAAGGCACCATCCACGATGTCAAAATGAAGCATTTAATGGGCCTGGCAGTATCCCCTATGAAAGGACCCTCAGCAATTCACACTGTGGACCCAGTCAGATTTCACTCCTGCAAYTAATTGTGATTGAATCCACCTCTCCAACAAGCAAACCCTTGTTCCTCAAGAAACTTGCATTGCTGATGCTGTGGAAGAGAAAGGTCTCAAAAGAGCTAAATATGGCTACAGCAAGCTCTGTGTTTAGAAAGGCAGAACACAGGACCCAATTCTGGCCTCAACTGTCACCACCAGCATTATTATGATCAGCAACACTAGCACTTACTGGAGCGTTTCTCAGTTAGGCATGCAGCCCTGCCAAGTTAGGCCAAAAGGCAAGCAAGAAAACAGCTTTACTAGAGGGGAATCTAAGAAATAGAAGAGAAAACAACAACAACAAAWGATGGATACAATCCCTTCCATCAAAGGGATAAATTTGCAGAGGGCTAGTGGCACACAGGCCAAGCCCAAACATCATAAAAGCTCAGTGGTGGTTCACTTTGACAGGGAACCCTGAGAAGGCAAAAACTCTCTCTAATTAACAGAGGAATATGATAAAGAATATAAATCAAAATAAAGAATAAAAACTCTCCCTTTAGGGAAGATCCAGATACTAGACACGAGTCATGGCAATACCTCCCATCCATTCTGCACCCTATTTTCCCTCCTCCTGAACATAGCTCTCTGCAGTCCTTCCTTACAGTCTGGACCTACAAATGATCTTGCTTTGGTCCCATAATGAGAGAGGGGACACACCAGAATCTTACAGTGCCCACTCAGGCACATATGCTGACCTTCTACAATGAGTATTTGCAGAATGAGAGCAAAACAAAATGATTTAGAGACTCACTGTCTCCCTGATATGTTTTCCACAGCAAACATCTGGGACTCCCTTATTCTCCCCATTCCACAATTATCTGCTGCCATCTTGATTTCTGTTTTGAACTGCAGTATGGTTTGAAGTGAACGACAGCCATGAAAGATCCCAGACTTGCCACTCTCAAAATCCAAGTTCACTTAGCATCAAGTGCAATTAACAAAGGCCACAATCCTGACCCTGTGCCTTAAAATATCAGTTGTTATCTAGGACAATTAGAAGAAAGGGTAGGGCCTGTTTCAAGCTGCTTGGGATAGAGAGAATGAGTCAACACAATATAACACTCCACGAGACCATCTTAATAATCATAATAAAAAACTCACTCATCACTGTGGAGGTGTGTAAAGTACAAACACCCACACAACAAAACTGAATCACAAATTCATCCCATTTAACAGTGAAATTCACTCAGAGGGCTATGAACTGTAGCCCTTTCTCCCTGACCTGATTTCAAGCTGCAGATCACAGGTGAAAAGCTGAGTCTCCATATTCCTAAATGACCTAGTCATTAATCTTTCTGGTGGATGAAGCATGACCTTTTCCTGCAGTTGCAGCACACTGTAGGGAGCACACAATTGGACTGTGCAAGAGAGTAGCTTCTCTCAGCTATTATTTCTGGAGCAGCAATGACAACATCCCGCAGCTCTGGAAGGCTCAGTAAGTGGCTGCATTTAGTCCAAATACCTGTGGCGAAGCYGTCATGCTGCGGTTAGGGGAGAGGGACATTGGCGGGTCAGGATAATCGATGGCATTCTTGACCACAGGCCGTTTGAGCACTTCCACATAAGTGACAGGGAAGATGCCCTGGCGATTGGTACCAGAGATTTTTCCTTCATACCAATTCTCATCCACACGTCGAATCAATGTGATTCTTTCACCCTGTGGGAAGAAATGGCAAGGTATGTCATAATTCCAAAGTAGATAAAGTTTTTAACCTTGCTTCAGCTGATTTAAAAAAATCTGTGGCTCATAGCCTCCGCTATTCCATACTTATGTTGCCCAAAACCTAAACTCTGTGTGGGAATGATATTTTTTTCAGTTCAGAGGAAGAGAAAATGTAGAGCTTCTGGTGCTGCTTTGGGCTGTCTGTGAACCCAGGCAGGGTACTGTTATGCTCATCTCACATTTTTAAGCCCATCCTTGCCAAAGGAAATGTAAAAAATGAAAACCAGAATCTTCAGTCTAACAGTGAGACCCTTGTCATCAAATATATACCTCACCTAGCAGAGCCAGGCTTCCAGCACTGTACTCAAACCACCTTCTCAGCTAGCCCTAAAGAAGCAAAGAACACTGCTTAAGCCAGGCTGTGTGCAAAATTCTTACTGTAATACACTACRTAATTGTTATGAGGTAAAAGCAAGGGTCATGAGATTGAATCTTTCCCATCAAAATGTTTAGGAAAAAAAGTGTTAACTTTATTAGAGACTTCATTTGGAAATGTTGCAAGCTACCTGCATTAACAGCCTTCAGCAATTGTCTGGATTCAGTTCATCAGCTTGCCAGCAGTCCTACCTTTCTGAAGGACATTTCCACTTGGGTATCCCCATTGAAATTGAACTTCGCAACAGCATCTCCATATTCCAACACCTGCAATGGTGCTGTCTTTTTGGGTTGAGCTTTCTCAGCTGGTGGAAGTAGCTAGAAGGAACAAACAAAACCAAGTGAGAGACAGGAAAAAAGCTCAGAAATGGGTCACTGCCAGAAAAGGAGTGGGCAAAGAAAACACTTCCAAGGAAAGCAGCTACCTCTATGTATGATCGTGGGAAGATGCCAACTCTGCCATGGTGTTCACCTTCATACCAGTTCTGGTCAATCTGCTTGTAGATGTAAACAATATCTCCTTTTTGCAGAGGAAGCTCCCTGTTAACAAGAAAACGTTAAGTGTTGCACCYTAGGATGCAAAGACAGAAAAAACACCCAAGGAGGTCACAATGAGCTATACTCACTTTAGCGTCTGTGCTTTGAAGTCAAACTTGGCTCTAGCAGGTCTCATCTAAAGATCAAGAAAATCAACACATTAAAAGAACAACTCTCTTCTGAGGAAAAGCACCCTAATTCTTCTACAGCTAACATGAGTCTGGGGATGAACTTAAATGCAGGTATTCTGCTACAAGCATGTTTGCAACTAGTACCACAGTTCAGATATGCTACATGGGTCTTCCCCACTAGGGCAAATGGGACAACTTCTGGTAACAGTAACTAAGAGCTCTAAGGAAAAGGGACCTAACAGGAGTAAACTTCTATATGTGACAAACCTTGGTGGATGAACAACCACTCCAGTAACTAGTTACTGGGGCTTTGGGACCAACTTTCCTTGACATGCAAAACAGAAGGCAAAATTTGGTAACTGGAAAAAAGCAGCCGGGTTTTATTTGATGTGGTACTTGCTAACCCTGCTAAATCCTGCAAAGGGACCCAAGGGGGACCTGTATCCCAAAGGAGAACCTGTCTCAAAGAGACCTGCATCAACTGGTAGGAAAGAGACAAAGGTGAGGAGAAAGTATGACTAAATTAAGCAATATGTCAAAAAAAAAGTCTTCTGTGGCTATAAAACCAAAGAGGACATGTTGGCAGCAGGCCCAGGCATTAAAATTTGATTTACTTGCCTGAGTTTTTAATGGCCTTAAAATATTCAGGTAATTTTTAAGCCATTAAGGTAATAAAACATAAAAACACAGTAGTAGTTATATTCATGTGGCATTAAAGGATTGGAAAGCACTATATAAACAAAAGGCATATAAATGTCTCCTGCTGTCACAGAAACAACATCATCTACCTCTGGGTGAAACACAGCAGCAGTTAAGTGCCATGGCAGCCATCCACAAGGCAAGGAATGGGCTTTGGCTGGGGCACCAAGTTTCACAACCAGCCTAAGCACCAAGTGCCTTTGGCTCAAGGGAAAAGCCACCATCTCCTCCCCTTTGTCCCTTTCAGCAAGGCTGATCGTGTTGTACTTGGTGAAACATGCTGGGACTTCCTCCAACTGCTTCTGGAGGACATTAAGCATCGTTCAAGAGAAGAAATGATCTACTTCTACGAAATAACTATGAGAGTCACATGGCCAGGATCAACAAGGCATGAAGATTCTAAGCATAAGGCACAGACAAGAAGACAATGTAGGAATATGATGCAGAGGATGTAAAATGCCTTTGATTCACTAAAAGTAGCTGATATTTAAAGACATGCATCACAGGTGTGCACCAGCAATTCTCAGCAGGCATGCTTTAACATATGCAGCTTGGTATAGAGATATCAATTAATTTACCAGGCGTAAGAGTCAAAGCGGTTCTAAATGAAGCCAGAATGGGAAAGGGGAAAGGGGGAAAAAAAACAAACAACATTCTCTGGAGAGCTAATGTCGGCCTAAAGCGCAACATTGTGAGAGGCAAATATTGCTTTGGGTCAAGCAGCAGACTGAGGTAACTAAAACAGACCTCTGACCCAGATTTCCTCTTTGCTGTATCGTCTATATTTAGGAGGTCCCCAAATCGCTCATTAGTGATAAATTGATGGTGCGTTGGAATAACCCCTGTGTGCCTTCTAGCTGCAATATCAGCTTCTTCTTGCTCACGTTTAAGCCGTCTCTGGTCCTCTAAAAGTTTCTGCCACAAAATTGCATAAAATGGGCGGTAAATCATCTAGTTTAGGGCATTTGACAGCTGCCACAAACGTGACTTCAGTAAAACTTCTGAGGTCCCAGCAAACAGCTGGGGCTTTACAGGAACATAAACCACCAATTCTGTTCACTACACAAAGCTCCTCTTTGATTTAGCAAGCGTAAAAAGAACATATCTGTGGTATATCTGAAACACACCTCTCAGAGAAGACCTGATCCAAAGCTGATGGCTATCAGCAGTGTTTCGGGTCAGGTCCTGAGAGTTTCTAAGATAAGGGGGAGATTTTGGATAATTCAGAGGGYTGATCCAAACCTCCTTTGGCCAACAATGAGTTTCTCGCATTGACTTCCATGAGTTTTCTTGATGGATTTTGGGGGTGCAGGGGTTGTTTAGCTGTTCCATGGGAGAAGACAGCAAAAATATATTTTTCACATTGAAATCAAAAGCAGGTCTTACCATACTCGAAGCATACAGATTTTTTTTTTTTAAATGGAGAAAAGTAACATGCTTTTTCACTAAAAATATTTTGTTTCATTTTCTGGTCTTTTCAGACAACAAAAACTAGCAGCTTCCTAGAAAGCAACTAGTTTATTACAGTTCTAATATAGTCATAAAAAAAAATACTGCATAAATTTCTTAATATTTCAAATTATATGTATGTTGGCCAGCCATTTCTGAAGGGACTGTTACATTTTCTATTCAACAACCTGAGATACCATGAAGAATTTTAGTTTTCACCCAAAGAGAACTTCACGTTTTCTGACAGTAGTTTGCATTAAGTAGTTTGCATTGGCTACTCAAACCCTGAGCTCCCCACAAGACCAGTCCATTCTCACCAGGTTGATTAAAACGATCTCAAATGGCTTGCTGGGAAAGCAATAAAAACATATTCACTTATAGAACARCCATTTCATTCATGAAAAATTGATGTGTTGTACTACATCTTATATATATCTCCAACCTTGTTACATTCTTTAAGGTCCTTATATACCATCAGGTTCACTTTAAATAACAGATAAACTAAAACAAAGACAGGTCATACAGTAAATCCAAAGCAGAGGTGACATTAAGATTCAAACACACTAGTTCCAACTCGTTGCTGTAACTTCCAACATAATTCTTGCATGTGATGCTGCTACTATTGTTCTCAGGCTATAAAAGAGGGCATTACCTCTTTATCATCATGACGTCTGCGAATAATTTCTTCTGGAGTTTCCATGTAATCGACTGGTGCAAAATGCCTTGGTGATTCTGAATCTACTTTGAAACAACATAAGGCAGTTAAAATACACATGGATGTATTTAGCATAACCAGAAAGGAAGGAGAAAAAAAAAAAGAGGGTTTTCAACAGTTTGCTTCTACTATGGCAGCAAGAAATCTCAATTRCTGTTGACCAAATTGTCGATCAAATGTCGATATTTTGCCCATTTTCATTTCTTCCCTTTTGGGCTGTACTTGTGAACTTAAATCCAAAAAAGGGAGAAAATAAAGGTACAGGAATGAGTAAAACCTTAAGAACTTTGTGAAGAAAAGATTTGCTGCCAACAAAATAGAATGTGACATTTCGTTATTGAGAAAAGTTTAACACACACGCACACACACACAACTAGACCTTGAGAAACTGCTCCTTAAAGCAAATCATCTGGGTTTATGTTCCAAACTATGCAAATGATATAGGACTAGAAGTATCTCATGYTGAGATTCTTGTATCCCAGGAGTTGCTTGAGACAAGCTGTGCCTGATGCGTTTAGAAAGGCAGCGGAAATCGTTTCTCAGAAGTGCAGCTGTTAACAAGCCCTGAACATAAATTCTCAGCAAGACACGCAAAGGACATTAGACATATTGGAAAAAATAAAAAAAGAGTCAGGGGATGCAAAAGCAGGGAATAAAAATGCAGGGGTTGTGAAGGAAAGGGGAAGAGAAAGTGAAGCRAGAAGACAGATGAAGGGACACGGGTAAAGAACACAAAAAGCCACCTCCTAGGTATGTCCCAAGTTCACTTTGCGGGTTGTTGTTTGTGTCCAAGCTGGGATAGAGAGCATATGGAAGAGGGTTGCCATTGTTAAAGCAGTCAGGAGCAGCAGCCCGGCCCAGGAAGCGCTCTCGACCACATCCCACGGTGGGGAAGTGGCTAAGCTTCTCCACAACGTCCAAGGAGGACAGGCGCTTCGGGGCCAGAGGTCTGCTTTTGAAGCACGGTCCGTGCTGGGAGCAGTGACTCTTGTCTCCTAGGCTGCCTTGCAGCTGTATGGGGTCATTTGGGCTCTCGGGGCTGGGTGCGGACGGGCTTCCCGGGCAGTCCAGGGGTGGAGTCCTCCTGGAATTGTGGTGGAAGGGTTTTTTCAAGCGGAAGGGGAGAGGGCTCATTAGGTAGACGTTTCTGGGGAGCGTGGGTCTGTCCCCATAGACATCCCCTTTGGAATCAGTGTTCCTGGAGGACTGCTGCTGCTCATGCCTTCGGATGGTAGTGAACCTGGTGTAGGAAGCTGGACATGTGCCTTTGCATCTGTTGATTTTGTATTTCTGAGGCCCATTGAGGTTGCTGCTGCTGCTGCCGCTGTCATTGGAAGCATTTGAGAGGAGATCTATCTCATCCGTGCAAGCTGAAAGTGTGTCCATCGGGAGGGCATCGCTGACATCGGAAGCTGTGTCCTCCACGTTGCTGCAGGAGTGGGAGGATTTATCTGCCAAGCTGGCAGCATCCTTCTCCTCTTGGAGGGGTTTTGGCAAATCCAGGACAGACTCTGCAGAGTAGGCAGAACTCAGACAAGTTTTAGACTGAAGAGAACTGGGAAATTTGCCTTGTCCAATGGAAAAGTCAAGCGAGGGCATTGACCGGGATCTCTGGATCAGCTGCTCAAAGGCACTGATACGGGAGGAAACTGTGTGCTTGGGAATTTGCTCTGAATTCCCCTGGCTGAGACTGTGCTCCGTCCTATCCTTGGCCTCATTCTCAAACTGGGATGCGATATCCCTCACGCTGCAGGAGGAGACTGTGTCCAGATGGATCCTAGACCTGTTGATCTGGTGCATGTCTTTATACAGCATGGTAAACTCCATCCCACTCTTCCTGGAGGCAGGGAACAGGTAGCCTTTCCCAGAGTTGGTGCCATATTCCTGCAGGCTCATGGTACTGCCAGATTTGATGGCATACTCCTGCTTCGACTTCATCAGCATGTTTTCTATGCCTTCCCCTATGTCTACCATGAAAGCTTTTTTATTATCAAACAAGGCAACGGAGCTACGAAGGTTTTCGCAGCTTTGAGCTTTCTCATGAGACAGCAAGATACCCTTCTTGTCCTGCACAAGAGCAGCTGGGACTGCTAGTTTGGGTTTGAATTTAGAAGGGAGGATTTCAGTAATGCAGGCTTTTGCAGCTGATAGGGGCTTCTTATGTTTACATGCGTGACCTAACATACCGGTATGACTAGCGTTAAAGGTTCGGCTATTAACTGAAGAGGGTGCAGTCATATGAGCATTCCCACCTTTACGATCCACTGGTAAGCATGCAGAATAAAATAAATACAACCTGTTAGCTTAAATGCTAGAAAGCCATCGAAAAAGGAGAGAAAACATGCTTGGAATTCATAAAATGCACTTTTGAAAACAAAGGTCAAAAAAACTAAAGGAAAGCAGAAAGGCAGAGCACAACAAGCGGTGCGTATGGGAGTAGGTGAGCGCTGCTAATATTTCTAAAATGAGACACATGGCTGGGAGCACTTTGAAGGGACCATCCCAGAAAGTGCTGAGTATCCTCAGCTTCTAGAGAAGCTGTGGCACCATGGAGAAGGGCACCTCAATGCTGGGAAGCATCAGGGTGTTAGCAAGAATGCAGAGGCACTAATGCTGCAAAAATGGCTTCGTACTGAGCTTATAATCACCCCCACTTGCATAGTGGTATAATGCTTGCAGAGAGATTAATCCTGGTGGGGAGAGGGACAGCAAGGGTGGATTGTGCTTGCACAAGCACGCCCCATCAGCTGGCCTTGCCCAAGAACTGCCTGCTTGGAGATTCCCCATACTAGGAATAAGCTGAGTCTTTTCCAGACAGTGTAGTTGGGCTGTGTTTACTTTAAAAATCAGTGAGTCAAATCAGGACACTTTTCAGGTCAGATCCAGTCTGGATTCTGCAGCTGTAACTACAGGACTTTTTTKGGGGGGTTTGTTTCTGATCTGAGTTCAAACTAAAGTGTCAAAATAACCATTCAGGTTCAATCGTAATTTTGGGAACAGTAGTTGTTGTAGCAGATTTTTTTTYGTTCAGATCCAGTTTGACTCCCTGCCCTACAGGCCTGACATAATGCTGAAGAACAGCTGGAAGATGGAGACAGACAGACCTTTTTGGTGTGATGCACTATTTTGAGGGAGAGCAGCTCAGAGACCCAGTGAATTCCCTCCCTGTCTTTTCCCCATCTCAGGCCTTTTTTAGGTTGCAATAGGCTCAGAGATGGGGCAGCAGCGGGGAGAACACAGCAGTTTCTGCTGCCCTGCTCTCTCTCAGACTACAGGGGCACTGCCAGGTTTGCAGTGCCCGGTGCCCTGCACAGCCCTCAGGGGCAGGAGGCTGCTCGGTCCATGGTGCCAGGTACACAAGGGCCGCCAGGTACCAGGGCCTGGTGTGGCCTGCTGAGATACTGYGGTGGGAAAAGCAGAAAAGGCAGCAAGGGCTCCGGGGAGAGCAGGGGGAGAGCAAGGCCCAGACTGAGCAGCCCAGAAGAGGAGCATGAGGGTGTGGGGAAACAGTGGTTGGTGCCTGCTGTGCTGAATGGAGGGAGTGGGTCCCTGCTGGGAAGGGGAACCTGGATCAGATAAAGGGGGCACGAAGAATATTGGCCAATGTGGGGCTAAGAAGAAAAAGAAGGGCAGATTTGAGACGGCAAAGAAGGACAGAGAAACCCTCGGTCGCCTTGAATAGGACTCCAAACTCTACAGGAGTTTGCCCTGTATCACCTGGCTTTTGATAGCCTGTGCACAACGGAGGAGAGAGGTTAGTGTGCTGCTGACCTACCTTTCGTGGAAGCAGAGCTAGGAGGTCGCTTTAGACCACTCAGCCCCTGCAGTGGGATATCTCCACCTTCCAGCACGCTCTTGTAAATCTGCCTTTCATTCTCCAAGGCAGCCGGGTCCCCTGGCGCGAACTCTGCCTCTCGCTTCACTGCTTGGTAGCTGGGCGAATACGTGGAATTGGTGAACGGTTTGCAAAACAGGGAAAAGGGGGAAGAACACTGGTGGGTTACTTCTGTCTGCTGAGAGCATCAGGAAAAGCAAAAAGAAACCACGCTTATGAAGCCAGCCTGGACTGTGCATAAGGAACAGATGCTTCAGGCTGGCAGAACAGCCAAATGAAGAGGATATGATTACGCTGCAATTTTGTTCCAGGGTTTGCACTACCCTAGCATTTTCTACATAAAGGAACTGTCTCAGCTCAGTCCCGCAGGAAATAGGTGGTAGGAAAGCATTGCTCTGTTTTTTTTTTAAATGAGAAAACAAGAGTCACAGAGCAGCTACATGCTTTCCTTGCAGATACACAGGAACTCAGTCGCTAGCTGCAAGCAGATGATACATCTTACAGCTCCCAGTCCTCTCTCCTTATGTACAGGTCATGTCATTTTCTTGGTTACAAAGCACAACTGCTCAAGGAGTCCACCTCAACCAACTGAGCCTCCCAGCTAACATGAGGGGCCAAGATTGCCAGGGCAATTCTCCGAGCCCACCAGTATGGTGCAAGGAAGCAGCAGGATCACACGATGGACACTACTACAAGAAGAGTCCCAGGAGGGCACAGCTCTTTAGTCCAGCTTTGGCTCAGGCTTCTCTGTAGGGAAACAGAATCCTGAACTCTAAGTCTACCGCACACACGTACAAACAAAATGCTGGATTCTAAGATGCATATTGAAAGCAGACACAACTAATTTGTTAGGCTGTTATAAACTGAATATATTTATTACAAATTCCTCAGTTACGAATCTAAATACCCGTTTGGTCCCACATCTGATTTCTGGAGTTATTTTCTATAAAAACATAACCAGAACTGCCATGGTATAAATTGTCTTTCCAGCTACAAAAGACTTGCTAAGCAATCAAACTAAGTGTTTTCCTAAGACCCGATTCATCTGTTACCAGTTCTTGTTCATCCTCAAAAAGACTCTTCAGAATAAGATACAGACTTACACACAAAACTATTCTGGGGCCAAAGCATGCCTGCTGTAAAGATTTTAAAACAGGTCATTTGCCAATTCATGGAAATGTTTTGAAAGCTGTTTTACCTCCTGATGTCCATTYGAGATTCAAATTTAAGGGAGTGTGGAGGTGCTTGTGGTTATGCGTGCTTGTGTGAGGATAAATTTGTAAATGCATCTGGCTATGCTGGATGGATACTGTGCTTACAGGATAAACAGAAAGCTTTGAAATACATCAGTGGACTGGTTATGGGGGTGGAATTACATAATGTCTGGATCAAAAAGATTTTRGTTTCTAGACAAAGAAAATCAGGTCATATGAGTGCAGAGCCATAAATTACTTTCTGGATAAAACAGCTAATGAAAAACAGCACCACAGAGTAATACTGTCACTTTTTCAAGCTAGGCAATAGTCAGAGACATATCCACAGAGCTATTTTGTCTTATGTGGGTTATCCCAATGCCTCTATCAGGATCCTGAGAAAACCTGACCAGTTGCTGCAGGGGATAGCAGCTCCCTGGAGTTTCCTCTCCTGGGAGGTGGAAGTCTTTTACTCTCCTCATTAAAAACCAASGGGCTCCAATGATCCTCTTTTGACCTAGGGGAGTGAGGGGAGGCATGGGGCAAAGCCCCACCACTGGTTGCTTCCTCATCAGTATTGTGTGAGACTAAGACAACTAAGGTGAGCRAAACCAACATTCACCCAGAGAAGCAAACCTAGTCTGCCTAGCAAAAATAAGATTCACAAGGTTTGTAACTCCTACAGGGCAGTCAGGAGTTAGGAWTCTTAAATTAATCTCCGAGATTTCCTTTTACTATTTTGCTCTCTTTCTCCCAAAACAAAACCAAAAAGTCATAGGAGCATCTGATTTACAGAGATGAGACAGCCAACAAATGAGAACAGTTCTGGTTTTCCTGCAAAATGAATGAAGACAGCGGGGAACGGAGTTGAAATAAGCACAGGAGACCTCTAGGGCAAACCATGCGGGGAGGCAAACACATGTGATTTTAATGGACATCTGGAGGAGAACATGCCTTTCCCAACAATGCTCTCATGCAGAGCGGATCACTGTGCCTATGAGGACCGTTAAGTGTCCACTCCAATTAAAGGGAGCAGCAGGGTCGCAGCAGGGGCTCCACAGCTCCTATAACTCAGCACAGCTCAGAATCTGCCCCTATTTTATTTTCTTTCCAAACAAGCTTTCTCCATTTACATGTTCAGACAGAGTATGCTGCTCATGATCCATTTCTCCACAAAAGGTGGACCACGTTACATTTCTGAGAAATACKGGTGCTACTGCTGCTCTTCCCCCGTCCTGGAAGCTAGACTACCATTGCCATTCATTAACAGCATCCTTCTGATCTGGTGCACATAACTGGGAACCTCTAACAGGACCTAAATTTTTAATTCGTTTCTAACAGAAACAACCCCTGTTCTTGCCAGGCAATAAGCTGATTTGCATGAGTTTAGGGACAATTTGTAAACTTCATAAAAAAAAGARTTACAATTTTTGCTTGTTTATCTGTTTTTTTTTTAATTGCTGTCTAGCACAATCAGCAATTCCTAACTAGCCATGCAATCATTCATGTAATCACTTTAGATTTTACTCAAGATCAAAGAGCAAATGTATTTGGGTTCAGCTAAAGCACACACGTAAGTATCATGATGATCTCTATGTGCATCATCAAAAACACAAAGCCAACCCTTTTCCAACATCCTCAGCCCTGTCCTACATACCATCAGACTGTAAAAACTACATAAAAAAGCAATTTGAAAACTTACTAGGAAGACCGGTCTGTGGAAGTTTCCAAAGGAGCAACACCTGCTGTATTCTGCAAGAGTCCAAACAAAGGAGTCATTGAAACAACTCACACGCGAGGAGAAAGGAAAAGCCTTGCATAAGAAATTTCCCATCTATTGCTGGAGTATTAGTTTTGGGGAGACATTGAGATTTGAGTCTAAATGCAATCTAAGCTGTCAATGTCTCTGCATAAAAGCGACAATTTTCTTGAGCTCCTTCAGGGCAGTGACAGGTTTTAGCACAGCCGATGCCTTTCACAGCGCCTATTCTTTTGTCTGCAAATGAGTCATTGAGAATAAAGCCAAAAGCAAGAAGATAACCAGCTGGGCCATGACCAGGAGAGACACATGCTTATAACTATTTCCCCAAGCTTTTCTCCCAACCAGTCACTGCCCCCCTTTGCTTTAAAGGTATATTACATTTCTGCAGCACAATACGTTCCTCAGCGTTCAAATGAATATGATAGCACTAACAGGAAAAGCAATTTTCAGCCTAGTTTCCTTACTTAAGAGAAGCAATGCCAGCTGCACAGGTTCAATAGCAAAAGCCAGTTTTCATCCGCTTGCTTTAAATCCATCTAACACTTCTTAGGCACATTATTTAAAAAAATGAAGGCAATTTGGGAAGAAATGCTATATTTGGTCTCCCCTTGTCTATCTGAGGATTCCTATGTAGGAAGAAAAAGCAAATCTTGGTTTTGAAAAAGCAGCTTTCTCAAGTCCTGGTGAATCACCACAGTATTAAAAAAAAAAAAAAAAAAAAAAAAAAAAAAAAAAAGAAAAGAAAAAAGAAGAAAAAACGGCGTGTTACCAAATTAATCTATCATTTCATAGTCCTGCAGCCCTCGGGAGCAGCAGCAGCGCCCGACCTTCCCTAGAAGGCCACAGCAAGGTGCAGCTTAAGGAAAATTGTGTAAAATCTCTTGAGAATATCCGAATCGTGGGGAGGCGTGGGCTCCTAGCAGAGAGCAGGGCTTGTATGAAGGAAGGGTAGATGGCAGCACGCTCGAAAGGCACGAGATGATGACGTGACGCCAACCAAGAATTTTAAGCTGATTGCTGCTGCCTATTCATGTGAAAAATAGAGAGGGGTTTTTGCAGACACCGAACTCCAAACAAACCCTAAGAGGGGGAACGGGGCGGGGGGAGAGGCTGAGAGGGAGCAGGGGAGGCAGGAAATCACTGTATCTGAAATGGATTTCAAGCCGGATTCTCAGCATCATGTTCTATTATTTCTGACAGCTACACAGCAAGCCATGCAGTCAGAACGGTCAGAACCATTATTTATCCCAACCTCATTTAATAATCATCCAGCAGTGAATAGATTAGAGCAGAGAGTTTGGAAACAGGGATTGGCAGCATGAAAAGAATAGGAAATACCTTCTGTAGCTTTTTATCTGGCGCTTTATAAAGCTTCTCCATTTTTTCTAAATCTGCCTCTAACTCAGTCTGGTAGAGGTAGAGGTCTTTTTCTAGATCAGTCTGGTTAAAGAAGGAGAAGAAGAACGGGAAAATAACGCTTACGGTTAGGGGAAACCAAAGGAATGTTAATTTTGAAAAAAAAAGCCTTTTTAATTGAAAAAAATAGACAAAGATGGTATGGACAATACATAGAAATTCACTAGCAATTAATCAATCATGTTTCAATCATTACAGAGGTAAACCGCTTTAGGCATTCAACATTTAAGATCAAGAGATGCACAGGCCTGCTAGAATCTAATTCTATGAACCATCAAGTTATAAAACCCACCTGTAAAAAAAAAAAAAAAAGATACTGTAACAATATGCAGTATGTTGTTAGTATAATTATCATTGCAGATCAAGACAGCAAAACCACCAATCTAAACTACGGCTGATTATACTTTAGGAATTATTAAATCAGTTTACTACTTATTTGTTAGGCTAATGAGCTCAAGCCCAATTAAAAAAATAATCACTCACAAGCACACAAAAACCAAGCAATGCTACAAAAAACATATCCACACACACACACTAGATGCTGTAGTACAACGTACGCGAGACAGAATTACCTTTCTATCCTCTCTAGTAAGGATAGAGCAATCTCCAGGAGTATAATCCCAAATCTTTTTTGGAGGCTGATGGAAAGCAGAGGAAGGAAATGAGGAAATGAAGATAAGGAAAGACATCACAAAGAATATGGAAACTGGATTAGAACAGAGGGAGGGTACAACAGGGGGATTGCATCAACACTGAAAAAAATAGAAAAAAGAGAGAGAGAAAGAGGGATAAATCTGCTATAGCACAAATACCAAGAGACCACGGGAGGTAAAAGGGAGCATGCATGCAGTCTGGGAGGGGCTGTTCTCAACGCTGTTCAAGGACATTTTTATTTTTGCAAGATTCTCCTAGGGATTTCGCACTCTCTAGAGGGAGCCCACGGCTGGTGGTTAAGGCATTCTTAACACAATCAAGGGGAAAAGGAGGAGGGAAAAAAAAAACAAAATAAAACAGTAAAAAAAAGCACTTGCTTTGCTCATTCTTCTTTTCAAAGGGGAAGGGTAAAACAAGGGCCTTTCAGAARGGGCAGGGAGAGAAGCTTCCCACCCCCAGCACACTCTGAATACATACCATGTGAGCAAAGGGCTGAGTTTCCAGTGTTGGCATTGTGGGGCAATGAGAACGCAGAGTTGTTATTTTTTATTTCACTGCTTTGAAGGGGGGCGGGTCTGTGAGGGGCTTTGGTGGAGAGGGTGGGAAACAGGGAACTTTTGGAACTAGGTATTTAAAAATACAGCCTACACATGAAGATTCCGATTCCCAAATAAGATGTGGATACCTTACGCATGTGCAAATACCATGGGAGGGCAGTTTTTCAAAGTTAAAAACCCTTCTCCTGGTATTCCTATCCAAGTAATGCCATGCTAATATCCTTATCTCACCAGAAATGAGCCTCGCTAACACCCTCAAGAAGGCTTTACTGCTGCCTTGTGAAATCGTAGTGTATTTGCTCTGCATGGTAGATGCAGATACACAGGTAGCAAGAAGRCAGGACACAGTGCCCTTTTCCCAGCTTCCTCCTTCTCCACTCGGAGCAAACAGCTCGCTCAGCACTGCTTGAGAAGGGGTTAGGAGGCCACGCCCTGTCAATGTGTGTCCATAATCCCAGGGAAAAGCACCAGATATCTTGACTTAATGTCAAGCTCCAAGGATGGCCTTCATGGTGCTGTGGGCTCTGGAGGAAGGAAGGAACGAAGGAAGTGACAAGTGAGCATGTGGGGACTCAGCATCACGCTGAAGAAGCATCCATGCTGCAGAGACTGAACCTACAGGTCCCTGAAACATGAAGYGCGTGTGGGCAGGGCATGCGGGGCTGCCTAGAAAGGTGTGTGATGCTGAACGAGCAGAGTCACTTCATCCACCCTAGGCTGGCGCCTGCGCTTTGCTCAACAGGAAGTCACAACCTGGTCTGTCCTGGGTGTTTGAAGAACATCAGTCACAATCTCGTAAGACTCCTGTGCTCCCTTTTACCCAGGGTGGTTCCTGGCTATGTCATGTTACTGCTAATAAAGACACAAAACCATGGGAAATCAGGCCTACAAGTTGCAGGCCTGAGGTACATGTAGGCCTGAGGTCTGCAGCGCTAGAAAAATAAAAAAGTTGGGGCAAATAGAGAATTTCTTAAAATCCCAGGTCCTAATAAATACAAATTGAAATGCTTCATTTAGCCACAAACTGGTCACAAAAGTCTGGTCTTCTCAAGTGAGTACGAGAGCAAAGACACATAAAGGGTCTCTTTTGGCTCTAGTGACTTAGCTCTAACAGAGTTTTGCTGAATTTCTTCCAGATTACAGGAAGGGACATCTCTCAGATCCTGAGATGGTATCTTCAACTCCAATACCTGGCAAAGTACAACAGCCCTGATGTATTCACGGGCTGACAGAGCCCATCGGGGAGCAGGCTTGCATGGCTTTGAGCTACAGGAAGGTGATATGGGAAATCATTCCAAGGTAAAAGCAGTAGAAAGCAGCTCTGATCATCAGTGCCTTGAAATAGGGAAACTTGCTCCCAAACCAGAGGTTCTGCTGGAGGAGGACTGCATTGCTAATGCAGCCCGAGACATCCTCTTCCAAAGGAAGGCCAAGGCTGCACAACTGAAAGCACAAGCACTTCTAAGGAACAGATTTCTCACTTTTAGAAAGCCTGAGGGCATAAATGCTCTGTTTTCTCTGATGTGTGAAGCACTCAAAGGAAMCTCATCCTAGAGATGACAAACCTTCATCTCCTGCAAGGGTGTGCAACTGTTATACAGGTGCAGAGAGAGGCAGGTTCCTTCTCACTTTGTTTCTAACCCCAAATGTTTTTGAGGCTCCTTTTTTAAGCTTGGAGCRGAAGGCCCACAGCTACAAAACACAGCAGTCTGTGACAAGGAAGGATTACCTGGCCTCTGAACACAACTTTTTGCAGCAAATATTCTGCAGTTTAGATGATGTGCTCAGACTGGGCACCTGACTTTAGGCAGCTATGTTCAGTGCAGAGGAATTATGCCACTTTTGCCATAAAAGACAGTAAAACTTAGTTTTAAGGGAAAACTGTCCTCTGGCATCCACATACAACTGCGTTCAGAGTCTGTGAAGGTAGTACTGAGCCCTAAAATACATTTCTGTTTTGCTGTATGTGCAAGCAAATTTGAGCAATGTTTAAAAGTTCTTTTGCAAAAGCATTTCACAGCTGACCTCAAGGAGGAAGAGAAAACAGTTCCACACTTGAATAAATGTTAGAAGCTGATACTGGCACACTTGTGCAATCAAAGCAGACAACAGTATTTAATAATGAAGTTAACACTGTTTAACCAGTGAGAGCCAGGCCATAAAATGCTACAGAAGTCCCTCAGAACATTTTCTTCTAGTAGCTCTGTCCATTGATATGCTCCTCTCCCCAAATGCTCTCTGTTCTATTAAATAAGTAAGCTTTAATTCCTCAGGCTGGAAGAAGATAAAGCAGGGAGCCCCTCATACACAGGGCATTTGAAAAGAAAGCATGCAGCTCTCAGACTCTTCTCTTGATTTCACAGAATGGCCAGGGRTCTTTAACACAGATTCCAGCATGTGGGTGACAGGCAGCTATATGCATAAGGAAAGGAGCAGGGAATAGGGTCATGATGTGGACCCTACAGATAGCTGGAAATTACCGGTCTACAGTTTACAAGCCAAAGGTAGGAAGAAATTAATTAATTTAATGCTTTAAAGTTCCTTGATTCAAAGCTACCAAGCAGGGAATTAGCAGTTTCCTAGATCTTGCTAGGAAAAGAGAGAATAAGCACTTTGAAAAGGAACTATCGTTAATGAGATCAGGGCRCTATTGTTACCATTAACAACAAAGAGGCAGGCTGAACTATGGCATGTTAAAAATAATGCCTTATTTTTATATATATAATGCCATTTGGTGGTTAGGTGAGGAAAGTCTGTAAAGGGCTTCATGGAGGGCTTTGCCTCAGCACCAGGACCCAGTTATGGACAACCACATTTTTAAATGAGCGAGGCAGCTGGTTCCAGGTTTGGGGCTTAGCAAAGAGACGTGACAATTGTTAAAAAAAGGCAGGATTGACTTTACTGGTCATTGCAGCTATCAAACTTACCGGTTTCCCAAACTCCAATTCCGAAAAGAATTTATACCAAGGTTCATTCTTTAAATCTATCTCTTCTGGGCTTATATCCCGAGTCTAAAGGAATTGGTGATAGGGGAATGGAAGAAAGAGAAGTATAACATTATGCAAAGAATACACAGAAAAGGGACTGTTAGAGATGCAGACTCCATAGTTTACATTCTGAATTGTGGAGATTTAGCTTTATAATTTGGAATTTCTAAAGGATGTATCCCCCAAAGGCCATAGACTGCTTTGCAARCACCAGTTAAGCCTAGAGGCATCACTGAAAGAGACATGAATATGACAGATTCCATTTTACAGATTAGGAGTCACACACAGAAAGAGATCATGCAGCTTGCCCAGCATCGTGRGGCAGCTCAGTGAAAGAGCTGGGACCCCACCAGTTCCCCAGTTACACTGGTAGCCACTTTCATTGCAAAAATACAAAGCTGCATGTACTTTTTCTTGATCATTTCTTTAATCTTTAATTAGCCAGATAGAGAACTTTTTTTTTTTTAAATGTATTTTAAGACCTGAATTAAATACTGCAAAATACTGCATCTCTAACAGCACATGAATATGTGAGAAACTCTGTTCTTCACACTGCAAACAGAGCGAAAGGTGGTTTTCTGAATCAAAGGGGACACAATCAGAGAGAGCGTATTCCTGAAAGATCTCTGAAGGGATGGGTACAGCGACAATATAACTGGTTTCTTCACAAATAAATGTTAGAGAGTCAGACAAAACCAAAACGAAGGAAAACCAGACAGGACAGATAACAGTACAGTTGAAAAGAAACTTCCATTTTGTTCTTCGTATCCGTTTTATGAAACACAAATAGCTGAAACAATTGCAGCTGATTAACAACACTGCTGGTGATATAGACGTCAGAGAGCAAAGTCCTCTGCGCAGCTTTGTAAGGTGCCACTCCCCAAAAGATACCTAGTTAACTCCTGCATTTCTGTGTACCTCCCCCTGGATATAATGGATCTCAGCATGCCAGAAGTATAAATATGTGATGTTCAACACACCATTTCCCACTGCTCCCAATTGCCCCATCTCACCACATGGTGAGCCACACAGACACAAAGGACTCATGTTAAGTGTCCAGAGACAAATCTTAGTGTGACGGGGCTATGGAGGCATGGGAGCAGGGGGATATTCCCAAGAGCCCCACATTTTACTAAGTGCCCTGCACTTGCACACACACACATGCATAAAGCTCTAGCAAAAAGGCTCAAAGTTCATGCTTGAAAAGTGGAAATGCTTAGATATGAAAAATGAACCTTTACCATCACATTTAACCTCTAAGGGCCTGGAGAAGTATTTGGACATTTCTCAAATACAAAGTCGAAACAACATCTCCATTTTTTAATTTATTACCTTCTGATTAAAATTACTCATCATACCACTGTAGTCTACTGAATATAATAGAAAGCCCTCTGACATTAATGAAAGGCTCTTCTTTGCAGTGGTTTTGGATCAGACACCTGATAATCAGGGTGCGATTGCCAAGAGATACCCATGAATCTCTTGCAGCTCATAGAACCTCCTCAGAAAAATGAAGCAAGAACTAGTCATGACACTGTACTACCGTGGCATTTAATGACACTGATAGAGATCATGAAGTCACTACTTCCAGACCTTTTCTTCCATGTCTATGATCTATGATTTCACATAGAAGCTCAAAACATAACACCGGAATTAACAGAGAAAAGTATCCTCTTATCTTGGATGAGTTCTGTAGAAATTTCTCAGTTATACTGGTCATGGTCCTGCTTGTGGCTTTTAGACTCAAGAATTCAATTAAACACCTGATGAGGTCCCATACATGTGAACAATACCATTACTTATGTTGGACCTTCCAAAAAGGCTCCAGCGCACCAATGAAGCAGACCTTTTACCACAAGGTTTAATCCTGTCTGTGAGACAAAATTGCCACTGAAATCATCAGAAATCTTTCTCCAGGACTCACAGCAGGACTGGAGCTGTGATAATGTGTTTAAACCACTCCTCACTGGCCCTTCTTTACTGGCCTGAGCCAATGCCCAGTGAAATTCCGAGAGAACCACTGCTCATTTCAATGGGCTAATGGATCATGCCCTGATTAGGAGCGACTTTTTGAAGTTCATGAAGTGATAAAGGTGTGAAGAGAATTCAGCTGCATGATCTTACAAAAGCGATGGATTTTGGTTGTATTTGGAGGAAAGGAAAAATCACTAAAGCACCAACACCATGTCCCAGATCAGACCTGATTCTATATTTCTACTTATTTAATTTTCAGTTCACTCTTGTGTTTCAGAAGAAAATCCATGTTACATGTTTCAGCACCACGCCTCCACTACCCTGTGAACAGATCAGTGTCTGAACTGTTAATGCACAGAGTCCAGTTTATACTCTGAATCTCACAGTCAGATGGTCCTTCATATTGAATCCTCCAAATTAATGTCCATATAGAACAATCACACTCGTAGGCACCTAACTGGTTATTCAGTAACCATCTCACTCAGTATTTTCTAGCACCTGCAGTGTGTCACACCTGCTCCACTGAGGGACACCTCAGACGAGCTGTGGTCACTTATGCAGGACTGGCTGGTGAGGTTAGCACCACCTCCTTGCCTTGCCCTGGCCAAGCATCCTCWGCCAAGCCTGGAGAATGGGACTTTTGTTATGTCCCCTGGCTGCTGCAATTCACAGCACTGCTTATTAACTCAAACTGAAACTGCTGCCAGCTCAGTTAATACTCCGAGTTATGCCTCAGAGTAGCTATGGAGCCAGCTCATACTCAAATCCTCCAGCCCTGCCACATTAGTGGTGGGCTCTAGCAGAGGAACAGGGCACCTGAGGGGAGGCTGCATTTTTTAAAGCACCTCAGCAGGTAGCCCCACAGGGCACAATATGGGCGCTTAGAAATTAGTGGTGGGTTTAAAGGCAATGACATAAGAGGAATAGAAATAGAAACGGAGCCCGCCTACTTCATTACATAATGCCTTCTTGCTACATCAACTAATGCTGTGCCCTAGATAAAGTACAGCTGGCAAACCAGCTGCTGAACAGGTCACAGTGTTAAACATGGATTAAAAACTAGGGTTAGTGATCCATACTTAACACAGAAAACAGCACACTCGAAAAAGAAAAAAAGCCTCTCAGACTCCCTGGACCTTGCTTTACAGAGAATGACAATGTTAAAAGTTATGCAAAACAGTTTCAGAACAAAATATATAGAAAATACACAGTAATGTAAGCGTAAGGAATCCTATTGGAATGGGACTGCACAAGCACTTGGGGAGTGCACTACAACCATGGGATCAAGGCACAGACTAGGAGAAAACAAACATTACCATCTTTTCGTTGTTCAGAACCGACGACTTTCCTGGTTTATAGTCATAAATGCTCCTGGGCTCTGCACGATATTTTCTAGTATCCACCTTTTTGTCAGGAGGCTCCCAGTCAGTCCTGAGGAAAGAAAAACCAATTAGCCCAAAAAACGGTCGTCTCCATGGAGACAAACACTTTCCTTTGACAGGCACCATCCCCCGTTAATCCTGGTTTAATCAGGGAACTTTTTATAATCTAGGAAGGAAGCCTGCTGCAAGAGGAACCGGAGCAATAGGGCTCTGGACATACATTCATTTACTTATAGCAGGTGGAGTTTGACATGTTCAGCTGCTGAAGCCACAGAAAGAGAGAGGGGGTTCCTCCAAGCACCTCTAATGAACTGCCGAACCTCCATATCTTTCACTATTGGAAACAGCTTGGCAGTGGGCTTCAGATAAGCTCACAAATGCCAGCAGGTCCAAACTTTGAGCTGAACCCACATTAAACTTCTTTGTTTAGGCCATATGCTGGGTTGAGGTGGTCTTTTCTAGATATGTGAACCAACTAGCTCACAGTAGTCTATATAAAAATGGCTAAGAACAGTGCACTAAATCCAAGCTGGCAAAATTTTGTGCTGTGTCCACAAGTGCACTCTTCGGACAGTATTAGCCACAAAGCATTCAGGGTTCACATCCTATCACATCTAATCCCTCTTTGAAAAGTAGTATATTCAAACACGCTCTGCAGGACAACCAATACCTTTGAAAAAGCCCCCAGATCAGGCCATTTAACCTTGCCCACACTCATGCTGCCAATTAATTCAGAACTTGCTGTTAATATCATCCCCTTGATTGGCACTGGTGTGTGGATTTACCTCTCCTAGCATTCTCCAGCCAAAAGTGAGGCATCTAACCTGAACTGCTACCCCACACTTCCTCACACTTACCCTACTGACTTGGGATAGGTGTGAGGAATCTGCCCACTGAGATGCCCAGGTTTCTCCCCTGGCTTTGGAGAGACACAGATGACAATTGGTTTGTTTTCTTTATGGCACAATGACAGTCAGTCTGACTGGCGCACAAACACCATAGGCACTTCAAGGAGGTTGCCTTCTGCTGCTTAGGTCTAACTTGACTGCATAAATAYTCCAACAGTAGAGAAACATCTCCCTGGTGAAACACTGTTGTTTTATCACTAAGTAACAGGAAGAACTAATTATTCTAATCCTTTCACTCCTAAGAGTGTTCTCGGAGGGACAGGGTACTATGTATTCAACTGTTGTGCAAGGAAGAGCTGTTCTGTCAGCAAAGTTGGTCTCCTGGTCTGGTGGCCCGAGATGCTCACTGAATGGGCAATCACAAAGTACGGCATTCTTCATTTGAGACAATAAGTGGAACATGTAAGAGGATGCAGAAAACGAAGTAGAGAGGAGTAGTTTAAAAGAGAGAGAGAACTAAGCAATACGTAAAATATTCATAGCTGTTTTGCTTTCTCTCTATTTGATAAATGCATTCACTACTGTTACAAATCAGTTTAAAATAACCTGGTAACAAACAAACAAAAAAAGCAGAGAAGTTAACTTGAAAGATAAGAATTAGCGCAGCTCATTAGAATCCACTTCCAATAAAGTCCATATGGGTGGTTCTTAAGGACAGACAATGGAAAAAACTTCTACCAAGACTCAAGCTAARTCAAACTTCTCCTTCTCCATTACTACTGCTATTTGCTTATATTCTAAGGCACCTCCATGGTGCCACGCTGAGCTGAGAGCTTCCCTGTGCCTCTGCTGTGGGAGGCACTGAACAGATGACACACAGGGAACACTGCTCACCCCAGACAGGAAACCAGCCTCATGACAGAGAGAGTGTCGCCTGGTGAAAAAGGCAGACATGGTTTGAGCTGTGACAGTAGAGGAGCTCCCTGGTGTTTACTAGAAGAGTCATACTTACAATATCTTCATATCCTCCCCAAAAGTTGAGCATGAGTTGTGAAACTAACTTTTGCATATTTGTCCTCTTTTGTGAAACTAAATTTTGCTTCTTTGTTCCCTTCCAAATTCACAGAATTTGGAGATTCTGTGAGATTATGCAAAGAGACTCTCACAATATTGATCCAAATAGATCTTGATTCACATCACCTTTCTGGGGTTGATTTCAGTGATGAAGTACGGGCTGGCAGTGGCAAAGTAGCAGACCTCTTAAAAACCTTCTCTGAGTCGATATTGTCCATCTCACTCCGGGAACGGGGAACTGAAGGCTGGGTTCTTGCTGCAGAAATTGTCAAACATAGAAACGTCAGTGAATTGGACAGGAAGATGATAAAAACATTCTTTATTTGCCCTTTCAGTTTGAGATATCGCACAAGAAAAATGAATTACTTACTGTCCTCAGAATAGGAGTAACGAGGAGAATATGAATCAGAATCTTCATCTGAAAGACAGAAGCATTTTGCAGGTAAGCTCAAAGAGACCCTGAAGAGGAAACAYCAGAGACTTTTCTCGTTCCTTCTGCTAATACAATGGCCATGAATTCAGAGAAATATATTCAATACTTACAACAGAGAGAAGATTCTAAAAAAGAAAATCCAAATGAGGTTTAAATTGTATTTAAAAATACTTCTTAGATTACACATAAATATTAATGTAGTACTTGCACTAACACCTTTCCCTGGGCTCTTGAAGCACCTAAAAAACCCCACTTTTTATCACAAAACTCCTCCACGGTGAGTATTATTAGATCTGCTTTATCAAAAACTGAAAGATAAATGGAACACCTGAAAGTCAAAGCACTTGCCTAAAATAACTTACTAGGTGCTAGATACAGCAATAGACACAGTAACAGAGCAGAAGAGTCCTGCTCCCAATCCCATATGACAATCACTGGGCCTTCTTCCCTGTACAAAATATGTTCACCCATTCAGATTCTCTTTTAAGTGCAGATAATGTTCCTGGCATGAAACACACATGAGTGCTTGCACCAAGAGACTCTTCTTGTCCTGATGAGCTTACATTTTAAATAGGAAAGATAAGTCTACAGAAAGCACTGTACTCAAGCAGCTCCAAACCAGCTAGCAATGACACAACTCAGTGGTGTGGCCTGGACTCCAAATTCAGTAACTTYCCCTCACTGACAGTGTTGCACTGCATGACTAAGCTAGATTGCTTCCAAGATCACACTGAAGCTTTGTAATAAGCAATTATTTACTCCTCATTCAAAGCTCCAAAGACAGACATGCTCCAAAGCAGGGTGGCAGGTTGGAAGCTTCACCACCTGCATTTCACAGATGAGGCCCAAAGAGATTAGTGACTTTATCCAGAGATCTTCACAGGTCTGTGAAGAAACAACTAAAAGCATAAAAAGGCATAAAAAGACAGAAAAGCAAAATACAGAGAAACCTGATGKAAAAACAAACAAACAGCCTAAAGAAGGGACATCAGTCAATCACTGAAAAGAATCTCAGCTTCTCTCGGAAGGGCCTCCATGAGCTATCGCACTCCTGCACCCAGCTTCCTCTGCTAGCAAGACTACTTGGGATAACACAGCTAACCTGAAMTAACCCTCATGATCTCAAACAAATCTTTCAAAAAGGCTCAAAGAAGTCTTAATTTCTCTTAAGCCACTGGCGAATTCTTTTGCTGAAGGAATTGGGAGGTTTAAGCTCCAAACACACGGTTATTAACTTCACAGTGCCTATTATAGCCTTCAGGCTAAATAATAGTACAGATCTACTTTCAGGCCAATTTCCACATTTTAGACCGAAATGACAAAAAATATATATTCATTACAGCTCATCATTCAGACAAGAGTATCATATAGGAAAAAATGCACTTCAGGTACATATTAGTTTCCAACTGCAAATATCCTTATATCTACAATAACAAGGAGAATATATATAATGTTTTCTGTCTTATGAAGAAGAGTGACTGTATTTCCTTCCATAGCAAGGAGTACTGAAACACTGAAATCTGTAATGACACAATAAAGACTGAAAAATAAATCAGAGATGAGTATTAAAAAGATATCCTAGCTCTTAGACTTGCATTCCATATTTGAGAACTTCCTCAATAGAGGTAGGAATCACAAATTCAGTTTCTAAATTAGTTTCTTTTATCAGGAGAGTCATTTTTCTTGCAGCTCCTAGAGCATCTGCAAAAAAAGTCACTGGTTTTAAGGGGTAGCCCAAATTTCTGCACCTCAATGCCTTAGACTCTACAGATATTTTAGAAAGAAGCCCAAATACTCATGTTTCTAGGAGATCCTATGTACCAATCCATATAAAAAAAAAATCTGATGTTTGGATTGTGCTAAACTTGAGCACACCTCTGTACAAACACTATGTGATTAAATACATGGCTTTAAAAGGTTTTCAAAACATTAAACATGAACTCCAACCCATCTACAACACCAAGTGTTCTGGATTCCTTACTGAGGAAAGAATCCAAGCAGATATTAGGGAGTAAAACATTTCCTAGTGTACTGACAGCAAAGTACAAGTGCGTGGTCCAATAAAATTTCAAATCGCTAAAAAACAACTTACTTTCATCTGCACATTTGTAAATGCACAGGAGACACTTACGGGAAACCAGGCTCCTAATGTRTTAACATCATTGGTTTATAGCAAACTACATTAGTTCAGACAAGAGGAAAAAGGATTCTTAAACTTCACTATGACGGAGAAAACCGAATCACGGTAAACAGCTTCTTTATCACCAGTTATGGAGGCGTTTTGTCTCTCTTACATCCAAACCCACATATCATTTTGCCAACAGAATATATTTACATTTCATTTATGATTTGCAGGGCAGGACTATTCACCTTCAGCTTTCACTAAAAAATGAGCAAATATCTGAGATAACATCATTAYACACTCATTTTAACTGTGAAGTGCACCTTCCATCCCCTGGTCTTCTTGACCATCTCAGTTGGAAGCCATAATTCATGTTTTCTTTCACAGCACTCCCCAGATGTTTAACATAAGCACTGAAACAGTTAATTAACAGTCTCACCAGGGATGGCTTGAGGCACAAGCTAAGTAGGCAAGTTCCTAAATTGCAATATCCAAGGCAGTACCAAAACACCAAAAGCAACTTCCCACACAAGAAGCTGCTGTCTGTCCAACGTGTGCAGCAGAGGCCAATATTTCTCCTGTGCAAGCGTTTTCATGGCTATGCACCTCTACACATAATTACAGTATTCTCGCTGCAATAAATACTTCTCCACTATCCCTGAAACATGAATGCAAAGGATTACRGATTCCAAGAATCTGCTGAGCACTTGAGAAGGCTGAGGGGTTATTTCAGGTTATAAACAAGGTGTGCTGAGCAGCCTGGCAAATTCTGTCCTTGCCTAGATATGGCAGTGCACCTAAGGCCAACCCTGAAAGTACATTACCAAGCTACGTCTCTTCTRAAAGATTATATTGAGGGACTGATCCAAAACCCACCGAAACAAGCAAACATTTCTCCTATAGCCTTCTGTGGTATTTTGGGTCTGTCCCTAACTCTGTGTTAGCATTAAAAACCAGAAGTGAATAATTAAAGAAATGTATTGATCCAAGAGGAGGGCAGGAGAATCTCAGTTAAACCATGTCTTTAYGTGTAAGTCAGCATATAGGCGTGTTAAGTAATCACTGCAAACACATAGCTAAATACAACTGATTAAGCACATAAAAACAAGCAATTCCAGGACTGCAGCATTAGTCAAAATCTAGTTGAAAAGCCAGAGGAGCACTGCAAAGCCAGAAAGGCATCACACGGTCAAGGCAATGCTTAGAGTGCAGCAAATCATCAGGAGGCAGCATAATGCTCAGCAACTAGGAAAAACTCCAGGGAGAAAATAAATGGACAAGGCAGCATTTGCGCAGAAAAGTACATATGGTCCTTGATCATTACCTTCAGAGATAGGACTAGGAGTAGACGCAGGAAACTGGTATGTAGGAGAATAAGGATTGTCTTCTGCAGCAGAGAAAAGCAGTGGATTTTGAGACTATCCACAGTGAAGTGGAGGTACTGTTTCATCCCCCAACTTCCTATCACCATCTGATTTTAATGCTTATTTTACTCATATTACAGTAAATGGTATCATACTTTAGAACAGATTAGAAGGATTTAATTATTTTATACACCATACAAGAAGGTATACTGGGGTAACTGAATTCTCAGTCAGCATAACAGATAGATAATGGAAATCTAGAACCTGGATCTAGTTAATGCTATGGTGCTACAGCACAGTTAACTCAAAGCACAAGACAACAGATACTCTGACTAAGCTTCTGGTACCTTCAGGTTTTTGCTGGATTTCAGGAAGTTCAGGAAATACGTACGTAGGGCAATAAGGATTTTCTTCAGGAGTGTCTAAGCAGAGGATCATGATTTGAAAAAAGAACAGAAAGGAAAGATTTAAAGGGGAACAAGGATGAGACATGAATCCATGCAAGCTGCAGAGAAGTCCCTTTCTTGCTGACGTTGCAGCATGACATGGCCCAGATGCTTCCTTGCTCATTGCTGCCTTGCACTCCTGGACTTTGTGGGAGATCCTGGAAGCAATGGGGACTGAACTCATTCTCCTCCCTGAAGTGTGAGCTCTAACGTTGCTGAAGAAGAACCTCTGTTAGGGAGCACTGGGATCAGGAAACACAGTTTAACTCATTCCAATACAATGCAGTGCCTAAATATGCACAAAGCTCATCAGGACAGCATCTGCAGCACAAATACAGCTCAAGATTTGCATGCTCTATGTTTCATTTTCAAAGCGCAGTGCTGAATGGCATCTGCCTGGACATCAGGCTGCTTGGAGGGCTTCATTTGCAAATGCTACTGCAGCCATTTCTCGCACAGAAGAAYGTGAACACAACAGACAATCAGGTACAGAAGTGCTATGAAGTAATGGATTCCCTGAGAATGCGCCACTACAAAGTTTGCAAGTGTTCACCAAAAATTTTAAAGGAGAAAATTTGGAATCTTGAAAAGCAGAGTTTTGATCCTGAACCCACTGAAAGCAACAGTTTGCTTTTTTTGCTTCAGAAAGTTCAGCTTTCTGAACCCACAGAAAGCAACTGGTTTCAGTGAGTCGCAAATGAAGCCTTATTAGGCAGATCTGAAGTTTTATAATGTAAATATTTTCCTTTGTTCACAGAGYAGTAGTTTCAGTGATAACATCCTATACTTTAAAAGTGGAGAAAAGTTTTAAAGTTTTTTTTATACTTGCCTATGCCRTGGTTTAGAAATATGTTTTCACTAATTATAGATTTTTTAGCAGCTTTTTGATTTCAAATCTCAAATAGTATTCCTAATTTCATGGATGCTCTGCAGTTCACCTCTTTGAACAACTCGTACTTTTCCTTGAATTTTACTTGTTTCTCACTTTTGTCTTTAGGGATGTTAACACAGTAGTTGGCTTCTCTGCACCAGAGCAAACACTAATATATTAAAATGCTGTTATTTAACATTCATTACAATTCTTCATGGATATAAACCAAAATATTATTAACACGATCTTTTAAAGTAAATTAAAAAAAAAAACAAGCAAACATGTTACAGTACCTCTGTTTAGCTTGTGGATCTGTTTGAACATTGTCTTGTACCAGTCCTTCGATCTCTCTGTATTCTATTGGGAAAAAACACATACATATTCACAAATGTGTATTATGACAGCCTCTCAAAGATTTTAGCAATTTTTCTGCAATTAATACTTGAWATTAAAAATACGAGTAATTTCCCTCAGATGTCTCATATTTAGTGAAGCTTCATGCTTGACTCAAGTTACTCTGCAAGCTTTGCAGAAGCAGATTATAACAGAARTTACCTGTGTAGATCACATGGAAGGCTTTGCAGAGTAACTTATCAACATAAGAAGCAGAATTTTATCTTAATTCTGTGTGTCAAACTCATGGGACATTTGTGCTYGGAGTCACTGCTTAGACTACCCAGATGTGACTGCCTAGCCTTGACTTCAATCTCTGTGCTTAAGGTTTTCTATTGACCAGTTCTAGGACTTCAGACATACTGACATAGGTCCTTAGGCAATAGTTACACTGGCTGAATACAGACTTTTTTTCCCCCAGTTCAATTATTCTGCACAGGCCTGTAAGAAGTCAGGCCAGATCTCACAGCAGTGTGCAAGAAGGACTCAGCAACCCTGATGCTATCCTGTTTAGTCGAAGAATTAAGCTTAGGTGCCTCAGAGTGGACTTGATTTTATTCATCTAGAAGTAGATACATTGCTAATCTGGCCCTACTCCTCTATATTCAACAGACAGTCAGACACATTGAGTTTTCAAGTCACCCAGGCACTAATGTTGAAGAGTAAATTGTTCTTTTCCTTTTAATTCCCTCAATCATTATTTAACCAAATAGCTTAGAAGAGCTATGCTCTMTTTAAGACGGATAGAATAACATGAGGTTAATCTCTGCCTGAGCTGTTAGCAGTGACGAAAACAGAAGAGCAGAAAACAAAACCCTCAAATTCTCTGAGAAGGAAAACTCATTTCTATTTTTTTTTCACCCAGGGCAGTTGAAACCGATCATCAAAAGGAAGGAAATATAATGGAATACATGAGATTCAGAATTCTTTCTTCCACCAACTTTCTGAAGTCTCTAGTGCTTCAGTGAATTCCCCAAGTCTAAAGGCAGGGAAAACCTGGCTCAGGTTTTTATGCACTGACCACATGTCCAATGTTGTCTTACCCTTAGTGGAATGCCAATGTCATCGACAGACGTATCAGGCATATGCTGAGGGCTCTTTACAGTTCTTCTCTTCTCCTCCATTGCTCTTTTCTCACTCGGAGCTGTCTCCCGAACTGGTCTGTCCTGGGTATGTGTCAAATCTACTTTATCAAGACCTGCTCTGTCTGGCACTGGATCTGGAATYGAAAACTGGAGATTCTTATCTTATCCCAGCACTTCACCACATCRTTGTACTCCACCCTTTAAAGACAAACATCTTGGCAAATTATTGATGAGACAGACTGTGTCACAGCTGCTTGTGCTCAGTGTCTGGATTGAAGATCTRCTGAGAAAAAAGGTCTGATTTTGTAGCTAGTGTCCCTCAAGYACCCCTCTTCACAGGTCTTGTGATGGGATCAGCCATTGCTCGTGTGAGGCTATAGCAGGAGATTTTGGCATCTGTTTTTTGCTCTTTTTGTATAGTTAGTGACCCTGAAATCTCCATCAAAATTCCCCACTGACATACTCCTGGAGGTCTACTTTTATACTGTCACTGCTACCTAATGGAGGATCCTATAATGSAGTAGGTCGCTACTCTCAGCAGCTTGTGCTGGCCTTTCTGACTAGCAGCCTGGTTGTTACAGGTGGTACCCAACCCTTCTGATTTGTTTCTGAGCCCCAAAGTCTGCCTCATCAAGACTTTGCCACGTCTTATCCTTGTTATATCACTGCATGCATTGAAGACGGAGAAAGAGAGCGGAGATGTTTACCCACATGCACATCACCATATTGCTCAAAGCCATTAAATGCACAGATATCTGAAAGGGGCAGTTAGCAGGGRAAAGGCTCATGCATAATGAAGCACTGGTCTGTTGGTACCCATAGCAAACACMATTCTGCCCTGCAAAGTTCAGAAATCCTTCAAATGCTGTTTAAGTAGCTGTCTTATAATTACCATCAGACTCAAGTCTTTCTCCTCCTAAGAAAGAAGGAAATAATGCCTGGAAATGGTCAAAATGGGGCAAAGTTCCAATAAAATCCCTGCTTAGCATTCGCATCCTGTTTTCCCTCCTTAGAAATGTAGGTGCACTATCTTTTGGTCTTTTTGTCTTGTTAGTGAGCATGCTGTGACCAAAAGCATGGGGATGAGGGGACAACTAGCACCTCTGTATGGTTGTTTTATCTAYTGAGGGCAGGTGCAGGCCCCGCTGTGCCACAGCTTGTTCCTGACCAGGGATTGCTTGGACTAGAGCAAAACAGTCCTCTAGTTTAGAAAACAAAAGAGCTCATAATCAAGGGAGGAAGCATCTTGGAAAAGAGAAGGGCAGGAGGAGACCTCTGTCTGGACCTGCAGGTATGCACTAAACTCACGGGTAAGAGGTGCCTATATYACCTACACTGAGGGAAGGAGAGGAGAGAAATCCGTGTGCAATAGGAGTCCTATGGAGCCCACTGACATCCCAAGWGGTGACAGCAGAGGAGAAAGGGACTGGCGTAGCTAATCCAGATCCCATGTAACAGAGCACAAGAGAAAAATATAGGCTTTCTTGTGTTTGTARCTGTAATATTTAAAGTATCTAGGAAGACTCCGTAACACTCTACACCCTCTTCGCCTTCTCCTTAGGACAGTCACCAAAGAGCAGTACTTGCAGCACACCACAGACTGGGCCCTGTTATTCTGTGGTGAGAGGGAAGAAAAATGAATGAAACCACCACTTACTGCCCTTCAAATCAGAGACTTTGCAGATCTATTGCAAAATCATGTAACTGCCTGGGGAGAGAGGGCTGGCAGTGTATGTGCTTACCTGCACACTACAATTTTATCATGTATTTCTTGAGATCTGACCCAGGTATTCATTCCTGATCTTGCAGCCATGTATACACTGATTTCCTTATCTCCTCCCTCCTGATCCAAAGCACCTCCACCTTCCCTCCACCAACCCTGACTCATGGCTGTGAAGAAAAACATGATAATATGACCCAAGGGAATAAATTTAAAGATCTAAAAGGAAGAAGACAACAAAAGCAATCAAAATGTATGCAAATCTTAGGAGTTTGGTGGAAGAGACTAATAATTTTGGGGTTAGATATTTTAACATGGAGCATTTGGAGAAAAGACTGAAGTCAAAGATTCAATGACTGAACTGAGCCAGGACAMACATTTACAAGGAGAACAAACTCATTTCTTTGCAGTTCCTGAGAAGCGTGTTTGCTTAAGGTACCCAACMAGCTACAGAGCAGCAGCTTTGCTCCAGAAGAGGCAGCAGCTGGAGGGCAGCAGACCTTTTACACCATACCTGCCAGGCTACTAAGCCTTTTTTGCTGTTCTGTGGTGAAGGAGGAAACAAAACGAAAAGAAATACAGAACACATGGGTGAGACACAAACAGCAAGTGCTCTGGTGCTGCATTTCTGACAGGCAAGAAATACGCTGCAGACAGAACAGCAGCAGCTGCTGGAGAGAATCTGTTTTCAAACACGCTGCCAAAGTGACAACCCACGGGCCTTTCTGCACACAGGAGCACTGCTGAATAACACAGTCTCATGATGCAGCGACCAATACATTTGGAAAGAGCAACTATCTTTACATCAAATAGAAGTAAAAAAGCTGGGCAGGAGACAATTCAGAAACCAGAGGAAACTYATAGAGTCAAAAAACCTTGACAAATAACTGTTACCGTTAACATGMAGTACATGACTAAATGATAAGGCTTTAGTATTTTGTGGGGACATAGCAAARGATCATGCTGATACTTGCTCAGTCTTGGCACATCCTGCTGAGCTACAGATTCAATGATTTGCTGACAGATACAGTTAAGGGTTAAGGATATGATTATGAGAATGGTACCCCTTTTTTTGAGGATTTTCATTATGGACTTTCCAGTTGGGAAAAYCTGCAATAGCTTCCAGGGTATTTGGTGACCCTAATATGGATAATCAAACCTGCTTTATAAATTGGTGCCTAAATGACCTACCAGCAGCACAGCTGGGACTGAACCAAGGATTCTCAATTCTCTGCTCTATACTCTCCCTAGCAATTAACCATGTGAAACATGAAAGCCATTTTAAAATAATATTTTATTGACACATAAAATGCAGCCACTCTTGAAAGCTCATACTGTTAATGCAAAGATTTCAAAACTTTGTGTACGTAATCACACCTGTTATATATTCATATTAAACCATGCCATGCAATGTCCATCCAGGAGTGTGCTCTGAGGTGGTGTGAGACATATCTTCACCCAAGGAACTGTGCAGTAAGCAGGAGTCCCCCAGTTGTGCACTGCTTGCTAGGAGAACCAGACTTCTCTATATATTGGTACTTAGTGGAGCAAAGGAAGCTATTTCTCCTCATTAAGTGCAGCTCCCTCATCAGTATCTGTGAACTTTGCTTTTTAATCACAGCATTTCTGCTCTGCTAATCACCATTGGAAAGCTTCTCATGTGTCTCACTGTGACAGCTGTCAGCACATGAAACAAACCCCTGAGTGAAATGTGGAAAAAAGGGTTTGTAACCTGAAGCTGACAAGCAACTGGAATCTGCCCACTGTAGAATTCACTCTTCTGAACAGAGCATCAGGAGTACGTGGGGTTTATTGCAAGAGAGGAGAATGGGTGGGAGTCAGGATGTCTCAGCCTCAGTCATCACCTCACTGCTGTGCTCAATCATTAATCTCCTGGCACACGCAGGTGGGTTAAAGGGTCTGTGTTTGAGGAATCTTCCCTATTTCTTCTTGCTCAGARGAGAGGATATTATGGATAAGTGGGCTTTTCATTGAAAAAAATACATTTTTCAGGTGAAAAGAAGTTTTCCTCTTTACCTCTGATTAGAGGACAGAGTACTGATAAGTGGAAGCTGAAGGAGAGGAAGGTACCTGCTACCTATCTGCCCTGCCTCCCCAGGGCTGGCTTGTAGCCCAGGCACCTACTAAGCTGACTCTAAGCTTTCTTCTTTCATCTTGTGTCCTGGAAGAACAAACAAAGGCCAAAAGCCTGTAGGCTATTCAGAGCAGGGGCTGAGCAGAGGAATATAACTCCAGGGAGCAGGAGAGGAATCATTAAACATGTCTTGAGAATTCCCAGAGGAACATTCAAAGTTAGACTTGAAACCAATAACAAAAGAGGAAGAGGAAAGTATGTGTTTGTGCAAAATTCAACATCAAAGAGAAAATTAACAAAGGCACTAATGGATATGAAGGGAAGAAATTCAAAAGCTACAGTATTAAGTGATGTATAACTATTGATCTGGGAGGCTGGGATAACGTCAACCATCAGGAGAACTTAGGAGAGGCAAAGTTCCCTCTAAGGTTAGAGGCAAAGGGATGGTACTATCCACTCAGAGAAAACCGTGGGTGAGGTACAGAAAGTCTTTTATCAGTAAACAAGACAATGTTTTGTGCATAAACAACCTCAATCAAGGTTTTTTATGCACAAATCCAGAGGTCAAAAACTACTACAGTGATGGTCTACAGGCACAGTCCATGCCTCTAACCATGCAGGCATCATTGTTACTTGAATGTTTTGTGCTTCAGCCACTACATCTTCCTGGAAGTATCTTTGTTATCTCTTAGTAGTCTGGCCCAAACAAGTCCATAGTGAACTCATGCTCCAGTTCCTTACAGTTTTAACAGCTTGGCTCAGTCTGAGCCACAAAGATCTACGTGCAATCTTACCTCGGTTGTGTTGCAGAAGGACAATGGTGGGATTGACAATGGTGGTAGAGGGGTAGGCAGAGGAAGGCTTGTTGATTGATGTGAAGGAGGTTGAATACTCTGTGCCAGTGCTAGGCTGGGGACCTTCATTTAACACAGGACCAGGGTCCTGAAAAGGAGATAAGGCATCAGTATCAGAATGCAGGGCTGTGACAACACTGGAAAAATSTTCTAAATGCCATTTTAATCAGAAGAAGAAACATAATCACAGCAGAATTTAGTAAAAAGGCATAAGCACAGATGTTACTCTGCTCCTTGTATGRGCCCTGCTCCTTGTTAATGCAATAAGCTTGCTAAGGCAGGACTACAATTGTTTGGTGTTGGTTTCTCAATTCCATCCCCCAAGAGGAGATTCAGTTGCCACACTCTCTGGAGCAAACGCAGGGTGGCAGGAATGAGCTGTTCTGGTTATGGGGAACCAGAACATGAACCTCCTTCCCCCAACACAAACACACTGTGCTGTTTTCTGTTTTAAACAGATTCCTTTCACAGCAAGAAATCAAGTCATGCAAAACTCATGCAATACTGAGTGAAATATCATTACTGCACCTGGTTTGGCAGGAAGATCAGAGAAATAAGGTTAACATCTTCACTTAGGAAACAATAGACAGTGTGATACCACCATGGTTAAAATTAAGCAAAAAAAATAGATGGGGGATAAATAGTAGGACAATAGCAAAGAAGATGCACAACACGGCTTTGCTGCTGGAGCGTGGATTGCAAGCTGCTCTTCTCTCCTAAAGCATCTGGCTCTGTTATTTATTTTTAACTCACCTCTGGTAAATCATCATAACTCTGTAGGAATAAAGGCTGTGTCAACAGGGAGACTTTAAGAAATAGTTCACATCTGAAAAACCTCAGGCCAGAACTATCAAGCTTTTTTTTTTTTAAGTAGGAAGGGGGAAAGATAAGGAAAGGACAATGGCATAAGACTATGTGCCTGTTTAGACTGAGATATTTCAAAATTCTTAAGGGATTTGGACACGTCATTAAAGTTAATGGGGAATGAGCATCTAAACAGAGTGAGTGTGGAATAATGGTGTACCAGATTTTTTCACTCCCGCTACTCCACTATCAGACTGAAATGCTACCAGCCACTGATCTGTGAAATAGAACTGAGCATTCAAGGGGACTTTCATCATTTTTAAAAGAAATATAGCAATGCACACAAAATATTGCTCCAGGAGAGCCTCCGTTTCAGCTTTTTTCTTGCCAACCCAGTACAATTTCATATACAACATTATCAGTGAGAAAGACTTATAGGATCAGAAACTCTCATGTCCCAGAGCAAGGGCTGGCCCCAGAACTCAGAGGAATCATGGTCATAATTGGCTATAACAAGAACAAGCACCTACAGTCATTGGACTCCTGAAGGGATGTAAGGAAGAACAATCTTGTTCTGCTGGATAGAGGTGACCTTGCTGCAAGGAGCATCTAATCAGGCCACAGATGTTTCATGATGAAATAGCAAGCTCTAATTAACAGTCCTCAGAAATAAAAGTCTCTGAGAGGTGCAACCACTGCCACTTTGATGGCTTTAGTAATATTTCAAAAAATGGTCCTTGGGAAAAGGTAAGTCAGGGAAAGCTCACAGAGTAGGGTCTGATGTTCATTTGATGAATAGCACACAAAGAACTCATCAAAGAAGACTGGCAGGGCAGGGCAGGCTCAGCAGACCTGGCTAAGTCACCAAAGTGGGTGAACAGATACCTACTCAGATCATTGTGGAAAACAGTTCTGTGTTTTCCACAAATGCCCAACATGAGCATACCCTTAAAATAATCCCTTAAAATTCTCATATCACCAAAACTAGGTACAACAGAATTCCCACTACTCCTTTGGACTCCTGATGAATTTTTATGAACTGTGGAGTTAGTCTCCAAAGAAAAAACACTTCAGCTGTTCTCAGCAGTAAAAACACCCACTGATTTCAATCAGAGCAGAAACAGGCCAACATTGAGAACTACTGCAGATGCCATCCTTCGTTATTTCTCTTTTTCCATCTGCCTGTTACTAGACCCCTGTACTGTCATCAAAAGACAAGAAGGCATCATCATGAKCAGCAGTGCATTCTGCAGCGCTTTCTGTCATCTTCTAGTCCTTCTATTACCAGCAATCATGTAAAAGAGCTGGTAGTTTTAAGACTTCTGTTGTTATGAGGACGGTCAAGTAATGCTTGCTTCCTCTGCATCCTGAACTCAAAGATAACTTCCCTCATTGACCCCTAGGATTTTTTTTTTTTTTTTTTTTTTTAAGAAGTGTGACGATCTTAAGGAGAGTGGAAGCCTCATGCAGAAAAAATACAGTGAAATCCAGGTTAAACTTGCTTCAGTTCTTTTTGAAAATTCTTAAGAACTCAGTGAAAGCCAGACAGTTCCAAACTGAAGGGACACTCTCCATGTCTCCTCATCTACTCTTGTAGGAGTTGCTGGTCAGTAACACACATTGCTGCTTGTAGGTCACTGGCTACTGGCACCAGCAGCAATCTTACTCTGATTTCAGCAGGTTTTTGCAAAGAGGTCTAGTGGCTCCAAGTAGAATAGAAAGCTAGCTCTAACCTTTCACAGCCTTGCTGTTGCTGCTTTAAATGTTATTCAAACCCTGTTTAAGGATGCTATTAAGAGAGGCTGAGGAGAAGAGGCAGGTGCAGCTATTCTGCCTACACAGAACTCGTCACCCTGAGCACACCCTGTGGAAGGCTGTAGAGGCGTGCATCACCTAGCACAAGGGCACGGAGGGAGACAGGYGAACGCTGCGTGAGAGAAGTTGGCAAGAAGTCCCAAGCTGCATAGGGCAGGCAACTTGCATGCACTAGTACAGGACATAAACAAGGTTTCAGTTGTCATGCTGCTGGCGGGGAGTGAGTCAGCACTCCTCTCTTAAGTTTAGTATGCCAAGGAGAAAGTCGTTTTAATCTGGGAATACAGATTTAGGAGAAGGGTGAGGAAGGTACTTGGCAAGCTTACTGTATGTGAGATGACTCCAGTGATTTCAGGCTTCAAGCCCCTGTGCAAAGCCCCCGTGACTGGAGGGACAAGTGAAGGTGGTGATGAGAAGGATGGCAGTTTCGGGTAAACAGGGGGTAACGTGCCAGATACGGAGGGTGCTTGGTTATGGTGGGGACCCCTCTGGAGGTGTGGGGGAATGAAATCGTCTAGAGTCGGAAAAGTCAAGGGTGAGCCAGAAGAAACAGTCTCGGGGAATACGGAGCCTTGCCCGAAAGGAACCAGAGGCGGTGGTGGAGTGCTGGAGCTGCCTTCTTGCTGCTGTCTGTCTGGGTTAACCTGGAGGAGGGGGACTACTATAACTCCAGGCTGAGCAGTGCTGCTGGCATCCTGTAGGAAACAAGGTGTTGTTATGCAATGGGGGAGACTGGCACTCGAGACAGCCACGTAGTGTCATGCAAGGATGCACCCAAAATAGTATGAAGCCCCAACAGATTTTCTTTCCTCACGGAAGATAAATTTGTTCAGCCTTGCAGCCCTGGCCTCTGTGAACATGCAGAGCATTTCACAAAACCTTCCTTCCCCTCACCACCCGCTCCTCTTACCATCTGCAATGAGGCTAAAGCAAATCACAGAGCAGTTCTGCATTTCCCCATCACTTGAGAAGCATTAACCACCACATCAGTTTGCTGCTTTTCCATCTCCCTGCTTACCCAGCCCAATACAACCTCCTACAGACGCACACACGCAACCACCACRTATCAATATGGGGGTGTTAAATATTATTGCATAGAAGACCACAGGATTCAGATGGAACAACAGATGCTCAGAAAGTAGCAAAAGGGGAATAAAGCATTAAGGAAAGACCGTACTAAATTAAAGAACCATTCACACAGCTGAAAGAAAACAAGGTTATGGAGAAAACATGTACCATGCTGCGTCCCATTGCCTTGTACGGCGGCTGCCGCTGCTGAGTAAGGTCAGGCTCTTTTCTCATCCTGTCCTCTCTGGCAGCTGCGCTCGGGGGCTCTACCACTCTGTCCCTCACCGCTTGCGAAGGTGGCGACTGAGTCCAGGAGGGCTGGCCCGCACCAGAACTAAGTGCGTCTTTACTGAGGACAATGTGAAAATACGGCCTGGGAGGAATAGGAGGAGGAGGAGGAGGAGGAAGAGATTTTCCAGTATCTGTTACAGAGGAAACAATGTCGGTGGCTGGTGCTTGAGTGAGCTCAGCGCCCAAACTGGTGCTGGCTGCCGGGTCATGTGCGGTGCCAGTGGAATTTTCAGATGTGGCTGAGCAAGTGCTGTTAGATAAACAAGCTACATATAGTCTGCTGACCTTTTTATCCGCTTTCGTCCCACGACTGGAATTCATTCCAGCCTTACTACTGGGATCTGCCCTAGCTGGGGTGGGTTGTATGGATGATGTGTCTGACAACACGGAGCAACTTCCCAAGGGTGGCTGGCCAGCATGCATCTTGTCTTTGGGGCTCGAGGCAGGGGGCTGCCCCGCTTGCAAGCCTTGCTTCCCACTGGGGACTGCCCCATAGGGGGTGGGTGACGAGAAATAGGACCGTGCGCTGGCGCTGGGTGATGCCCGCTGTGTATAAGGCTTGGGTAAATTCGGGTACACGCAGTCCATGATGGGCACTGGCAAGAGGTTGGACGCTCTAGTGTCAGTGCGAGGACGCCATGCAAAGCTTTCCTCTTTGGGGAGAGGAGGACGGGGGGGAGCAACGGCCTGCCCAGCCAGGCACAGTCCAGAAGAAGAAAGAGGGAGAAGAAGCAGCACCAAATGAAAGGGAAAAAGGAGAAAAAAAAATGAACAATTTGAAAGAATGAATTTAGTCATTAGATTTGGGTTAAGCAGGTTTTAATACAGCAAGAATAAAAAGTAAATATAGTATCTGGAAGGCCAGCGCAGAACTCGCTCACATCCTTGATCTCACACATTCTCTCCTCCCCAGCACTGCTCCCTGCGGCACTCAAGCTTTACCCAGCTGAGCTCCCTGTCCAGGCTAACTCACCTCTCTCAGGGCTAACTTTCAGCTAACTGTTGTGTAGACAGGCTTCATTCACCATTTCCCCAGGATAGCCTGAGTAYGGATTTAACATCCTGGTTAACTAAATCCAGACTCATGACCGTGTAACCAAATACTTCCCAGCACTGGAGCCATTTGTATTGCAAAACCTGATTTGGAGCTTTAGACTTTCTCTGTCATACTCTGGAAAAATGGAAGTTATGAAGCTGTGTCGCTACTAACAAAAGCAGATGTCACATGAATATTACAGTTTGACACATTTAGCTAAACAAAAACTCAGCATCTGTTCCCAGCAAAAGCAGACACTCAAAATATGTTTAGGATTGTTTAGTCCTAAAAATGCTTTAAGCAAAACCAGAACAATTAAAGTTTCTTAAGGAAATGAATTCGTAAGAATTTGCCTCCTGAGTCGAGATTGCTGATAGTGAAATTCCACTTCCAGTAAAGAAAAAGAAATGCTTTACTGTTTTCAGTGCTTCTGAAGGTTGCCACTCCAGAACTGCTTGCTGATTGCCATTCTGATTCCTATTACAGTGAATTTTTACCAAAAGCCAAATTGYTCTGAAGCAAAATAAATAACTTAGCAATAGAGAGGTTTCGTTTTATTTACTGCTTTGCTGCCAGCAGCTAAAACCAATAAACTGCTGAAGGAGCAGAGCTAAAACACCAGCGCAGTGAACAGTAGCTCCCCGCATTCTTGCAGATTAACCCTTTCAATACTATGAAACTGAGTTTTGTACACATATCCCTGAATTAAAGAAGAGAAAAGGAGGTCTTAACAGCTTACAACATTCAAATCTGAATAAATACCACCTTTAAAATTCATCCATGCATGATGGTTTTGGGTCAGCACCTATTTGTATGACATGGATATAGATCTAGGATGGCTTCATATAATCRCAGGTGCCATCCTGAGATGTGCTTTCCTCAAGACACTGCTCTTTCCCTCTGCCCTTCCCAGGTGTGTAAGGAATAGAGAAGTGAGTTGGTAAGTGTTTCCTCCGAAGGGTTTCTGGTTTTGGAAGAGGCTCATTCCTTTCTGTTCCTTAATCCTTAACCCAAGGACTATGCCTGGAGAGTCCAGACTGCTGCCATTTCCTGAGTTAGGCCAAGCCTCACTCCACCACTACTTACTATCATTGGGAAATACTAATTCACTATGATTGCTGTTTTCCATTTGTTCCATTTCAGCTTACTTTGAATAATTGTCCTTGAGAATCCTGTAAGAAACTAAGTGCAAGAGTACTCTCTCTGTTCATTGACATGACCAAAAAGTGACTAGAGGACAGCTGTGCTCCTCAGGCAGTAAACAGATCCGTCCTTTAGGAAAGACCTTTGCTCCTTTCCCATGCCTTCATCCGAGTTGTGCTCTCTTCCACCTYCACTTAGTTTCAGGCATGGTGTCTGCTCTCTGGTATTGCCAGGGATTCCTGAGGATGGAATCAGTCTCCCTGACTCAGGACAAAGCTTTAAGGGGGCTCCTCTTCACACCGGAAAACAGTTTCTAAAGAAARGTTTCCTTACCAGCTCTCAGACTGCTTGCTTGCAGACCAAACACTCAAAYGAAAAAGCATGAAGATCTTAACAGATCATCTTTAACAATTTACTATAGGGTACAAATAACATTTCCCTTGATGACCTTAACAGCCTTGTATCAGTTCTAGTGTTAAAACAAAAAGCCATTTCCCCAATATCCTATTTTCTACATGGTGTGTGTAACYGCTTTCAGAGTTTTCCTCCAGCAACCTCAAGGAAACTGTCCACACACAGAAGAAAATGTAATAGATGGCGTAATAGATGGCTACTTTACCGTTTCCTTGCAAACAAATGGCTTTGTCTTCCTTCTTCATCCACCGAAATGTAGTGTGTCTGAACACACTATCACCACGCACTCTGCTGACATTAGGTAGGAAAAACTGAGGCACAGCAACTTACCCAAGTCTGCAGCAGTGTTTGGACTTCAACCCAGAACTGACTCCTGACCACGAATCCAATGCTTGAACCAGRAGATCACCCTCAGCATCACAAAAAGAAGGGCTTACCTGTGGCTTGTTGTCTGTGGAAAGGTTTGGACGCACACTCCTATAACCCTTGGCAGCCAGAGAAGATGGTTGGGCATCCCCATTGGCATCGGTRTTAGACGATGACGATCTCCAATCATCTACAGAGAAGGAAAACCTCAAATCACAGAGGGTTCCCTCCAGTTACAGAAGAAATGAAAGGAGGATTTTTTTTTTCTCCAGGCAACTTCCAATAAAGCAACAGAAGCAACAATATAAATAGCCAATGTTTGTACCTGTTTCTGGGTTTTCTGGCTCCAGACCTAAGCATTTCACGGAAAGCAGGGATGGAAGAAGTGGGGTGAAGGGTAGGCATACAGGAAAAGAAAGGGGAAAAAATAAACAGTTACATTTACAGAAACCATGTACCAATTGAAGTTAAGAATCGAGCTACTTCACTTCAAACACAAAATTCTTTCTGCCGGGGCTGCCTAATTACCATAGAGACCAGCCCTAAACATGATGCCCTCCCTGTTTCTGACCTTTGTAAACACAAGGCAATTCATTCAGAGCAATGAAGAAACAATTGTTCATTGACATTCTTATTTCTGAGACAAAAAGGCAGCCCAGCTAGCTACTTTCTAAAGCTGCAACTTCAAGTCCAAACGCCGCACATTACTGGAAAAGGAGGGCCCCATATTCAGCAACAACATAAAGACATACCTGTTCTTATCAACATTGCTCTGTATGGTTAACCTGACAACAAATAGATCAGGTTTCGCAGACCAAATCTGGGTGCAAGAGGGAGGGAGTATAAAATGATGTCATTTTACAACCCAGTCCCTGCAGCTGCATTGGTCTTGTTGCCTATTTATCCCCCCTCCTATCAGACTCCTCCCCATGTTAGTCATTTTGCTGTTCAAGTTGTATGCACACAATTCTACCAGCTCCAAAGTGCATTTCATCAAGTGACTGAGGGAGTAAGCAAAGGAAGTATTAATGGACTCATTTCCATAGTAATGGCCTCATTGCCATTCAGGCTGCTGGAAATTTATGGAGCCATCAACMGAGAGCAGGGAGGCAATGGGGGGCAGGAATGAAGAAACAGAGAATGGCAAGCATGAAAAGAGAGAAGGTCACAGGTGGGGCAGAAGAGGAGGAACAGAGAGAGGCAGAAGGCAGCACATTGGGGCTAGAATTAATGGAAGCACCCTCCCTATAACAATAAATCCTGAAACTATGTATGCTTTGCTTTCAGTGGCAAGTTTGACCCCCTTCCCCTTTATCGGCATCTTGCCTTTGGGAGTTCATCCTCCCTGCCAGACCCACGGTACGGGCCAGGTTTGTTATGCTTTGCCTGTCTGCCACAATTAAGTAATTACACATCTGCTTTTGAAAGACTGGAGAGCTCTGTGGCGACACTGTCTGTCTGGGACACCATCCGGGCTCCCTTGACAACCACAAGCGAAAGCTGCCACAGCAGCAAAGCCACCCGGCCTCTTTCGGCTCTACCTCATGCCTGGCATAAAAGGAGGCAAAATGGGCCTGCTAGGAAAAAGAAACACAACAACAGCAACATCAGAGTTCACAGTTTTAGGTGCCCCTTACAGCAACAGGGAGCTGTAAACAAACTTACCCTAGGAGTAACCCACAGGATAAGAGAACAGGACTCTGTCTCCCTCCACTGGTTTTGTCCTTCCAAGAGGCTTATGACTCTACTGTGGGACTTAGTGCTTTGGATTATAGTCACTAAAAGATCATCCCCAGCTCCCGGATTGACCTCATATGACATTACTGCAAGTTACGCATGCCAGTTAACCTTTTACCCACAACACTTACTTTCATGTTGCTCAACATCCTGAGGACATGGCGGCGAAGAGATATTCTGATTTTCTTCGTAGGCTGGAGATGCCCGGAGGGTCACAGCTCCTTTTCCACTACAGACTTTGCTGGGATCGGTTTCTAGAGGAAATGCACAAAGGCAAGACATTGAAACAGATGATACAACACTATTAGGAGCCATCACAGCTCTATGGAGTAATTGCAGCATGACTGCCTCTGGGTGAAACAATCTAGTAATGTTTATGTGGATGAAGATTAGCTCTGGATTTAAAGCATTGAGAAATCAAAGCAGTTTTGTATTCAGGTAATTGATGAATGTAGGAATAAGATCTGAGTCAGTGTAACAGAGCTAAGAAGGTAAGAAAAAAGATGAATGCTTGAACCAGATTTCACAGGTCCATTTGCTTTATTAGGTCTGCTTTCCATGGAGATATTGTGCTAGTAAAGTTTTCTACCTTTATACCTGTGGCTCTGCTAAAGTGATGTCCCAGTGGTACAAAGCAACACAATTTGTGTGCTGTGGCCTTAGAAATGCCTTTTGTGCAGGACTGTAAGAGAAAAAATGTCTTATGACTACTGGAGGATAAAAATCTCATAGCTATGCTGAATACAATTGAAGGCACTGCAAGTCACCCTTACCATCTCCCTCATTTTATGGTTGCTTGTAATACTTTAACACAGAAACTTGCCCACCAAAATTGAAATAGATTTAATACCTTATCTGTTCAGATCACCTTGTGAGCCAAACACCAGTTCATGACAACTTTCTTGCTGAGGTCTTCAACACAACTTCTTTGTGGGCTTATCCTTGTACATTTCAGTCCACTCATTTTGGTTTTTTCCCATGCCATCCCGCTAAGCAATAACAAAACTTCAGGCTGTCTCCCTCCTCTTAGTAAAAAACTTTCCAGTGAGTTGTTTCCTCTGAGATATTTACTGGAACAGTAAGTCTGAAGAGTCTCTCACTTATCCAAGCTTCTTCCCCTGCAAGACACATCCCTTCCCCTTCTTGTGCACTATCTGCTTGTGCACTATCACTCTGCAGTGACCACCAGTGTTTTTACTTAGACCTACCTAAAATCAGTTGCCAGTCTTACCAATCCACAAAGGGCCTGAAGAGGTTCTGGGCAAGTGCTATGTTGCATAAATGGCAAAACAAGGTGAACATGTTATCTCTGCAGTGCAAAAAACATGGCTTTTCTCCAGAAAATAGTATTTTAATGGAAGTTACATCTTTTGAATGGAGGGAGAGGGCAAAGGCTGCTACTCGTTGCCTAGATAACAACCCRTGTTTGTGAAAAACAGCATCTCCTGACTGATTTCAGTAAGAAATATCCAATTAAATTCACACAAGCAGAGTGCCCGCAGATTACAGAAACAGCTTATCAAGGCTCCAAAAGGCAACTCCAGAATGAAGAAATAACACTAGCATTATATGGATAATAGCCATAAGGGGAGGGACTCAATGAATGCAAACATCTGGTTCACATTGGAAGTCCTCTGCACTGGAATTACAGTGTCCAAGTTTTTGCATGAGCTTCCAGTGCTTTGGAGTTTTCTGAAAAATGATTGTTTCAAGTGGCTGACTGAAGACTGAAGTAAGTAGGGAACCAAAAGAGACTTTCAGGTCCTCTAGCTCAGCCTCCAGTTAATTTGTAGCRTTGAGGTGGCCCTTAATTATGAAGGGAAAAGGCATATGCATATAGACAACCAAGTAGTGCTTAACCCTGTTTTCAGGTTTTAAATATGCAAAATTTGCATTCCCACCACATATCTGGTCATGCCTTAAGGTCACCCTTCTGGCTAGATGTTGACTTCTGAATGATTTTCACATGATGCAAGTATGAACAGAAAATGCTCTCGCTCAAGACTTCATTTCCAGCTATCATTCACATCCACATAGCACATACATTAGGACTCCATCAACTCCTGTTTAGGCCAGAAAGTCAAGGTTTAAGCTCTAAAACTCCATTTTTGAGAGCTGTAGCCCTCTGAGGTGAGGGTCTCTCCAAGCACTGCAAGAGTCTAAATGTCTACCTCAGCAGTATTTGTTGAGAAAAATCCTAAGAGATTTTCTCCTAAGAGAAAATGCTAATTTTCCCCTTAGAAAATCCTAAGAGAGTCAGAGAGGTTAAAGCTGCTCATAGTCGCCACACTTTATTAAAGCTCAAAAGAGACACATCAGCATCTTCCTGAACCATGATTCCAGAGGCTGAGGATGGAGCTGGTTCCTATCACACAGCCTACTCCTGACMTAGGGCAAGCAAAGCAGCAAAAGCAGAAAATATCCCAGAAAAGTAGCTGCTTCTAAACCCCTCAACACTAAATGTTTTATTTAGTTCCTTTAGTTACTCTCCCCCCGTCCTCTCCTTTTTGATCAACATTTTGTTCTGTGCTCTTTAAGTTGCTGAGCAAGTGAAAAGGTTTTTCTTAATCATTCTGGCAAAAATAAACATATCCTGAGCAGACTGTGAGAGCACAGTCCGAGCAAATAAGGCCTAGAAATAACAGATAAGGCTGGAGGGGCTGTAAATGTCGTGTTTTCCTGGTTGATAGGCAGGTGTCAGGCAGGGCAGAACGCCCATTTTGTGCTGCGCTCTGACACATCCTGCAGCGGCTTCCTGAGGTGCCCCCGGGCTCGGCCTTCCCTTAGGCGGCCAACGTGGCCCACTCGCCTCAGCCATGTGGCGCGCGGGCCCCACTGCGACGACCACACAAATGTTGGGCTTTGGTGGGGCCGCAGCTGGATCTCCCCCGCTGGCACCAGCACCAGCGGTTCTGCTGATCATTCGTCTTTCATAGAYGACCAAAAGAGGCTAAAAATCAGTAGTCAGGTGGTTAGCTTGGGAATCTACCTCAGAAAGTTCACCCTCGGTCCAAACCTTTGGATTCTGTAAAACAGTCCTTTACAAGGTCTAGTGTGGAGTGAACAAAAGTATATTTATTAACTATTTGCATAAATATATAAATACATCCTAACAATTTAGAAATGGGACTGAATTCTGAATTTCTCCCCTTGAATCTAATGAACTCTAAACTTTGAGTTKTCAAAATTCTGGATATAAAAACAATTCTCAGTTGTTGAGAATGTTGTCTTGATTTCTAACTGCATTCTCACAGAAATCTGCCTGAAAATTTTCCACTAAAAGTGTCTTCCACTTCAGACTGATTATTTGACAAAACGGAAACACTATGAAGAAACCTATCAACTTCATAGAAATTCTCATAGCAAACTATCAAAGCATTTAATTTTGATAAGATTCAGACATTTCATTTTTACTTTCTAGTTCTATCTTTGTACAATGTATTACAAACAAATGTAATAACAAAAGCCAAATAGTAAGAATTAGAAAAAGAAGTCCCAAACTCAACAAAATTGGAATGTTTTAAAAAGGTGTGAAAATGGAATAATCATTTCATTTTAGTAAAGAAGGACAAATACTTATCATTTTGTATTTCATCACAATTAAGGTGAAAAGAAAGAAAACAAATATCTYGATTTCTCAGTATAGAAATTCAGTAGATGGTAACAAACATGATATTAGCACTGTCCTAGTGCAAAGGCACACACACACACACTGAATACAAGACAAGTAGTATCTGCTGAACTCTTCACACTGTCCAAACTCATCAAAGTACAAAAATAATCTTGTACTTTTATCTGGAAAACATGTTTCTGGGGAATGGGTGACAGTGAGCCTATCACCCTTGCTTATCCACACAAAATTTCTGTGAAGTCAGTGCATGTAGAAGACAAAGAAAAGGAAAACCATTCCACAGATGTTGAACTATGCTTGAACCTGTAAAATAAAATCTCCCATGTCTATTTATTTTGATAAAGTCCAAAGATATTCAGGAAATATTCTTTGGTTCATCGGGAGTATGGTTCAAAAGGAGGCTGTGATAACAGTATTATCCATTCCCAAGCRTTACTGGAAGAATTTACGATGATCCCAGATTCAGGTAGGCTCAACTGTGCCCACAGAGCAGCAGTGCAACTGAGAGCAGCGTTGCATCATCGTGAGCTAGCTTCATTAGCTACTGATCCAATCTACAGCTCTGGAAGCAGTGAAAAGGGGATGAAGCTAAAAACTAGCTAAAGCGAGTGAGTGAAGCACAGAAAAAGAAAGACAGAGAGAGTGCGAATAATGGCAAACTAATGCACATGGGGAGAGAGAAGAAGATACCTGTAGGCAGCACTAGGTGAGGAGAACTTTTCACTTTCTTCACAGGGATTATTTTAACGGCAGAAATAGAGCGTGTACATAAAGGGACGTCAACAGCTGCAAACACAAAAGTGTAAATGGCACATCCAAAAAGGAAGAACAGAGTTGGGAAGCATGCCACAAAGGTTTCTAATGTACTTGGAAACACAATAGCAGGAAATTTCAGAAACAAAAGCGGTCCAAAGAGCAGTGATGCAACCGTTAAAAATATCCTCTCGTTCACCCTGATTCAGGACGTGCCTGCTTTACGCAGCATACAGAGCTGCTTATCAAGTTGCCTGGCTGCTGAGCAACAGGGAAATGAATCTGGAAGCATTAGTTTTTAGAAGCCATCGATAAAGTTTAGTGTGATCATTTAGCTGAGATATACGACGTGCAAAAGTGTTAAGTCAACACTAAAATTACTCAGTTAATGCAAAGTAAGTTGAAAAAAACAAGAGGTGGAAGGTTTAGAGAGAAACATTACACCAGTCACATTGTATGAATTCTGGATTTTACAGTACATATTTTACAAGGTCAGCAATAGAAAGTAGACATACGAGATAAGGAAAACAGATCCATGCCACAGGGAAATTATCAAAACATCCAATTCAGAAAAATCATTTAAACAGTAAATCTAAGAGAACACCATTAGAATCTAACAGCCAGTACACCAACTATATTGAATTCATTTATATTAGAAACACTGTTTTTCAGGAGAAAACTCCACACAGCACTATGCAAAACCCTAGCAATTATTACAGAAACTCCCCAAAACTCCTAATACTTCCTCTCTAACTCCATATTGCAACTAACATGGAAGTCTAATAAAAAAAAAAGAGAGAGAGAAGAAGGCAAAATCCCTCATAGCTGAAGCTCAACTAGATGAGTCAAGATAAACACCTTGTAAAATGTGGCTCCATAAAATAACTTGAGTTTGGCTGTTGATTTCCACAAAGTCAGACTTTTTTCCTTTAAAACCTACTTGTTTTCTGTGCATATTAGCTGGAAAATACTATCTGCTTCCTTGAAATCCCTCCTATCTCCTTCTGGCCTGCAAAATAGGGGTTAAGAGAAAATACTCCACATCCCCAGTGCTGAGCACTATGTGCAAGCAGCTGATCTCCTGATTGCAAGGCAGTGGCTCTTCCAGAGCATAATTCAGAGCATCTGCCTGGCCCTCAAAGAGGAGCCAAGAGGGCTCCTCCGCCAGCCTGAGCGAGGTGCTGCGGGTGCTGSGGACACCTCCCTCTGGTGGCAGGTCTTCCTGGTCCGAGGCTGAAGTGGAAAGCATAGATTTCACTTACCTGGAAAAAAGGCTCTCAGGTAACAGGATGGGGGAAGTGCTTGAAGGATTTCTCAAATCTCAGATAAAATTTTATTTTTTATTTGAGGAAATTGGTTTTAATCTATTTTTATTGAACAGGAAGCAAAATACAGCCTATGCTCCATGCCTCTTTCAGGTCACTGGGGACTCTGTGAATACAGCTGAACCCAAATCCAAACAGCCTGTATTTTAAAATAACACCCTACTCATGTCCTGCTCCATAACTGACTGAATTCAATCACCTGCAACTCAGTGGAAATAACACTATACTTACACTAAAGAAAAAAAAGAAAGAAAAAGAAAGGAACACAGCCAAACACACCCATAACAAGCTTTCACCTTGCCAAAATATACAAAATATATATAATCGCTGTGCATGTCGGATGCTATAAAGCACAGTCCCAACCCACTCATTTGAACATAAAGACCACTCTGCTTAGATGAGTTTGGGTTCTAAACTGTTGCTGCTAATGACAGATTTATTTTATTTCTTAGATAGTTGCTGCCTACAATCCTTGGCCCAAACCTTCACCCCTCGTTGGAGTTAATATGGTTCACACAGAGGCACCCACAAATCCATGCCGTCTGAATGCACTGAGCTCCTGAGGCACAGGTGCTCAAAATTCCTGCAAGGATGGGAGTACACAACCTTCTTCAAAACAGCACTCAAAAATACACTACCAGACAAATCTAGCTGCCACATTTTGTTGCTTAAAGGACAAAGAATATCTGTTCAGCTCGATGCTGCTGCTGCTGCCGCCATGGTGCAGCACAACGCTTTTCTTGTATCAGTACCCGGGAAACTAAATTTGGAAGCTCCCTCTGCAGTGAACGCCAGGGGAACAAGCCACATCACTCTGCTGACATGCAGGGGGAGCTGCAGAGATGTCTCTGAAGCTCTTAACCCACCTTTTTCTTGTCCATTGCTGCTTGAGATCAGCCCGTTGACAACCGTTTTTGCAACGTCAGTTTCTTTGTGTTCTGAAAGACAAACATGACAGCAGATTAGCTCTGTGTTAAAACGCTTGCAGCTGAAATCAGCCTCTAACTATGAGGAGATGGCATGGATCAGCACTGTATGATTCAGGAACTGATACTCCTATCTTAAAAGATGTTGCTTGGAGACACAAAGCTTCCTCCTTACGTGATGTCTGTTCCTCCTATCCCTGTGCCCATCTTGATTGCAGCCTGACTGAAAGAGGGACTATCTCTGCACATAGATGTTGGAGGCCTCTATAATCTAGTACAGAGTAACCGCTCTTCACYGCTGTATCAGCCAGATGTCCGTGCACAAGTCCCAGACAAGGGAGCTGGTTCTGTGCTCTCTGGTTTTCCAGCAGTGTGCTGGGTTGTGGCACTCAAGGCTGCCCTGCAGCRTCCCAGTACCTGTTGACCTGGGGACTCAAGGGAAGCCAAGAGAATATCTAGCTTTAGCTGTCGCTGACACGCTCAAGGTTGGATTCTCAAAACTGCTGGGGTAGTTTTCTGAGTCTGAATCTCTTCAAATTTGTGTTTTGAAGAGAGCCTAAAATGAAATCCAGCTTCATGTGAAATCAGTATTTGCTAGATTTAGGGTCTATAAAAAGATTTCAAAGATTTTTGTTGGAGAGAGAGGTTTTCAAATCTGCAAGGGTCTCAGCTGACACAAATAAACCTTGCTCTGGCGAATTTTGTGAAACAGAAGAGAGTGCTGGGAAAAGACCTCCAAGGTCATCTAATCCATCACTTAACCTATAGCAGGAATAAACCTACCTGTGTCATTGATGACAAATATTTACCTAACCAGTTCATACAAACTTGCAGCATCATCCTAAACSCACACATTCTAGTGCTTCAAATCTGGAACTTCAGAGATGTTCAAGTAAAATTCCTAGGCCGCATTCTTTAGATCCCTAATTATTTCCTCATTTTTTTCTCAGGATTCAATCCAATTGGTCTACATTGTTCTAATGTCAAGAACTAAACACTATACTCTAAATGAGACTCGACAGACTGGTAAAATCAGCAGAGATTATTTCACATATCCAACATATGACACTTCAATATGATGTCTGCTTTTTTTTTTTTTTGCAACAGTATGAAAACGGTTCAATTTGATTCTGGCTGTCAGAAGGACAAGCCTCGAGGTTCCCCCCAGCTTACCTAGCCCTGTTTGCTGTTCCCACATTTGTCTTTAAACAGCTGCTTTTTTTCCAGTCCAGATGKTAAACTTGGCCTTTGTCCCTACTAAAACAATCACATTTTTTTCCAATCGTTCCTTCAGGTAATTAACACAATTTTAAATTTTTGTATTCCAAAATGAAAGAAGCTAAAGTGACCAACTGCAGGGCAAGATTTAACCATTCTAGTCATTTTTGAGCTGTATGAGTCAAACTTAAAAGAACAAAAATCAAGCCAGGACTAAGAAGCTGTTTCACTGTTTCATCAAGAGTCAGATTCCCTGAGCAGGGAGCACTTTCTGAGAGCTTGGAAGAAGACAGAGCAATTGCATTACAAGCAGACAGGAATGATTCCAGCAATAAAAAGATAGGTCAGGGAAGACAAGTAGAAAATAACAGACTTAATAACAGACTTACCAGAGCTCATTGTGGCCGAGGGACTTGCCTTTTTCAATGCTGGATTTTCTTTGTCTCTGTTTAAAATRAGAGAGAGAATGATTACATTATGTTTCATGTCTGCCCAGACTGCAGTGGAGCTCAAGCTAAACACAGTATCACAGAAGTCAACATGGGAGACAGTGTCTTTAAAAATGTATTTTCTCAATTCAAATGAATTTAGTTAGTTACATTTTTTGTTTGTAATCAAAAAATAAAGCAGTATTTCAACCCCAAAATAGAAACTACTAAAAACATTTTCAGATTAGTCCTCAAGATGAAATCACAAGATATCAACTGAAAAATAAGAGTCTGTATTTAGCCAACTGCAAATCTGGCTAGTCTCTAATCTTTGAAACACATACCATTAAAATACATATAAATAGTATAAATGTATATATAGTTCAGTGACACTAACTCGAAGCACAAGAGTTCAACCTTGCTCCTCAGCCACAGCCAGATCTCAAGGTGATCTGTCCAGACCACAGTTTGTCTCTCCTTYGGAAAATGTTACAATACAGATGTGAGTTATCTATAAAAAGTCACGTTAGCCTCTGTCCCAATCACTTCCAGTCCTGCTTGCCCCTTCTGAAGTCAAAAAGAATACAAGGACAGGGTTAACATTTTCTATTATAAAGCTTGTACTGAGATACCAATGAAAGGCATCAAGAGTTAAGGGTAGATTTCTTTTATCTAGCATAGATCTAGGTATCTGGCTGAACAAGCATTTTGTTATTCTCCTTAACCATCCTCTCCTGGAGAAGAACATCTCATCTCTGCTTCTACTAACAAAGTTTCTAACAGAAGGCAGTACACAAATCTCCCCTCCTTTCTTGCTAAGAGAAATAAGAAACCTAACAAGATGGAGATATTTGCTTTCCTGTTACATGAACAGAAGGCAGCAGTGGTTCACTGTAAAAGGTGGAAATTGCCTTCAGGGAAGGAAGTCTGTTCTGCTTCTTGAACCATCCCCATTCTTAGCTGGCATTCATTTCATACCGGCCAGGACATAATGAACATGCTCAACTCAAGCTCAAAGAAGAATGGAAAGAAAATTCAACAAGCAAATACAGTAACAGACTGTTCACTGCTAAAACTAGCCAGTATCTTGCTTCTAAATTGCACTGCTTTAGCAACAGCTGACAACATTTAAATATTTGAAGCATTTTATTAACTCAAATACCAACATAAGAAATGAACCACGGGAAAGTGAAGGCTTCACAAGATGCAGCYTAAAACTTATGAATATCAAAAACTTCTGAGTTAAAATCACTCAAATATCTCTGTAGGGCAGGGAGAAAGAAGGGTCAAAACTGAAGCAAATCCCAACTCAACTTTAGAATTAAAATCTCTGCAAACTGTGATTTGCACAACAGGCTGTGGAGTCTCCTTCTCTGGAGGATTCTGTGATTCTATGAAATGTCATTCTGCAGCTGAGGAGATCACAGGCACCCAGAACCTGGGCAAACCAGGTTCCACAAACCCAGAACCAGGCACCACAAACCTGGGCGAAGACAGAGCCTGAGGTTGCTAAACCGCAGAGCAACACAGGCCCCCCTTCCCCAGTGGCTGCCAATGAGCAGTTAAACTTAGTCTGAACRACACAAAGCATGGGCCTATCTCATCATCATGAAGAAATACTGGCATCRCAACTTCAAGAAATCTCAGATTTCAATATTTTCTATTTGGATTCAGGAGACTTGACACAGTGCAAGGGCAGCTTTAATGAAAGAATCCACAAAAAAACACACAACTATTTGGCTTTAAAAGAACAAATGACTTTTCACGGGAAGCGATTTGGAGATTAAAGTGGTAATTAAAGAAATAAGTTTGCTATAAGCAAATGAAGCAGGCAGAGAAACTCATTAGAATTAGATCTAGAAAATGACTTTTCCACATATCCCTAAACTTACTAGCAATTATGGAATTCAATTAAAATAACAAGCATTCAGTGTTTATTAACAGTGAAACTAATCAGTACTATTTAAGCACTTGGCTGAACACACACCTAATGGAGGTCCCCATTCAAAGGATTAAATTCATAGTGCTTGCTGGATAAGGATTATGAACCCCAGCAACTCCATTTAAAAGTTGATTTAGATCAGCTGAGGATCCACGTCATATTTACTGCACGCAGGTAAAAATAACCACCTTTTAGATGCAAGAAATTACAATGCAAGTTTGAAGTTTAGGACACACKTTAGCACTTTCTGCACTAGGACTAGATGGTTATTCTACCTATCTCACATATGTTTAACCTAAAGCACATGTTGAAGTTAGATTAGGCCTATCCTGTTTATGGAGAAGCCTGAGGCTGCTCTTGAGACTAGATTCCTGGTCCAGGCAGGTAGCACCTAGAATCACAGAATCACAGTGGCTGGAAAAGACCTTTGAGATCAAGTCCAGCTGTAAGCCCCTCAACACATCTGGCTCCAAGGCCACAGTGTAGCCAAGCGTCGTCCTCTGCACATGCCCCTGGACATATACATGTACCACCTKAGCATATAACAGAATCACAGAACATTCAAGCTTGGAAGGGACCTCTAGAGATCMTCTAGTCCAACCTTCTKGCTCAAGCAGKCACACCTAGAGCCTGTGRCACAGGGTGGCATCCAGGYGGGTTYTGAAGACCTCCAGAGAAGGAGACTCCACAACCTCCCTGGGCAGCTGTACATTAGCATGCCAGGAGTGTGGGGCTCGTGCATCCTCTGGCAAAGCAGCCCCTGCCAGGCTGGCCAGACTSCCTGTCCCTAGGCTGCCTGCAGACTGTGGGAAGAGGGGGATTTGGGAACATGTGCTGTTCCCGGAGCTGTGGAGCAGCCTCCCGGCTGGCAAAGCCGAGCTAGTGCTGCGGACCGGTGCAAGGAGAGCAGCAGCACTTCAGCCGAGAGCTTGTCAAAGGGAACTAGCAATGAAATCCCTCACGTCAGGCCCAAGAGCAGAGAACTGGTACTGCCAGGTCAGGTGACACAAAAGAAACAAGTCGCTCCTTCCACTTCCCTGCTCCAACCAGCAGACAGTCAGTGCCCTTGTTAGCACTGAACTCAGGCCTTTCCCAAAACGTGACAAAGAAAGCAAAGGCTTTGAAGCTGCAGACATTCAAAAGACAATGAAAGGTACCCAGTTCCTGAGGCAGGAGGCACGGGCTGTGATTCTGCACAYGCCAACAACTGTACGTAACGCCGACCGAGCCCTTGCCAGTTCTGCTGCAGCTCTAGACAGACGTTCAGTGGCTCCTTCTTCCCTTTCAGCCCAGCACGTTTCTTCCAAGACTGTAGCTCTTTCCCTACTTGGTGTGGAAAAGAGCACCAGGGATTTGGAACCCTATTTAGGAGGAATGCAGATAAGTGGTGACTACTGCTGCTCAGCATGTCTCTGGATTATCTCACAGGCTCTAAACATTCAAGTACCCACCCCTGCAATAGCAGGCAATAACAAACAGCTCATTAATAGCTCCGAGTAAGGACATATGCTCTTAAGTCACTGGTATCTTAGTTAAGGTCACAGGAGCTAGTTATTTTTGGTGGTCAAATGTGCGTGGAGAAGTAATTTCCTTTGGTTTCTTCTCTTGTTACTAGTAACAGCTCTGATGATTCACAGAGGATTTTAATATGGAAGCTGCTAAACATAAATATTCAAAATTCATGAGGCAGGTCCCTAAATTCCCGAGATTTGCCCTCCCGCTTTATTTTCTCAGTTCTGAGCTTTTACACTTCCACCTTTATTCTCTCCATACACAAGTACTTTAAGGGGTTTATGATTGTTTTGAAGTGAAAACTGTTATTTATACTAGTATAATTTAGGAGTTGAAGCTTTTAGAAAAAGGCCAAGCCTTGAGACGTACATAAACACCRGGAACATCAGCGATCGTATCACCTACTCTCGCTGGGGTCGGGTCTCACACATTGCTTGCGACACGYGGCTGCCGAGCTGCTCGCGTCCCTGCTGCTCCCAGTGGTGGGCTCACCACACCTAAGAGCTCGGCACAAATAGCAGCTTCTTCCTGCCCCACGCCAGGCCCACGTCACGCGTGCGGCTCCGTCCTGCACGGCTCTGCCCCAGGCCCGGAGAGATGTCTTGGCCTGTGCTTGGTTTGAAGTCAATGGTGTCGACACGTGAGCTGCCCTGCTGCATTCCTCCCGCATCAGAAGCACAGCTAGTCTGAAGCATGGTTATCGAGGCTATAATACCACCCCTGCACTTCTCACCTTGGGTTACATAAAGTGGACAGAAAAAATAGCCATAATAGAGGATGCAGCTTCAGGTTAACCCAGGCAACCATCTCTCTAAGTACCATTCATTACCGTACCTTACCCTGAAGCACCAAAAGAAATACATTGCCTGACACTGCAATTTTAAGGGTTAAAGAACATCCTGCCACTCCTTCAGAAGATCTTATGCTCCTTCTAAGAATAAATCTCACAGAAAGACTATGAATAAGCAGTTGCACTAATGCTGAGCAACACAGCGGCCTCCCGCGCTCTTCAGCGAGCCTTAGAGCAGCAGAGAGGGCGCACGGCGAGCTCACCAAATGAAACAASTGGCACCAGAGAGCACAAGCTGCCATTAGATGTTCTTATAAATAATTGAGCTTACAGCTGTTAGAAGAAATAAACATAGCACATTTCATAGGCAATATCCCAGCTTTATTTATTTATTTATTTTTAGGTATGGAACATATTTCTTTCCTTCCTAATCTGCGATGTTAATCTGGGGACATCTGCCCCAGCTAAATTTTGTATGATTTATCAGGAACGCGTTACTCGGAAAAACAGAAGCAGGAAATTTAAAATAGGATGTGTGGCTTTAAGAACTCAGTGAGGCTTTTGAACTAAGTCACCCACTTGGGAGTAAACACCCAGAAACTCACCCACAACCTGCCTTCACTCGGTTCAAGGTCATCACTTGGGAASGTAGGGCAGGAAAGGCACTCCCGGGTCATCGAGTCGACTCCAATGCTATTGCRGGCAACTGTGTCATATAATCCTCTGGAGAACATTGCATGTCCCAGCGTAAAAGTGGTAGCACTTTCTGCCCC